TTTTATATTAAGTTTTCTCAATTATTTGTATATCTTTGAATAACTTGAATACTTTAATATTTTACACATGTTATCATCATGATGGCATGATATAAATTAAAAGTCTATTTAATTAAAATAGATAGTACTTTTAATAGATTTTAATTAAAATTTATTTTGAAAATGATTTTTAACTTCGGCCCGACGTTTCGGATGCTTTGCAGCAGTCGTGGTCACGGGGAGACTAAAAATGGAGGGTGTCTATGACGTCAAAGTAAAAAATTGCTACGCTAGCGCCATCTGTTCCGTCGAAGTTGGTATTTGGCGAAACTGGCCGGGTCCTTGCAGAATTTACTAACGGTGTCTTCGCGTTTGCCGGTATGCTGTTTATTGGGATCCAGAGTTTTTAATAATTTGAGGCCGTATTGAAATTTCGGGCCAAAGTTAAAAATCATTTTCAAATAAGTTTAACTAATATATCGCGTTTTAAACCGTTAAAGTGTTTTATTTAAATGTGTACTACTCGCGTAAACTATGGACAGTATTCAAAAGTAATAGCGATAAAAGCGGGACTTGAACCGGCACCCACGGCGTAGGTACGTACCGTTTTAAACAATTGAGCTACCGTATCTTACAATGGCATTTATTTTATTGGATTTTTAAGTTGTATGTATGTATAGTTTACGCGTTATACACATTATATAAAAGTTTTCATAATTTAAAACTATTTTTTGTTGGTAAAGAACATTATCGAAGCCATCAGCTTAAGTTTACAGTTTAAATCCAATCTAAATATTTTTTTCTTAAAGTAAGAATGGGTGACAGAGCATGTGTTAGAAAATGGAAAAAGATTTTTAGATATTTGGCTAACTTAATAAGCTTTAATTTGTAATATAAAAATATTATAAGTAAGTTATTTTATGTATTTCTCGTGAAGTCAAATTTGTATTGGGTATTAATATCATCGTTCAATGCCTTTGCCCCTCTTCGATTTGTATTTATTGTTTAGTTTTGATTTTTATCCAAATAAATAATAATTTTGGGGCAATTTAAAAAAAAATCCTTTATTCATACAAAAAAATACAGAGAACGAACAGAAAACGTCACATAGAAATAAAGTGTAAAGTAACTAGATAGATCCCAAACACAGCCTTGTTATTTGTTTGTGCCTTCACGCAACGTAAACAAAACAATTAATTTGGAAGAAGAATAATTTTTACGAAATTTCCTTAACTTTATGTGCGCCGAGAATAGATAGCCATTGAATTAAATTAAATGTTAAGTTTAGTAAAACTTAGGAACATGAGCAGAGACATATTATTGTCTGTTTTTGTGATTGGTGGTTTGTACTAGTGTTTACAAGACTTTTGCTTTGCCTGAGCACAAAAATACAACCATAAAACATAGAAGTAGGTCTTTAGAGGAAACTGGATTTCACACGCACTTCTAAAGAAAACTATCGCCATAACTGTTATATTAAATTTAACGAAAACATTATTTGAAATACATAGATTAGATAAACATTTTGTGTTTTATATAAGTATAAATTTAACACGCAAACGCGTCTATAAATGTATCAAATGTTACCTTTCAAAGATCCTAATATATAAAGCTAAAGAGTTTATTTGTTTGAACGCACTAATCTAAGGAACTAATGGTTCCAATTGAAAAAATCCTTTTCGTGCTAGGTCAAGCATTTATCGAGGTTATAGGCTATAAAACATCGCGCTATGACTAATAGGAGCGAAGAAAAAGCGGGAAATGTGTAAAAACGGGGAAAATTATTCATCTCTGTGAGTGAAAAGGACGTTTGCAAAACAAACTTAGATGCCCAAAATAACTAATCTACGCGGACGAAGTCGCTGACACAGCTAGTCATTCATAAAATTTAGGACGTTGCTATAAATGACACATTGCGTTGTGTTCATACTTTTATTTTTTAATTATTTATGTTCAACTGAGAGTTACTTATATTATAAAAAAGTGTTATGTTCATAAGTAAAAATTCTTAATAATTGAAAAATAAAAGAAATTTTATCAGGTCAAAAAGACTGAAATCAACACCTGATATAACCGCCCTAGAAACATTAATATCTATAAATACACGAGTATCGTCGATCTATTGCGATAGAGCCTCCACGGAAGCATCCCATTGTTCGGCGTTTGATTTCCACAATTGCCCCTCGCGGCTTACACCCCCACGGGGGGTAAGTTTGGTGCAAATATTATTGATGTGCATGACTAAAATAATAGGGGTGAAAATGTCTTGACCGTTTAGTTTCTGGGGTTTGAAACTTAGATAATAAATCATTGAAAGAAATAAATAAAAATAGATCAAACTGGTTTTATTTTGCAGTTAGAAAGTGAAATCCCGTTTCCCCCTCGTGGGGCGTGGGGCGAACACATTTCTACGTCCGTTTCAATGATCCGTTCTTTTTAACAGGCAAGTAGTTGATCAGACTTCTGTGCCCTACCCGACCGGAACAACTTTTTTTTTGTTACCCTAGGATTCGAACCTAGGACCTCTCGCGCATAATGCTGTGCTAGACAATACGTTTAACCATTTGGCTACAGAGGCTGTTATTTTGCAGTACGTAGTTCTTATTCTGATTTACCTATGTTTCAGTCTGTTAATTCTAAATGCACAAATAATGATATATTAAAAACGCAAAAATATGTTAACAGGTTTCAAAGTGTGAAAAATTGCTTTGGAATTTAATCTTCCGTCAAGTGAACCCTTCTATATAATTTCTATATATATTCTTGTGTCAAAAAAACACTTTTTATAGATCACCTTAATTAAACTAGGCTTTTAAAACATAACTTATTAGATCTATTTGTAGATATTTTGAGAAGGAACCAAATTATCAATTGTCTTCTTTCCTTCGATTTTTTTTAAAGATACTATAATATATACTATAAATGTTTATTAATTTTTTACACTTAAAGGCTTAACAATAAAATTTGGCGCCAATATAGCTGACACCTTTAAGTAGCGGATTATATGCAACAAATTCGTCCTAAAAATATAGTTTTTTTTTTAATTATTAAAAAAATATATATATCTATAAATTCATCAAAATTTTAAGTATTCATTAGTGATTTTAGAATGAATCATTTTTTCAAACTAATTATTACAATGAAATAAGTAAAGACTTAAATACTGTCTATAGTTTACCCGAGTAGTACACATTTAAATAAAATACTTTATTTAAATAAGTAAACTAATATATCGCGTTTTAAACCGTTCAAGTGTTTTATTTAAAAGTAAAGACTTTTTAAGTTTAAACCTTATTACTTGTAGTCGAGTTAGCCCTAACTATATAACCAACAATAACTAGGATCACAACATACATTTACGATAGAAACTTAGCTAATTCATATCAAGACACTCAGTAGGAATGATGATGACTGCCAGGGTATAGACAGCCCAAGGATGGTGATAGTGGTGTGTGTGTGGTGGACTAGTGACGCAATTTCGGAGCTGTAACCAATCATTAATTGTCCACCGGCAAACTCTTGCAGTGACCTGAATGGAGTGTGGATACACATTGCTATGCCGGTTACTAATTGTATATAGGTACAGATATTAATACTTTGCCTTGCTTGACAAACGATTGACATTTTGTCTAGATTTAAACCCAAGACCTGCCTGAACGCATCCATTAAAATGAAAAAGGGGTATCAAGTAGGTAAGAGTTGCGTAAACTTTAGTAATATATGAGGTCTGGTTTTATATATGTTAACAAAAATATCAAACAATAAAAGTAGACCTCTCTATTAATATTTAGATTTTTGAAGATAGTGTTTGAATTCTAAAGAACTGGTTTTTATTTAATCCAACATAATAGTCCCTAATGTCGAAATAAAAATTAATAGATCAACAGCGCATCGCAATTACTGGATTTAGGCATTTTACCTTATAGCAAAATCCTAAATTTTGATTTAACTTCCTCGAAATATTTATTTCAATAGTAACAGACTGCTTAGGTAAATGGTTACGCCTAGGAGATTTCCTGGACTCGAACCCCGGTGACACAATAGATTGATTCTGTCAGGCATGGCACAAAAATCTGATCGACTTGTTTATGAGGATATAGTTTACTGTAAAAAGTCAACGCTCTTTTTAACCACTCTGTCTAGTAACCAGTAAGTGTTTTTGCCCTCTACTCGCGCAACAAACAGCGCATTTACGTCCATTACAATACAACTATCATTACAGCACTATTGATTCCTAATCCGCACTTCCGCAAGTTACGCAAGCACCTCCCCCCCTTCCTCACACCCTCTGGGCAGATTTACAGAGCCTCCCGCTTGACGAATGATCGGATGCCTCTGTATTTTGTTACAGTGTTGAAGTGTGCGTCCGGCCTATATTTACGCACGGTTATATTTTTGTTGACAGCTTAAGGATAAGCTATTATCTTTTTTGAACGCTTTCCTCTGGGGAATTAGAATTTTCTTTCACCATATACCTGCTACGAGTTTGTGATAAACTTACTATACTGCTGGTGGTTTTTATTATATTTATATAATATTTTTTTATAACACGGGCCTAACGCGAACTAACGGCGTTACGTGCTCTACCAAATTAACTACCTTGTGCTTTTAGCGATCTTCAGGTTATCTGTCCCTTTACACGCACTTGTGCACGCCACACGCAGTGAAAATAAGGTATTATTATGTAATTATCTAAACAATTAATAAGTCCTAAATAGCTGTCAAAGATTTTTAGGTGGCTTATTAGTTGTTCCTCTCTCTCGTTGTTAATTTTCGTGCCCTGGATTTTAGATTTTTTTTAATTGCTTTTCGGTAGGCTAATTCGGAATTAAAAAATGAGAAATTACAAAAAAAAATTAGATAACGTATTTTTCTGCTATAATTCGATTAGATAATTCAAATTCCGAGAAGAGGATAGAACAGACATTATGTTGTAGACGCAAAATTGGTTGTCCGGGCCGCCTGAAACATTCGCGCGTTATGTCACCGTGTGCAACGCAACGCAACGCAATTTCCGTTGCATGTCAGGCGTCACCGTGCGTCACCAAGCTTTGCAAAGCGCCCTGGGTCATTCCGACACCCTGCCACCGCGAGCTTCCGTGCAAGTGTCCGGCCGCGCGCCGCCAGGGGGCGGTGTGGGCGTGCAGGCTGCACCGCCCCCGCGCGCCCCCCTGCCACTGCCCCCCCTGTTTATTCTCGGCCGAGTGGCGGGGCGACAGTCGCCCGCGTGCCGCGCTACGAACCGTACGCGCGTACAACTCTCGAACGCGTCCGGCGAACGGTGCATTCAATATCGGACACCGAAAAAAAATCGTACGCATCACAATTATTATTTTCACGTAGCAATAAATCGCGAAACAGCCCAGCCCCAGTAGAAAGCGACGGTATTGCGGAAAATGCATTTCCCGAGTGCAAAGCGCAGGCGATATAGCGGGAGGGGAGGTTGCAAGCAATGATGGACATCGTATTGATTTCTATCTGCTCCTCCCTTATTGTCGCGGTGCAGGGCGAGACATCGATCGTTGCACCGGCCCTAAATTAACACCCCGGTCGCTGCTCGATTCGCCCTCGGACTCGTGTTGTGTCAATTGCTATTAACCTCACGTGATATATGCGTAAATGATCGACATAATTATTTATTAATTGATCGCCTTAATGATTGAAATTGAACAATTATCTAAATTACTCTACAATTATATAAACGGCTCAATGTTACAATTTCAATTTAATCGAAACGAATTATTTTAACATTACCCGTCTTATTTGTTGGATATCTATTTGGGACAAATTTTCGCCTCAGATGATAATAAGCTTTTCATTCACCATCGCTTATCCCGGGGCTAGACTGCTCTATCTGATCGCGATTTAATAGACGCAATATTTTCCAGGCTACAAAACAAACCTCGAGCTTTTAGCGTGCGACGCGCTGTGAAGAAGCTCAGATTATTTTTCGACCAGAAGTGAGAAAAAGGCATTAAAGTGGCGACGCTGGGCGCGCGCGTGGAATGCGCAGGAGTGGATTTGTTTAATTCGCGGACACGGACAGATTCAGCCGTGTCTCCTTCAGAACACCCGGCCATGGCGACCGAAACCGGTAAGCACCTTCTAGTATTACTCTAAATATTTAAAAATGTCACGCCCTTTCTATCAATCTAATTTGTTATCTGCATGTTAATTTTTAAAGTAGACCAATACACAAATGCCTTTATATTTTTGAGTACAGTTTTGAAAATCTCAAAGCATAAAAGTTCGATGTGTCGTCTCGTCGTCGTTTCTACATTTTAGTTATATTTAATTATTGCATTAATTGTTTTTTTTATACGAATTTTCTTCTTCTAGTAGGTATAGATGCCTAACGAAAAATAAAAAAAGGTATTAAAATTAAAGTTAGTAAGTTATGCTAATTTAAAAAAATATTTCTTTGAATTAAGTAATTTTAGTATTTTACACATGAAAAATAACACGAATTTAACTAGGTTACCTTTGGATGCTTAATTTAATAATTATTACGTAGAACATGAAGAATAATTATCCTATATTATATTTTTAATTATCCTCGAAATAAAGTTATTTTCAAATAAGACATGCTATAGCTAAATCTTATATGAATATAAAGAAGTAAGTTTGTCTGAATTCACCATTTTATATCAGAAATTCAAAATAGTCAGACGACTATTGTTCGGTCATTCTTTAAACTTAACAACTGTGGACAGTCTGTTCCTAAATCGTACAGATTTGTCTGATTTAGAACTGTCTGGTCAATACAAGTAAATAAATCTACAATATTCTGTAAATTAAAGAAATTTAGATTTTTTAAAGGATTTTTGTATGAAATTGAAAACACTAATATCTAATGCAACAAAATTAAAAAGGTAATTTTGTTGCATTACATAACATTAGTGTTTTATTTTTGACTTTAAATTTAAGAGAAATATATTTGAATAATGTTATCAATTTTAAATCAATTTTAAATTCCGAAACTAAAAAATTTTAGTTTTAAATTAAATTCATTTAAAACCTCGTCACGCTTACGCAATTGTTTACCAACAAAATGTAGACGATATATCGCGTACGTCTACCCGTCGACGTATGTATGAGTTCGTTGATATTATACCACCCCCTGCGCCAATCCTGGAACCTCCAGGATCGGGAGAGGGTGAGGGGAAAGCTTTCGTTATCTCGATTCGGTTTTTTTTTTAAACGAGACTCCAATGAACAAAGACTATGGACTCTTTAACCTACGACGATGAAGCTAAAAGAACAACTAATGATTTTGTCAAACTATCTATGTTAAAATTTAGCTTAAATTACTAAGCTAATTTAAGGAACGAGGTGTCAAAAGATCCAAAGTGACGGCACTTATGTTACAGTTGATGAACAAAATATGTAGAGTTAACTAAAAAAATAAACTGTTAAAAAATGATTATATTATAAACATATTAATAAAACCAAGTGTTTAATTTTAAAAAAAGTGTGTAGTAGTAGCAGTTTTGATAAATTACGATTTATAGTATTACTTCTTTGGTTAAGTACGTTTAAACTCGAATAAAATATCTACAATCAACATTTACCACAGCGTTAATATTTATTACTTTAAATTAACGTTTTACTTAGTATGCGGTGTCAATTAACCGAATAAGTAACTGTATTTGTAATAGATGTTCGCGTTATTAACTCGATTAGAACAAAAAGCTTAGTGTGTTTTTTTATTACAGAGTACAGATATGCATGTGATTTCTATACTTGCATTCGGAAATTCACAGACTGAGATGAATACTCAAATTCAGTTAACTTTGTGACATAAGCATATTAATTTATTTTGTTTTAACATAGCATCAGTTTATAAAAACACTTTAACGGTTTAAAACGTGAAATATATTAGTTAAACTTATTTGAAAACTATTTTAATTATGGTCGACGTTTCGGATGCTTTGCCACCAAATACCTACGAACGACGGAGCAGATAGCGCTAGAATAGCAGTTTTTATTTTGTGATTAGGGACACCCTCCATCTTTAGTCTCCCCCTTATCATGGCTGCTGCAAATAATCCGAAACGTTGGGTCGTAGTTACAACAATTTTTAACCGTTGTGTTTTACTTAAATGTGTACTACTTACGTACGCTTAAAATACAGACTATCATTAGTTTACAATTTAATTGCATAGAGAAACCTTCAGTGTTTTAACGAACTAATTTCCAATAGCGCAATGCACCCCTACATAACCCCCACTAAAACATTCGTAGACACCGCGACGCGTCGTTCAGGGATGTTTGTACCCCGCGTTATTAATAATATTATAGTTCAACGATTTTTCAAATATTTTTAAATATCATTAAGTACTATTATATTACTTTTGTTATTCATTGCATTTGGATTGCTTTTTTTATTTTGTCTGTATTTAAAAATAATTTTCAAACAAGTTTAACTAAAATATATCGCGTTTGAAACCGTTAAAGTGTTTTATTTAAATGCTTAATTATATATTAAATTAAGCGACTCATATGTATTTATGTTTTAGTGGGTAGTTTTGAAAGGTTATAATTGATTTAAATATTTTAAATTTGCTGCGACAGTTAGGTACTTATAAGTCTGAAAACCTCTTACCTCCCGCCAAGAATTCGATTTTAAAGTCAATTCAATGATTTTTATTCGACATTTCGCGTGTTCTTGAATAAAACGACTTACATAACTGGCCGCAATGTGTTTAATTTACAAGTCTAATCGACACTTACAGCCATTTTAAAAATCAATCACTTTTCTTCGATTCGTGGGGTCAACTTTTGCGATTCAAAATTTACCATCAGCTCGTGATCACTTTGAACATTTTAATGTCACTAAATTATGGTTTATATTTTTCTTTTCACATCTTTTTTTTAACCTTCACCATAATAATATTATATAATATAATCATAATAATAGTAAAAAAAAATGGGCTACCACATTCATCAATATTTTTTCCGTAATTTACGCGAGTACAACTTTAAATAAATCACGTTTAACGGTTCCAAACGCGAAATATATTAGTTAATCTGCTTTATATCATTAACTTATGAAAACATTAATATTTTTTCACATGTTATTGCACATGAAGGCACTATATAATTTAAAAATCGAAAATAAATTGAAAAAATTTTCGACTCGGGCAGGACTTGAACCGGCATCGTCAGAGCAACAGCACGGAAAGCTGACGATGCCGGTTCAAGTCCTGCCCGAGTCGAAAATTTTTTCAATTTATTTTCGATTTTTAAATCATTAACTTATATTTTTCGAGTTTGAAACCGTTAAGGTTTGATTTAAATCATATATTTTACTCCAAATTAGCATTTAATCATAAGCTTGTTAATGTTTGAATACTAATTGACTTGCACATAATGGCACAACATAAATTAAAAATGTATTATAAATTGAAAAAAAATATATGACATCTATACGAACGCTGTGGGTGGAGGTTCTAGACTTGCCTGAATCATAATTTTGATTATAATTATTTTTTATTAAAAAAATGATTATAATCGATTTTTTATTTAAAACTTCTTAGTGTTTATGTAACGTTTACTCCTTAAATAATACGTATTTTACATATATGTTTTACGGTTTTTATTTTACACATATACAGCTATTTATTTTAACACTTTTAACACTAGTGTGGCATCCAGGCGGCGCCGCGGTCGGCGGTGAGCAACAATATTCCCTGCGCTGGAATGACTTTCACTCCGCCATGGTCTCGTCGTTCAGACGGCTAAGAGACGAAGAAGATTTCGTTGACGTTACCCTTGCTTGCGCCGGCGCTACTTTTACAGCACACAAGGTATGTGCATATATTAAAATATGTACTTGATTTTTAATTAAAAGTTCTACTTTTAACCTATGATTATAAATAGAATACACGAGAAACATAAAAATGAAGCTTTTTTTTAAAATAAAACACTAACGGTTTAAAACGCGATATATTAGTTAAACTTATTTGAATGATTTTTTAACTTCGGCCCGACGTTTCGGTCACGGGGACCACGGCTGCTGCAAAGCATCCGAAACGTCGGGCCGAAGTTAAAAATAATTTTCAAATAAGTTTAACTAATATATCGCGTTTTAAACCGTTAAAGTGTTTTATTTAAATGTGTACTACTCGCGTAAACTATAGACAGTATTTAATGAAGCTTTTAATAATGCAGACCTAAATTATTCTGATGACGTAAAAGTTTTATACATATAAAATAAATAAAAAAACGTTTATAATTTAACTATTCCATTATTTTTCGACGACTATTTGATATTAATACTACATTCTTTTAAATAACTCCGGGTATCTAAACGCTATATAGAGGTGATATTTAATTTATCCATGCCCATTTATATATACGCTTATTGCCGTACATTAATAAAATGATATCCTTATTTACATATAACATTTCAATCCTAGGTGGTACTATCAGCTTGCAGTCCTTACTTCAGAAGATTACTTAAAGCAAATCCTTGTCAACATCCCATCGTGATCCTCAGAGACGTCCACGACAAAGACATGGAGAGTCTTCTGAGGTAATTAATTGTAGAATAAATTAATAACCATATTTGTAAACTGTGATTATTTACATGTTATTGCACATGATGCCACAAATTATAAATTGAAAAAAATACGACACCGGCAGGAACCGGCATCAACAGCGTTCCGCCCTTTTGTTCTAACCAATTGAGCTACACGTGAACGTCGAAGTTTTTAATTTTTTTTTGATTCAATTCCTGCCAATGTCGTAAATTTTGTCAAATCCATTTTTATGAATTGTTCCTTACGTTTTTGCCATAGGTTTATGTATCAGGGTGAAGTACATATAGGCCAGGAACAGCTAAAAGAATTCCTAAGAGCAGCCCAGCTGTTGCAAGTGCGCGGTTTAACCGATGTACCACCCCCCCGCGCCTCTTACCACCCTCGACCAGAAAGCTTCACCTGTGAGTAATTAATCTATACTAATATTATAAAGCTAAAGAATTTGTTTGTTTGAACGCGCTAATCTCAAGAACTACTGGATCGAATTAAAAAAAAATATGTGCTGGTTAGAGCATTTTTCTAAGAAAGGTCTAGGCTATATAACATCGCACGGCTACCAATCAACTTCAAAACAAATACAATAAAGGAAAAAAATACTTATATATTTAAATACATATGTAATATTTGCGTAATCTATAGACAGTACTTAAAATGAAAAAATATAATAGATTTTAAAAAGTCTTATCTCCTAGCAGTCTGCATCGTCATGGACGGAAACTGGTAGCGGAGGGTCAAGGGAAGGCCGAGACTCGCAACAGAGGGAGGGTCGCAGGGCGCGTAGACCAGAAGAAGGAACAGCCAATACGCCGCCACCGAAACGGGCGCGATCTTCCGATTTGTACCAAGCACAAATGAAAACCAGGTGAATATTGCGCAATTTATTTTTAACAAAAAAATTCTTAGTAGTTTAGACATTAAAGAAAGTATCGCAATTAAAAATAGCAACTCCAAACGCGAGTTGGTTTTGCGACCAAAGGGTTCCCTACCACTTTTCGCCCACCGCCTAATTAAGACCTCCTCAAACATGCTATTCTATTTTTTAGTATTTATAGCAGTGGCAGATAAACATAATGTGTAAAACGTCATGTGCATTTGGAATCTAATAAAATAACAAAATAGACAGTACTTTTGTTTACTTGGCACTTATAACGTCTTCAAACAGAAGAAAAATAACATGTCCCATCTTAGTTAATCATAAATATTAGCTAACTTAGTTTACACAATTACGGACGGACTGTTAGTCTTACTTCCAAGTAGTGTTAGTAATGAAGACGATTTTATCTTGATAACGCCCGCATTATATTGACGCCCTCCTTTCTCTTAAATTATAAATATCAATATATTTTTCAAAAGTTAGCAATATTATAATATCCGTTCGCAATAATTTATATTCAAATAAGAATAGAATCTAACATCACAACATCCGCTTAAAATTTTAGAACGAAATCAAACGGTACAGTAATAATTGCAAATTGCTATAAAAAGAATCGAAATATTTGAATTCAAATTTCCTTTCCATATTGACCATGTTAAATGTTTATGGTCATCTCCCAATATCATATTTGATCACGATGATTCATGAGATATGTGTAAAATACGGTAAAATAATGTCACTTATAGAAATTGTTTTTATGAACTGAAACAAGAGCTTTATAATGTGCTAAATTACCAAGAGTGCCTTTTTACATCCTTTCCTATTAAATGCTAAACTTTTTGATATAAAAACATCTGTGGCCGCAAGTCCAACTGATACTAGGTCTTAAAACACCAAGATACTAGAGAACAAAAAAAGTGTGGAAATAAAAGACTGACGATGTCACAACAAAAAAATTCAATATAGAATGAAAAATATTAAAAATATATATGTTTGGCGTCCTTACATACTTTAGCGGTCAACTCAATGCGTTTAAGGTTGTACTATAAGGTGTTCAATTTATCGGTGTAGGACGGAGCAACTGTTAGCAGCGCAAGGCAGCCCCGAAAGATTGGGCACTAACGGACACGAAATGGCACTCTTCAGCCATGCCCTGGAAAACGCACAAAATCCACATTTATCTAACGTCTCGAACAATCTGGTGAGTGAAAATATTATTATTTCAGAGATAATATTTTCCTATATACCCTCCATAAAATAGTTACGTCCAAAACCACGGAAAATAGGTTTTAAATACTTTTCAAATATATTAAAAATCCCGAACCTTCAAGACACGAACGTCTTTCTTTTAATTATAGTCCGGTGATGGCGAAGAGTCTTCGTCAGATGCAGGCGCAAGTGACACAGAGGGTGAGAACCGCACGAAACAGGAACCCGTGGACTACGACGATCCAGCCACGATGGCTAACACCAATGGAGCCCTACCACACAACTTTCCAGGACTACTAAATCTACCAGGTATAGAAAACTGTTATCTCTTTACATTGTATTTTTTACGGTTATTACGGTATTTAAGGAACTCAACATAATTATGTACGGGTGGCAATCATAATAAGATGATCTTAATTTTCTAGGCTTTCCCGGACTCCCTGGCCCGTCTGGAATACCTGATAACTTCGGTAAGTTGAACCTTTATCTCACCTCTATCTCGACTGACGCAGTAATGGTAATGACTAATATAGTGTCAATTAGATCAAATCATGTCACATGAAACTACCTAACGAAACTATACTATTAAAACACATTAATTACACATTACTGAGTCATGAACTGCTCAAATAGCGTTAACAATTAAAGTAACAAGTAGTTCGAACCTGATATAAGCGATAGCGACAATGGAAGTTAGAGCCGCTCACCACGTGATATTGATAGCGATAATGTAGGACAAGAGAGAATTGAACGCGTGCTCCGTCTGCCCCAGGAGCGACCTGGCCCGGCGGCGGAGAGGTCAAGCCGGCCAAGATGGAGGAGCGGTTTGCGTACGGCGGCGGCTTCGGAAACGGTGAGCCGGCCAAGCCCGCGTGCCCCGAGTGCGGCAAGCTCTACAGCAACAATAGCAACCTCAAGCAGCACATTTTGAACGTGCACGCGGCGCGCGACCTGGCGCACCCCTGCCCCGTCTGCGGCAAGGGATTCAAAACGCGCCAGTACATGCAGATCCACATGAACTCTATACATGGCGTCAAACAGAGGAGGCGCGACCCCGCCCCGTCCGCCGAACTAGACCGATACACTCACAATAGCGTATAAATGTTTTTAACCGCCGCCTCTGTGTTACAGGGGCGGCTCTCGCGGGCGGGGCGGCGATGGGCTACCGGCCGCAGTGTCCGCTCTGCGGCCGCGTCTACTCCTCCACCTCCAACCTGCGCCAGCACATGCTGAACGTGCACTCGCAGACGGACCGCGACCAGTGGTTCCCTTGCCAGCACTGCGGCAAGAAGTGCAAAACGAAGCATTATCTCATCAACCACCAGCTCCAAGCGCACGGCATCCGACAGCGGCAGAACTCTTAGAGACGACTCCCCGAGCGGCCCTCGACAGCCTCGCTCGCCGCTTGGTGGTGACCACCGACGTCCACCGATATCTGTAACGTGCCAATGGACTACGCGGAATATTAACCCGTTACCTTATATAATGATATTTTTAGACCGTTTATTAAAGTTAGGAGAGTATCGTCGGATTTGCCAACCGTTCGTCATTAAGTAATATGATGCTGTCGGCATTGCAGATGCCGCGCGCGACGTGTTGGCAAAGCCGGCGATTAGCGATCGCACTGAAAGCGGAGAGCGAGGAAGCGAGTTGCTTAAGTACTTGGATGGCGATGGCAAAGGTTTAGCGTACGGGGCAGATCAGCTGCAATGCCCGCTGTGCTTCGTGAGGCTGGAATCTTTGGCGCTGGCGAGGCGACACCTAGAGGCGCATTACCCTCGCGACAGCCCCGTCTGCCCCGTCACCTCTTGCTCGAGATACTTCGCGCATCCGAACTCTGTCCGCAACCACATGAGAATCAAGCACAGACGACAGTGGGAGAAAATGAAAACTCTCAAGTGGAGCTGCGGCTGGACGAACTAAGATTCCTGATGAAAGACTTATAGACAAAGATGTAACTTAGCTACCGTAAAGCTGAATCGGCTGTGAAAGGGAACTGAGAGTGGGGCTTTATATGTATGTTACAGAGGAACCCAAGATGTTGATTTCCACAATGCATTTTCATATTTTGCAGTAATTATTCGTATGTAAACATTGTATAAAAGTGTAGAGTAAATTGACTGAAATTATTTTTGTAGTAGAATAGACTGATACTTTTAAGTAAAGCTTAGATGCGCACTGAAATAATGAAGTGGTGAGGGCATTCAGAGAAAATATGTACCTACGTACAAAAGGTTTTACGACGTAATAATGTCATAACGAAATGTCAAATGGAAGCAGTTGTTTCAGTGACATCTGAGATTTAGTTGTAATGCGCATTATGACTTGTGATGATTGGTGCCATTGATAGTTTACGAAGAGCAACTAAGAGATTCTTTTCCCTTCCATATGTCTCTAACTTCCATTGTTGCTTCGATTCATGAACACATTTCTTTGTATTTAAGTTCCTAATATAGTTGATATATTAGTATTTAAAATTCTACTCATATAAGCCTCTGGAAAACCCCTTATGTATACAGTTCATGATTTTAGCGTGCGAAATAATGTTAATACTTTCCGCTAATTTTCATTTCTTTGTCGACGTATTTTTCAAATTATGTGCAACAGTTTCTTTAAAGTCTGTATAATGTTACATAAATTTTATTGTTAATGGATTTTTTGGCCTACTTTTTTTACTACAAGACTTTACAAATATAAAAGTGCCTGCAATAATATTATTTATTAGAATCGGGAAATTGTTGCACAGCAATTCCTCCACTAAGCTTCTATATTTTCGACCATAGATAAGACAATACGAAATAGAATTAAATGAAATGAAAATGCCTTTTAAAGCAATAGATAAGACATATAATATGTTCAACAACATAGGGTTTATTTTTTAAAGTCCGTTTAGAGCCATGTCGGCGACGTGCACAATCAAAAACATATCTAGTCAACGTAGGAGAAACTCGAATGATTTATGGAACCTGTATATAGATATACCTACTTTCCGTTCGCATATATTTTCTGACATATTGTTATACTAGAGCTACATACATAGATTTTAGTTTATATAGAGTATACATATTTTGAAATAGAGAACGCAATAGACCAAAAACGGGATCTAACCTAAATAAGGCAACATAGGTGATTGTTTAAACTGATTCTGTCGTGGACATTTTGCCTTTAAGGAAAGACTGATCTTTTTCTATTGGCATCACAGCTTCCATTAGATCTAACCAGATTTCATAGTTGTTAAAAAACGTTCACCTTTATAATCTTTACTGTGGTTGGGGCAGTTTACAAAACATGTGCACCACTAAGCCTATCGGTTATTCGATATCATAGATCCTTAGATAGTCACCTATGTTGCTTGAAGTACATCAAAATATATGCGATAGGAAACAATTGCATAGATCCGAAAATATATAAAAATCGGTAAAACTTAGCGAGTAGTTGAAATTGTTCCTGACGCCTGTGAGGCAATCTTGTATATCTTAAGGAATATAAATATTTTTAAGCGTACAATATTATAAATTTAGTCCCAATAACCAAATGTTCAATGTGAGTAACGATTCTAGTTGCGATTGTATTAGTGATATCGTATATACGTAATAATTTAATTTTTACCCAACGAAAATTGTCTGCTTATATGAAACAAATAACAATAAACCTACGAAGTAGAAATAGCGCATTTTTAATAAACGATAATCTTAAAGGCGGCAAGGTAAGGATATTTCAAAAAAAAAAAACGAAATCTATTTGAACTTTGTCGTAATGAAGTGCAATTTTTAGGTGGCTGTCGGCGTACACAAGACCTGCTTCGCGTGAGGGCTACAGACCCAAGACCCTGCCCGAAGTGTGGCAAAATTTACCGATCAGCTCACACTTTAAGAACCCATCTTGAAGATAAACACACCGTTTGCCCTGGCTATAGGTAAAAAATAAGACTTGCTCAATCCTCACAATAAAATATAATAAGAAAGAAAATAAATAATAATCTGGATGTTTTGAACACTTAGATGCGTTCTGTGCGGAACGGTAGCAAAGTCTCGGAACTCCCTCCATTCGCATATGTCACGACAACACCGCGGGATCTCCACCAAAGACCTGCCTGTACTACAGATGCCAACAAGATTCGATCCAGAACTAGCCAGCCAGTAAGTGTTTGAAAATATTATAAATTGCTTCTAAACCGCTATCGAATAGAAGTGTTAGAAAACACAAAACCATTTTACAGACTATTAGCTAAGGCTGGTGTGAAGGTATCACCAGAGCAGCTGAGGGCGCGCGCTTCTCCAACCGGGCCGAGACGATCTGATATCAAGCTTGATGCGAAGTCTGCTGCATCTGAAAGCAGCTCTATATGTGGAGACAACGAGCACGATGACCTTAGTCAGTCGAAATATCAAGACAGTATCCCTGTGTCACCACCGCGTAAGTGTCGCATCATAAATTCGATCACAATTCTAAAGATTTCATGAGAAACCAAAATGATGATAATAATTTAGTTAAAGAATGTTTTACTTAAGTAAATGACTTTTACAGATATAAACAACTTAACCAATACCACGATAACAAAAGTGCCGGCTGTACGAGCAGTTACAGCCAAGGCGGTTGAAAATCTCCCGCACGGGTTATCCGGTATGAAGCACGATGATTACCCGCCAGGATTTGGAGGCGGCTCTGCTATTCTCGACACTTATTTACAATATATTGGAGAAAATGTTTTTGGTAAGTATATTAACAATCGATAATAATATATAGTAGAATAATATTTTTCTATATTCTTATCTCATTATAGGAATGAATGCTGCAAAACTCGCACAAATGAATGCAATGCACATGGAAAGAAAAACATATGATGAACCCTCACCCCAAATGGGATCGCTTCCACCTCCGCCCACCACACTAGCTCACCAACGCTTCCTCAAACAAATGCAAAGACAATACACGGAAAACATGGGAAAGCCGGATATAATGCGTGACTCTGAAGAACCTTTAGATCTGGGTAAAGAAAGGCAAAGGAACGACAGCATCAGCGAGGCTGAGACCGACAGGCAAGATATAGACAAAGAGATGAGTAAAGATTACTTCAATAAGGGATATAACGACGATGACAGGAATAGAATACACATGTCCGAAGACCATGAAAACATGGGGCACGAGGACGACTATTCAGAAGACGAGCATAATAAGGCAGCTTCATGAAATAACCGCATAAATAGTGTAATGTATTAGTGTGGAACAATATTCTGTTGATGGTTTTTCAAACGGTGCTTGAGTGTTATGTTACATCGTAGGATGTTTAATGGTTTTATTGTTGACCCGTGGAATGTCATAGGTGCCATTACCGATGTTAAGTTGAACGGTTAGGCACGGACCCGGCGTGATCATATGGCTATTCTGAGATGCTGGTTTCCAATCGCTGTTTCTGGTTAAGCGACCGTAGGCACAGTTAGAGCCCTCACCTGACCAAGGAGCCATATATCACTAGAGTAACCCGCGTTAGTTCAGAGCCGACTCGCCATTTGAGAGTTTGTTTGAGTAGTATTATAATCTAGCGAGTAGTACTTTGTATCGTGTAAGGTCCCTGTCACGTAGTAGGGCCTCTTACATAGTTATTCCATCCAACTACCTCAACGTTCGGGCCAATATGGCGACGATTTTAAAATATATATATCCACACAAATTGTGAAATTCCATCCATCTACCTCACTTCAATAGATTTTATTTAATATTTTATACAATTTATAGATATAAATAACTGTTGTTTTATGCATTTTGCAGATTGCATTTATATATACTATATAGAGTATATTGTAGGTAAAATATTATGCAAGTCATTAGGTGGTCGTTAGCGCTGCCAGTAGATTCGTGTATACTAAACGTTTATTTTATATAGTGAAAGCACTCACTAGAGAAACAGTAGACTGTGTCACAATAGTAGCGAGTAATATTGAATGAACATTACTATATGTACGAGTACGAGCAGAATAACATATAATATGTAAAAAACAAAATATCTTTGTATACGAACAAATATAAACAGAGCTTAAACTATACCTATTAATATTCGTATAATTGCTTATACGAATCGAAAAGAAAATATATGTTTATAGAGTTCTTTACGAACAAATTCTAAATTTTAACATCTTTTGTCCTGAGACTGAATATTTTTCAACTATGTCGAGCGATTCGCTGTACTACGCTAGTACGGAAGTACTCATTACGCAAAAAATTGGGGTAACGTGTTGTATATACTTCTCGGTGATATGTAATTTATATGAATAGACGAATAAAACAAAAGCAATAAATAAAGTATACCTTGATGTTGCCTTCTAAGATGTAAACGGAACCTGGCGGTCCCAAGTGTGTCTGAAAACGTTCTGGAACTGTGCACCTCTAGACGCAAGAATGTTTATTTTGTAGTAATGATGTGGGCTGGTTACTTAAAAAATACTGTGATTACAATCTCATATTAGCCTTCAATAATAATTATACATATTTTTTAGAGTACAATGTTATAGTTATTTAGTGTAAGGATATGTGTAAGCGAGTCACAAATATATTTACTTCCCATACCTTAGATTTCACGTTAAATAAAAACAGCAATAGTCGGAGCGCTTAGAGCTTTATGTCGATTTTCGAATTTATTGGGTTGCCACACTAAAAACTTCAGACTGATAAGTTTGAAATTGTGGTAACTGTGATACATTCGTCGAGATAAAAAGTGCTACGGATTAAGTAATTATTATGCTAGTGTGTTAGTGAGATTTAAGAAATAAGTCGGTTTGTGTTTGCCTATACATTAACCTTGTTGACAGTTATCAGTGTTGCCATAGTAAGTAATAATTTCGATTGTACATAAAATTTTTGATTATTTAGAGAAGTGTGCTTAACACAATGTTATAGTAATTTTTTAGAATATATTTACCACAGAAGCAGTTCATAATAGTTGTTAAAGCACGGTACAGAAGCAATAGTTACCAGAATGTGATGAAGAATCTATATTTTTCTGAACACAGTTTTGCATACCACAGATTAAATATACCTAGATTGCGATGGTATTATATTGATGCTTTAGGACTAGAAAACATGAGGCTATTAAAAGTAGTGACAAAATTTATTTTTAGGTGATCATTGACTCAATAGACTTTCAGATTTAATTGACGAGCTAATCACGTGAATGAATACAATTAGAGGATCAACATAATACCGGGCATCACAAAGTTGTTGTATTCTTATACCAGTGAAGATATTATGCTATAATTAGGACTCTAAGTCAATCGTATTCTCTTAGTATTTTGTGTATAAAGTATCTTTAGTTACCTTTGAACTTTGAAAGTTCGTTATTTTTTTGTCTTAATACCTCATTAGTTCTATCATAAGCTTTGTTTAGGCAATGTTCTGCGGACATTGATGTTATAACTGTATGTGCACTTTTGATTTGTTTGTGCATATTATATTAATTCGAGTCTTGCTTTTTATGTGTAATTGTTTTACTACACTATTGGCCGATTGTATCAAGCACAAGTATTTTGTTAATGGTTAAAAGACTTATTCACAATTTATCAACACAATTGACGGGGAGATTAAAAAAACTGATTTAACTATGCCTCTTTCAAATATGTTTCGGAGATAATTTAGATTAGCAAATGATTTAGAATATAATATTTATGTTTATTTGGTTGTTTGCCACGTCTAATGCCATGTACGTTAGTACTAGATGTATGCCGCTTCTCTACATTATTATAAACAAATAAAAATAATTGTTTTAAATATTCTGTTATTCTTAATAAAACACAAACCCAAAAGATATCATCGCTCCTCGAAGGTTGTTACGCTATCGGTCTCGATTATCATCACTAAATTAGTGGCGGCAGTCGTCAATGCACTAAGGCAACTTGGTCGGTTAAGTTCGTCATTCTCTTTTCAATAGGTTGAAACAAACCCAATAGTCTTTACGATATATTGAAAATTAAAAAAAAATATTACAAAACGAAACATTTATTTGTTGTGGAATTTACATTTTAATACACAATAATGTGATTGAAATATTTTGCAAGTGGCTGTTAATATATTTAGCCGTAACTACATTGAAGCCTAAAACTAGTAAAATAAATTACAAAATAATATATTACATTCCTTAAATCAAAATCACATAAATTCATTGTAATATTAAAAAGGGAAGATTTTATATAATATTTGTACAAAAGAAAGCTAATTCTAGTTCATAACTTTGGTTTTGTGATTACACCAAGCACACTACTCCTTTTTTAGCTTTTTCGACAGAAGATAATGAGCGCCAAATAAAGCGTTCATTCTGAAAAGTTGCAGACAAAAATATTATTATACTATTCTTATAATTTGACTGCTTCTTTAGCTAAATGGTTAAATGTGTTGCCTAGAAGTGCGTTAAGTGCGAGAAGTTTTGGGTTCGGATCGCAAGGAAGCAATGGATGGTTGTGGTAGGGTAGAACACAGAACTCTGATCAACTACTTGCCTGTACATAAAACCGATCAGTTAAACAGACACATGAATGTGTTAGCCTCATTCCCCACGAGGGGGAAACTGTATTTTAATACTTTGATAGTAATTAAAATAATAATAAATAGTAAGAACGGTAAATTAATATTCCAATATGCAGACCAAAATGATTTTGCCCTTGAACATGTGTTATTTATGCATTATTTTTGTTTGTTATTTGTTTTGACTGATAAAATGAATCTTGCAACTTTAATTACCATACAAACAAACATCAAAGCATATTATTTAGTAAAAATTACTTTTATCACATATTTGTGAAACCAAGAGAATTTGTTGCAACTTATTTTGCTGCAATATTTTTTTTCCAAGATATTTGATAAGCATAAAAACAATGAACTTGTAGTTACTTAATCTTATCTCAAGAAGGACCATATATTTATATTGGGCACTAATTATAGCACTTTTAAAAGGAGAGATATGATTTAAAATAATAAATAACAATAAACTTACAGAAAGGCCAAATGCTATTTCTTGCTGCTTGCCAGTGCTATCCCCAGGCCGACAATACCACCAATGGCCAGGACAGCACCACTTGCAACTGCGATACCAATCATGCCTTCTTTCTCCATTCTCTTGTTAATCTGGCGCTGAAATGTTTTGTTTCGGTATTTGATATACAAATACGTATTTGAAGATACAAATTTAATCATGGATCAGTAAAACTCACCTCCAATGATAACACTTGCTGATTTGCTGGCTCTATTTCCAGAAACGCTTTTACATAATGAAGAGCCTTATTGTACTCCTTGATCCTAGCATTGCCAATGGCCAGATAGAAGAGGTAGTCCCGTTTGCCCTCTGCATGTGAATTAAAGAGATCCTTTAACAGCAAAATACCCTGAAAATTGTAACATAACTCATGTTACTCTGTAGTCAATAACTAAACAATATAGACAATAGTAAAATGCAATTACGGAATTCATAAATTTCTGTCAAGACAAAGACCAGCTCTATAGCGCTCGCTCTCTATAGCTCTAAATGTCTTAACACAATAAGCATTGCATAAAGTACAAGAGGTCCAGGTTTCAAATCCAAGAGAAAAACACAATTGTTTCGATCAAGTAGGGCACAGAAGTCTGAACAAGAATTGAAATATGAAAAGCACATCAGGGAATTGAACCCACAAATATGTCATCCCCATAAGAGGAAACAGAATTTCACTTACATCTCTATTTGGGACATCTGCGCAATAAAAAATATAAAGAATGATCTTCACCTAACATCATTATGGAATCTGTAATTGGGTGCTGTAATGGAGATTACACAACCGTGTTAAGCAGTAGAAAGTCCATTTTGGAATGTTCAATTGATAACAATTTTATTGTAAATAACATAAGATTTACCTTTCTAATATCTGCAGCATATTTGCTTCTTACAAGACACCATGCATACTCAAATTGAGCCTTGGGAGTTACTCTACCTTGGTGTAGCTGTTCATGATAAACTTTTTCAAATTTCTAGAAAACAAAAGAACACATAATACAATCGTGAGTCACAACAATATGTAGGTATAGGTAAAACGTAATAAGTTTCTTACTTGCAAATCCTCCGACGGTACAACTTCGTCCAAAACATCGTCCATGTTGTTGAAGTATAAAAATAACCAGAACTCGTACTACCTTAATAGTTTTAATTTATTTGTAAGCAGTAAGAATTGCTTTTAAAAATTTAGAAACACTAGTTAACTGTGAAGTGAATATCAATAATGTTTTAGTCAGTTTTAGTTTTAGCCTTGACGTTTAGTTTGACACTTGACAAGAGTTTGGAAATGATGTAGGCCAATAAAATTGTCATTAATTATTGTGTTTTGATAAAATGAAGTACAAATAAACATTTATTATGCATATTTTTGATATTGATTTATGATAATTCACGAGCATACAGAATCTTATTTTTGTATATTCTTATTATACTTGTAAATATATTAAAAAAGCAGAGCCAATATGTTTAAAGTAGTAGCTGACGCTTGACGTCATGTTTTGACATTTCAATGTCTGTTTTTCAAATCGAAGTGATGGTTGCTTTACAAAAGTTGTGCGGCTTTTGTGTTGAACAAGTGCTCAGTGTATAATTGAAAACATACGACTTACATCAATTAGATTAAAACAAGAGTTATTGGTGGATCAGCAAAAAAATGCAGAGTGTTATTAATACGGTGAAAGGAACAGCTCTCGGAGTTGCGGGTTATTTGACTCCTGTCCTAAAGGTAAGTTTAATTTTACATACTATTATAATAATCATTATCATTAACTACAAAGGGGCGGATGTCAAGATCATTCCAACTTACTTACTATAACTTAAACGGCCTTTACTCTGAGTAATATAATCGGTAATTTTAAGATTATTAACAATTGCTCAATTTTTAAAATTTTGTTTGATAAGTAAGACAGTTATGTTATGCTTTGATTATACTTATCACAATCTCTCTTAGGAATCCAAGTTCCAAGAGACTGGTGTATTAACCCCCGAAGAGTTTGTGGCTGCTGGTGACCACTTAGTGCACCATTGTCCGACATGGCAGTGGGCGAAGGGAGAAGAAAGCAAGATAAAACCATATCTACCATCTGACAAGCAATTTCTTATCACTAGGAATGTGCCCTGTTATAGAAGGTGCAAACAGGTGAAACCAGCTTATTAAAATATTTGTGTGTTTTATTTTGTTTGTATTGCAAAAAATTTATAACTTAGATATTCATTTGTCATTCTCATAACTATAATACCGTGCATTTTAGATAGAATATTGTGAGGACCATGAAAAGATAATTGAAGATGAACATGATGAAGATGGAGGCTGGGTGGACACACACCACTATGATTCGGCTGGGTCCCCAACATTGGAGGAAAAAGTAAGTAACTGAAAAGGGTAGCCTAAATAGAAAAATGCACAAGCTAACTGTAATATTGTAATTTAGAAAAATTGCTTCACTTGTTTTTTAAATAAGACTACTAATTAAAACGGCTTAAAAAAACTTTATTTTTTTTTAAATTAAAAGTTAAAAACTGCTTTAAACCATTAAAGTGTTTCATTTAAATGTATACTACTTGCATAAACTACAGACAGTATTGCATTAATTTATGCAATAAATAATCCTTCAAAAATTTAAACATCATGAGTTAGTCTTGTTTAAATTGAGAAAAAATCATGTATATTTTGTGTTATAACATAAGTGTTTTGGCAGGTATGTGAGATGACACTTGAAGCCGCAGAAACTGGAGACAGTGATGGCGATGGTGCTGGAGACCAGGATGATGAGGACGATGATTGTGAAGACGGGGAAGCCGAAGATATGGAACAGTTCCAAGAGTCAGGTCTTCTGGATGAAGTTGATCCAGTAATGTATTACCAAAATAGAATAAATGCTTACTTGTACAAAGGCAACAATTGATTACCATTGTTTTTTAATATTTCAGTCGACTGCCCTGAGTACGCGCAAGCCAACTAACACGGATTTGACAAAGGTGAAATCGCGTCCGGGTGATGGTGATGAAATAGTGCGTACACGCACATACGACCTGCATATAACCTATGACAAGTACTATCAGACACCTCGGCTTTGGCTCATTGGATATGATGAAGTTAGTTCATTGTTTTTTATATCTTATCATATACATTATATAAAAATTCAAATATGTGTAAATGGAGGAAAAGCCCTAAGTACAAAGTGCTCCATACTTTGATTGGCTTGATCTTAACTTCTGGGAAATTTCCACACTACACACTATCTTTTACTTCATGACGCCTAAATAGAGATGTAGGAAACCTTGTTATCTCAGTATTTTTTATTATAGGAAAGAAAGTTGCTAAGTGTATCTCAAATGTATGAAGATGTGTCCCAAGATCATGCCAAGAAGACCGTAACCATGGAGACACATCCTCACCTATCTGGGCCATCTATGGCCTCAGTACACCCTTGCCGGTATGTTTTTAATCACATACTTTTCTTCTATTAATCTTGAAGCGTCTAATTTTTTTTTTTATTTTAGCCATGCAGAGGTTATGAAAAAAATTATAGAGACTGTTACCGAAAGCGGTGGTGAGCTTGGTGTTCACAGCTATCTCATTGTTTTCCTGAAGTTTGTTCAAACCGTCATACCAACAATAGAGTATGACTTTACACAAAATTTTACCATTCACTAAAGCAGTTTGTATATCAGGGAAGACATAATTCATGTATTTCCAAACGCCCAAGCATAACTCAAATAACGTCTTATCAGGCTGTTTTATTATAATAGTAATTCGCGACTTCTAAAAATTGTCATTTTTATAACATATTTGTTCAATAATGTTTGTTATATTGTCTCTTTAATTCTAAAAAACACGCCAGTGATATAGCAGCTAAATTTTGTTCAAGTGGTTTTCAAATTGTTGTATAATAACTGAATATTTTATTTTAAATATTGTAGATAATATATTAATTAATGGGTATTAATAATTAATGGTATTACAAAAGCATATTTTCCAATATGTTACAGCCAAAATATGATTGTGCATTTCTTACAATATTATGATAGGTATTTAGAAATAGCTAATAAACAATTTTAATATATTATTTTTTTGTTCTTCAATGCGCTTGGTCGTTTGATCATAAAGAACATAATCATTAAAGCTCTAAAATGTAGCTTTTTATAACCACCTTATTACTTTCTTTTTATTGTGCTTGATGCCATTTTGTATATTATTGAGATATTTGTAAATATATGTTTTATTTTATGGATCTCAATCTGATCAAGCTTTCGTGTATGTAATAAGAAATAAATTGCTTAAATATATCTTAATAAAAACAATTATCCACGAATTTGTTTTATTTCTACTTTGCTTAACAATCGCCGTTCCAAAAGAAAACTTGTAATTTATATCACATTAATTTTTATTATCATTTACAAATAATGTTTCATATTAAAATATATTCAGTACATAAGAAGCACAATAATAATTATCATTACAAACCATCACTATTCTATCTTTACAAGAAATAAACTTATAATTAGGGTAATATTGCAAATGTCTTAATAATACATAATTGATCAAATCCAACTATTTTTAAATCAAATGTATCTAATAAATAACCGCAAGATATAAAATTAAAACCCATATGATTTTCTGACAAGTTGCTTAAATTTACCTTACACAAATTGGAATGAATTATTAATCTTTTTGCTAAATATATCCAACCAGATCCCAAATACATACTTAACTTTAGGAAATCTATCATTCTCAGACATTCCGATTCCATAAGGGTTATTCCCTCTAAAAATTTGAACTAGGTAGAAGTATGGATTGTGTTTATTTTTTAAAGGTTAATTTGTCTTGTTACTAATGACTAGCATAGCTAATGTTGTTAGTTAATATTGTATATTTTAATATCCGCAATTTAATTTAAGGTTTCAAACGAAATAAATATTTTGCACAAAGCTTCAGTCTAAATTCGCTAATGGTTTATAAAAGTTAAAAACACTTGGCCAATTTCACTAGTGTATTCCAATACAAAATTTATTTTATATTCTAAAATTTTACTAAACTGTGTAGTTGTGAATTTTTAACATAGTCTTAACTACTTTAACTATACAACGTAGTCAATTAACTTTTCACTAGGTATCGTATGTGTTCAGGATACCTTTGAGGTCAGGTACTTTTTACTTACAATGGGAAAGGCGTATCACAGTCCTAGCTACATGGCGACCTTTATTGGATTTCGAAATCACTACCATGTCTCAAAAGATTATTTTATATTCCATAGGGGTACAAAAATGGTTACTTCCTTGTTTTTAGTAGTCACTTAGGCCTATTAAATATGCCACACTGAAGTTCAACAGCAAACTTTGATTTGGAGATGTTATATTTATTAAACATAACTTCTAAATACATATATCAATATAAATTTTCTAATGAGAAAAAATATTTTAAAGTAACGTTCGTTGTTTGTCATGTTATTAGTCATATGTGCATAATAATATTTATGTTTTGTTAATGGAAAAGTCAACATTCCATGCATTACTAATTTTTAAGTAAGCTTTAACCGCAGACCCGAATGTCTTAATCTACAGATTCATTGCACTTATTTCAACTGTCCGAGTAATCTTAGAAGGACTAATGATAGTAACTTGTCCAATGGGTCAAGGGCTCCTCGTTGTAACCACTTGGGGATGGTGGATCGCGCATGGCTGAACCCAAGCTTCTGCAATATGTAGTCCACGCCGTATGGCTCGATGGATTTACCCGCCCAGGAGAGTAACCTGAGACCAAATTAAAATTACTGTATTATAAAAAATTTAGTAACAAATTGTAGATATTAAAAATATATATATCAAGGAAGTGAAACGCTCATTTCAAGTCACAAACATCGAAAACAATTTTACTAAAACTGTTCCTTGTGTAAATTCCAATAACTACCACATATAGTCAATTTAGTTGTCAATATTTTTAATGTACATCCGGCCATGCAGCCGGGGACGCTATGAAGAGTTGGCATTCCCAGAATAGAGGCTGTTATTTTAATAAAAAACAATACGTAGTAGATAACATGATAATTGTACCTAACGGTGGGTTCCAGATGCCATGTTAGGCAGTGATAGTCTCGATAGTCCAGGGGAGGTACAAGTGGAGTAGATTCACTGTGTGATACGCGTCCGCCTGGCATCTGCAATAAGTCATTTCTTGTGAATAAATAAAAAAATAATACCAAAATGTTGTGATTAAAATCAATGTTTTAAATCAATGCACATAAACTTAAAATTAGATCATTTTCACTTTTATATACAAATAAATTAAATGAAATTGATTGAAATTTTTTTTTAAGTCCAACCATTTCTTTTAGAAAAAATCTTTTTACCACGCGATCCTTCTCCTTGATGTAGGAAGAGATGAGATCATGCAAGAATAGGAAGGCTTCTGCGTCTACAGACACAAAGATGTGGTCTTCAAACTCTGTTATAAAACTGCATTCTACTACCGGTTTCGGATCTGCAAATTAAAAAATGGAATTTATGGTACAGTCCGAATAGCTGTTACCTACGAGGTCATTGGTGTCCATTTGTTGCGCGTAAATCTTGAAAGATAGACACACGGACAGGAAGGAGGAATTATTCCATCATACAAATTTTTCGGTCGATTTCGAAGCGCACGCAACGGAAGCGCTCAAAGACTACTCATTTTCCCCGTTTTCCACTGCTCCAATAAATGGTACTAACCGTTCTCAGTGGGTGGTTCCTGAGGTTGGCGGTGGCTAGTCCTCAAGTGCAATTGAAGAGCGGGCAGAGCAAATATCACCTCTCGCACGTGTCCCGTTTTATTACTGGATCCGTTGCCCGCGTTACCACTGCCCGAGCTGCCTGTGCTGCCTGTACCGCTCGTTACTATTCCACCCTCTTTCTCCAATGAGGGGAACAATTCAATAGCTGCGGACGTTATTAAACACTTGCACCCATATTTTTCAATAGTCAATGAATTGAAAAAAAAAGCGAACATTTTCTTTCTATTTTTCCAAAAATCGAAAATTTTAGACTCGTGCAGGACTTGAACCGGCATCGTTCCGTGCTGTTGCTCTACCAATTGAGCTACCGAGTGCTACACCTCATAATCTAATCTTTTCAACTTATTAATACATGCACCTCTTGCGCAATCGCAACCCCTTCTATTTTTTTAATATTTCTATTATATTCAATTGACTAGTACCAAGATGTGATTCACTGGTATATAATATCTCATTTTTTTATGATAGAGGGCAGACAAGCATAGAGTTCATTTAGTCGAAGGTGAAACACCCCAACCATATAACATCTAAACAAGATGCATGGTCGATCTACTTTGGCTTTGTAACCGAAACACAATTGAACTTGAGGCTTTTTCAACTGTGGACGGTAGTTCATGACCCCGGACGGAATTTCAACGTTGTACCACCCATTAATCTGGATTTCCAGACGGAACAGACAGTCCACTATGTTCCAGAGCAAATATAAATTCATGAGAAACACTCTAGACCCTGTGGATCGAACACAGGAGTTAATACAACATACAGTCCGAGTATTTAACAAATTCATTCTTTTCCTACCATCAATTTCGCTATCAGCGAATGCATATTGGAACCATTCCCGTAGGGTCTTAAATTGGGGAGGGAACAGCACGGTGCGCGACATCCGACAAACAGTCGCCAGCGATTGGTGACCTCCTCCGCTGCTCGTCGCGCCAGTTCCATTTGCGCCTGCGCCGCCGAGGCTTGCAGTAAGCGTCTGGACCGCTTGAACCTCCACTTCACCTGTAAAGGAGTTGTAGTTAATTTTTAAACAGTTTTCCAAAGAACGGAAAGTTTTCACCACATTAATTTTCCATTTTGTTGAGCGATTCTCTTATTATATATAATTACAGATTATTTATGTAAACTTAAATTATCTGTGAAACGTTTTTAGCAATGCAATTTTATGTTATATACTTTCATCTCTGACTATAAATAGAACTACTTTAGTGTTTTTATTATGTATCTTGAACAAATAAATAAATTCGCATTTTAAATAAAACACGTAACGGTTTAAAACGCGAAATGTTTTAGGTAAACTTCGTCAACAAAGGATCCGAAATGTCGCGCCGTAGTTTTAAACAATTTTCTTAGATTAGCCTTTTTCAATATGCCCCACTAAAAAATTCTAAACATTCTATAATAAACTTGTTGTGATGTAACTTACCATTTTCAATGTGGAGATGTTGTGCCTCGGTGGCGAAGGTAATGCACACATCCTTTAAACTGAACAGTGCCCACGATTTTGCCTTCAAACTGTTTCCATGGAAGCACGCCAGAGATATGTTCGAGCCTATAAGCTCTATGCTACCACCCAATACGCACCCTGGAACAGTCAAATGACAATATGTTTTCCCATGTTATTTTGTCTTTGTATCTTGTCTTTTATACCTAAAATTAAATAAATAACAAAAGCTGGCAAGTGATAAGGCTCTCCATTTTTGTACGTAATCATTTTATGTATTGTGGTCCACACACTGCAATAATTATTTCCATACCTGGCGTGTTTGAAGATGGATCGTTGTTTAACGATAAGCCAGTTACAAATGTCAACACTTTTTGCCAGTGTCGGTGGTGCCGTAACTCTTGCTGCGGCACGCTGCTATCACCAGCACTGGTCGTAGCTGTAATAATTAGAATATATGTAAAGGAAAACCATCCAAATATATGTAAAATAAAATGCTCTGTAGTAATCGTGGAGTAGTTTTCCTTCAGTTTAAATTTTATATGATAATAAATAATAAATATCTGACAACGCAATGTCAATAGATGACATCTAATGACGGATAACATTTCCGATGGTTAAATTGGCAAAACTTGTGTTAGTTTGTGAGAGATAAAAATACAGTATAAACACAATTATATTAATTTAAACCTGAAGAAAGGGCATTAAATGTTGTTTCTTGTTTTTTTCACGTGAGTATTGTTTAATATTAAATAATGTAATGTATAAACTTTCGAGAATAGTTGTAAATAAAATATCTTGTTTTTTCAGAGAAACGCAATTACGTTTTTACTTTAATAAAACCCATATAAGTCATTATATATACATAAAAACAATCTGATGGTACATACATACATTTTAACAACTATTGTTTGGTGGATACCACTTTTAAACGGGTACAATACCTTTGTGTTCCTATTTTCTGTGCCACCTACTTACTTATTACTTAGTAATGCTTTCCTCACATCGTAATTAACAATCATCAATAAAAGACCATAAAAAGTAAGACATCGATACAAAAAAACAGTCAACTGGATTTTTTACATGTTCGTTGGTCTAATGGTAGTAATGTATTGTTAATAATCGACGGGTCGTGGATTCTATCCACATCTAAACCAACATGTGTCTGATTCTACAATTTATAATTTTTCTAGAACATGTTGTACTCCATCTGTAAATCTGGATATTAAATGGGTGGTAGGAATATCGAAGTTCCGTCCGAGTCACGAGCCACCGTCCACAGAGGAAAATGCCGTAAGGTTGATCGCGTTTCGATTTCAGTCTGTGGATTTCCGAATATATAAAGCCAAAATAGGTCGACAGCGCAACTTGTGGCTGGGGTATTTTACATACCATCAAGTCAAACCCATGCTTGTCTGTCCTCCTCTATCATAATAAAATTGTTGCAGAAACTAGAACTTAAAGAAGGGACTTACGTTTGAAAACTTTATTATTTTTTACATGTGTATGAAGGCACTATATAATTTAAAGATCGAAAATAAATTGAAAAAATTTTCGACTCGTTCAACTCGAATTTTTTCAATTTATTTTCGATCTTTAAATTATATAGTGCCTTCATACACATGTAAAAAATAATAAAGTTTTCAAACGTTATAAGTTTGTAATTTCATCTTCAATGATTTCTTAAGCTGGAAAGCATAAGACGTTGAACCTTAATACGCAAGTGTTAAGGTTGAAATTACATTGCGCGGTAGGTGCATGTATCAATAAGGTGAAAAAATTCGGCGATGAGGCGTAGGACTCGGTAGCTCAATTGGTAGAGCAACAGTACGGAACGCTGACGATGCAGGTTCAAGTCCTATCCCGAGTCGAATTTTTTTTCATTTTAATTTCGATCTCTAAATTATATAAGGGACTTACGTTCTTTCCTATCCCGCCTTAGAGTACCGTAGCTAGGATGAAGCGAGCTGAACACCCGTTTGCTCGACTTGAACTGCTGCGTGAAGAACTCTTCCAGCTTGAGTTGCATTTTGAGTAAATCTGGTGTCGTGCTGCGACTCATGAGGATTTGTAACTGGTGCCAGCTCAAAGTGCAGTGCGTGAGGATGGTCGCTGGTCGACTGTACATTAAACAAAATAAACACATTTCTTAAATACATCATATTGTTTAATTTTCTCATGTTACTATTTTTTAATACTATCTTTTAAACAAAACCACTTTAAGGGTTTTAAACGCGATATATATAAAACTTATTTCAACTACTGTCCGACGTTTCGGATGCTTTGCACCAACCGTGGTCACGGGGAGTCTCCCCTTCCAAATAATATTAAGTAATATATAACGCGTTTGAAACCATGAAAGTGTTTTATGTAATTTGTGGTATCGCGCAAACTACAGACAATACTACCTTGTCCAACATTCACTTAGACACACAAGACAATATGGCTTTCGGCTTTTATAGGCCATTTCCAAGGGATTTCGGTTGTTTTGATAATGTCATGCTCTTGTGACGATCACGATACGTTAAGAACCATTTTTTAAGTGGCCGAACATTTCACGGGAAAGAAAGTTTTCTGTTTGTATTAGAGAATCTTCAAACCAAACATAGTTATTATACTCTAGGAATGCTATATAAAAATAGAATATTACCTAGCAGCAGGCCTGTGGCGACGCGACTGCCACTGGTCTCTCAATGCAGCACGCGGTCGGGACAGACGGGCCAATAGTACCGGAGTGCCCATGTACTCCAGTCTTAGTTCCAACGCGGCCAGACGAACCCCGCACACGTGAGCCGGGCTGCTTCCTGGCTCTTCCTCTACGTGAACTGAAAGTGACAAATTAAATAATGAATTACGCATATTGCAATACGCAAGTGTTAAAGTAGAAATTACATTGCATGAGAAATGCATGTAACAACAGGTTAAAAAACATCGACGATGTAGGACACGGTAACTCAATTGGTTAGAGCAACAGCATTGAACGCAGTGGATGTTGTTTAAAGTCGGGTATAAACCAACAATATGATTAAAATAAAAACCTAATGCTAATGGCGTACTTTAGTCCAGTTTTTGAGAGTGGGATTGCTTATGTACTCCGAGAAATTTTGAATAGTATTTGATAAAAGTAAGATCTTAGAAATTTAAACAAACCCAGGAGTCATATAAAAAAGACAATTTAAGGTTATATCACTATTATAAATAGTCTAATACAATAAAAGACACACACATTTTTATTAATTTCTGCGTTTCCTCGAAGTTTCTCTAAGTGTAAATGAAAATCAATAAATTTAATTATTAATTTTTATATACACTAGAAAGTTTAAAATTGTTGCGAATAAGTGCATTTTATGAATATAAATTGCACAAAATGTGCCGTCATAATATAGTTACGGTACGAGCTGTATTCGGGTGAATCCAAACAATGTTTATCTCAAACAAACATTTGGTAGGCAACAAATATCCTTATTTATAGCCAAACGTGTAAAATGCGTACCATGTGCATGCAAAGCAGCAAGGTTTATAGCGCCCCCCACGATGCCACCTCTTGCGTCGAGGGAGGAACCGCCCAAGGCGACTCGCACCACCATGTGTCTGTGATGGGTGCTGCCAATACTCAACCGGCCCGATGCACCGAGCGAACGACTCTGCCAGCTGAATTAAAATATTATGATTACTAGCTGTGCCAGCGACTTCGTCTGCGTAGGTCATTTTGGTAGAAAAATTTCTGTAAATTATAGCTGTTACACGCGGCGCCTGCGTCCCGTCGTTCAGTGAATGATAAAAGACAGACATATACTGTCACAGACATTTTTAAATCATTTAAAGAGAAATCATTCTTTCATAAATATAATTATTTATAGCCTAAAGAAGATAAAAAAAGTAAAAAAAAATCTACATTTTCACCTGTTTCTTCGCTCCTATTAGTCGCAGCGTGAAGTTATATAGGCCTAACCCCTTCCTCGATAAATGTTTTAACCAACACAAAAATATTATTTCCGTCTCGAACAAGTAGTTCCTAAGAATCGCTCGATCAAACAAACAAACTCTTCAGCTTTATAACATTAGTATAGATAAAAAACGTAACGTTTTAAGAAAAATTTATTAATGTGACACAGAAATACGCCTGCCCCACCCGTGGAAACGAAATTCGACTTTAGAAATACATAAAAACACACCTGACATTTCCCATGACGTTGCCCATGTTCATGTGGATGTTGAGCCGAGTGAAGTTCACTGCGAATAACACCAGGGTCTCCCACGCCGCCCCCCACTGCTTGCTTTCTGTATCGAATGGTAAAGTTATATATTATTCATCTTAATGTATGGCGCTACCCGTTTGAGAAATGAGAACTGAAAGTATTAGGACCAAATTGCTCTACCTTTAGACCTTTGAGGCTCAAGTTTGGCCTTTTCCCGCTGTGGTAGAACCGGTGATACGGGTGTGTTATTACTGGTTGAACTGAAAACATAAATAAACACTGTCTGTAGTTTACGCGAGTACACATTTTTTAATAGAACACTTAACCGGTTTAAAACGCGAAATATATTAGTTAAACATATTATATAACTACGACCCGACATTTGACATGACTACGGCTACTGAAAAGTATGTGAAACAATGTTAGGTATCAAATAAAACAAAATATTCTTTAAATATAATTTGTACATACGGTTGGTCCAAATCGAGGCTGACGTCACCAAGGAAGAGGCGGCGTACGATGGACCGACGATACCAGGCTCTTGGAAAGGCGAGTATTTCTCCCAAACGACGCATGTCGTACTTAAACGACGCAGAGCCAACGTCCACAATAGCTGTCAAATTAATATTTATAAATACTATTGTTTTATTGTAATTAATTTAAAAATCGAATTTAAATTGACTTTACGACGCGGGTATGACTGGAACCGGTATCTGCAGCGCTCTGTGCTGTTGCTCTAACCAATCGATATATTTACATATGTAATTTCAACCTTAACACTTGCGTATTAATTTATTGTACCTAATAACAACAAAAGCAAGTGGCGCCATCTAACATTAACGATGTATAACTTTGGTATTGTAATAGCTATCTTTCCCTGCTGTGGGAAGTATTAACGGGTTAATTTATCATACAGACGTTTCCGTTTGCCAATTACTCACTTGAAAACCTTACAGTCGCCTTCGACTGGTCTTGGTCAGTCTGAAAGTCCAACTTCCTGAACCGGGAAAGGTGGAATTTGACAAACTCCACGTTAATGCTGAGGGAGTCCTTTCTCTCGGTGTCGGCGAGAGGCGACCACTGCGCTTCTTTGAGACTGGACTTCTTTCCTCCGTACGGGTGGAAGATATACACCGAGAAGTCCGCCAAGCAGCCTGTCACACTGAGACCGCCCATCGCTATCGCAGCTTCCGCCATTTCTCTGAGGAATGATAAATTAATCTACAGATGAATTACGATTATATTTAAAATATATGACTACGATTTAAATGAAACACGTTAAGAGGCTAAAAATAGCAAAATATATTAGGTTATTTAACTAATTTTTTATTTTAACTACGATCCGATGTTTCGAATGCTTTGCAGCAACTCTAATCACAGGGGGAGGTACAAATCATGCAAAATGTCGTACAAGTTTAACTAATATATTTCGCGATACTGAACCGTAAAAAAAATTATTTAAGTGATTATTACTCGCGTAAACTATAAACAATACTAAGTTAAATATATTAGGTATGTATTTGCATATTTTGGATTTACTTTAACTACCACGCGAAATATGGAATGTTTTGCAGCAGCCCAAGTAACGAGGTTAAACTTTTAAACCAATAAGTGTTCAATTTAAATGATTACTTCTCGCGTTACCTATATTACTGTGGTTTTGAAAACTCCACTGAATGTCCACTTTTTAGAACAATATTATTATGTATTAGTTATAAAATAACGATTATAACTTACTCATCACTAGCACGTTTAGAGCTGAAGACGATCTGCAAGCTGGGAAGTTGTAGAAGGCACTCCACTCTAGAAGCAGGCAGGCAGCTAAACCTGAACGCGGACGGTCGCGTGTGGAAATGCACGATCACGTCGACAGGGAAGGACGCGTAAACGTATTGACCGTACGACCCCCCACCTTCCTCCCCGGAACCTCCCTCAGTCGATCGGGTCTCCGTTTCTGTATAAATATATTTGTATTAGGCTATAAAGAAATAAGACTCCTAATGAGAAAATTTGGTGACAAATTATCCTTTTTTTGATGTCAAACTAAAGAAATTTAAACAATTAAACCTTGTAAGAAAATCACAATTTTAAGTAAATTGTGTGTTTGTTTGTCAAATACGCCAAATTACAAAAAACACGTAAAGGTAGGCGACTTATACTGAAACGGTTTAAACATGAAATATATTAGTGAATTTGTGTTTTGTTTCGACGTTTCGGATGCATTGCAACTGCCATGGAAATAAGTAAACTAATATATTTCGTGTTATAAACTGTTAAAATTATTATATTAAAATGTGTACATAAATATACAACTTGCGAAAACTATAGACGACGACGACTATAAAATTATTGTCCTCTTAGTATGAAAGCATTGATCAAACCGTGTTGTGTGTCTTATTGTGACATTGTGTTTTTTTATCGTAATAAAACCTAGATTAAAATAAGCAGTACAAACCCGGTGTTGGCATTGAAAATGAAGCCTTAGTTGGAATCGGCTCAAGAGTTTGCTCGAGGAACTCTAAAATGTGAGGACTGATAATTGTCTCTTCCGGAATACTCTGCAATGTGATCCATGCAAATAAAGCCGCTTTCTTTGTTCCCATTTTCCGAGCGCCAACTACATTTGGTGGGGGTATATTCGGAATGGACTGCGGAGACGCTGACTCTTCTGGTAGTGTTTTCGATTCGTAATGTACCTGTAATATAGATTATATTTTAAAAAATAAAATGTGCAATAAATAAAAAACGCAATTTAAATATACACGATTAAATAAAACAGTTTAAAAGATTTAAAAGGCAACTTATAGGCTATATAACTTTATAACTTATATTAGGCATTTCGTGTTTTAAAATTGTAAATATATTTACTTTTAGTTGCAGTCCCGGCACTCTAAACACTGTGACATCAGGAGGTGGTGGGAGACGAGGTTTCCGACGCGCGTTAGGTGAACCTCCCAAAGGTCCAGTAGGCGTGGGTCCCATAGAGGGATTGCTGGAGCCTCCTACTTCCAATCCAGAACCCGCACTAGTTCCTGCTCCAAGGCCACCGGACGCTGATCGACCAACCCGAGACCGACCACTATAATACAAACAGAATGTTAATTTTGACCACATATAGTATGATCTATTAACCCACATAAAAAAGCTTTTTTTCTGTACTTCCGGTTGCCTGGAAGAGATCGCTGCTTAGGGATAAGACCGCATTTTATTTATAAGTTAGTAGGTAAGATTTTATCTTTTTTAGTTTTTGTTTTGTGTATTATGAATAATAAAGTCGTCATAAATAAATCAAACCCATCTATGCTAAGGTGTTTTTATGACAGGACGGATAAGCTTGACTTGACGAAAGGTTTCATATTTCAGCCATATAACATCTATATGGATTTGTATAAGTGACACATTTTTGAAATGTATGTAGATTTACACTTTATAACAACAATGATTCGTGTTTTAAAAGCAAACTTCATATTAGTAAAATTATAATAGATTTTTAGTAACATATTGGACTAGGTGAATATCGAACCCGCGACTTATTGATTATTAGTATTGGCTCCAAAATAAGAATCTGAAAATAATTAGAATTAAGTTTTAAACTAACATTTTCAAATCGTCATCGCGTGTAGGCTCCTTCGTATGAAGTACACATTTCCCACTGTTTATGTGAACTTTTACATCCAGTTCAAAATCTATGTTCGGTTCCGACGTCTTCGTTTTGTTTGGTTTGCCCTCCGACTGGCTCGCACCCTCCGAAGTTGTACTGTAAAAATGATAAGAAATGGTTGTTAGTCGATTGTATCTTTACTTATAATACTTGAAATAATTGACTTCGACGTAATGCTCGTTGCAAGGCTCGTTGAAATGATAACAATGTCTAATAATAATCAACGGACGTGTTCGATCACCACCACAACATTTTTCTAATCAATCACTATATTTTCAGAAACATTGAAATCTGGACATCATATGGGTGGTAGATATATCGAAACTCAGTCCCGAGTCACGAACTAGCGTCCACAAAGCCCTCATAACATCAGTAACATACTGCTCCACAAAATCCGGTCCCTAATGTGCTTTGTAAACTTTCATGAAGTCAAGACGTTAAATTACCTGGTATCCGTATTCTTTCTTGGTGGCAGATCGAGTCTGTCGGGCCACGTCTGCCGATGCTGCCCAAACGACACCGCCCGTCCTCCCGAAGTACCGCGTAACGAACCACAGCGCGATGGTCCTGTACATAATATAATAAGAATAAACGTTGCCTAAATAAGCAAAATTTGCAAATAGATACATTTGTGCATTGGCTGCAACAATATATTAAAAATTAATTTTAAGTTATTCTACTATTTGCAACAGTGACAAATACAACAACTCGAAAACTAAAAGACAATTGGTTCAGCAATGCTATTTTATGCATTTATTACGATAAATATATAAAACAAAGTATTGTATGAGTGAATTCATGCATAACCAACATACACATTTAAAAAAATATTAATATGTTAATTAAAAATTTATTATAAATTGAAAATTTTTTTCAATATCTGTATGTATACCCGTTAATGTCTCACTGTCCATGGAGCTCCAGGAAGCACCCTCTATTATATCAGCGAGGCGAGTGTCGTCTTCTACTAAGAGCAACGTTTCCCCAGAATCGCCCACGCTGCCCAAGCTGCCCACACTCGCTAGACTGCTCATTCCCAAACTGCCTACACCTGCGAGGTTACCAACGGTGCTCGAGGGCATAACTATCCCAGCTGATGCCGGCTCACCAATACTGAAATTCGGACTCTTGTATTAAGTCTCGTAATCCTTTCTAAAGAATATCAATGTTATAAAAAAAAATCCCTTCCTAAACACGAAAAGCTTACAGAAAAGTTCTTTATAAGTTTCTTCATATAGTTTATGTTAAGTTTATGCGATACATTCTGGTGCCATAGAATACATTTACCCTGTTAGGGCAAAGAAGCCTACAGATTAAATATAGACATGTAAGCACACATTTCAAAGTATAAGTCATTTTGTGTGAGCCAAAAACATTGAATACACACTCTAATGTATAACTCTAATACACTCTAAAGTATAGAAAATTATTTTCCATATTAAAAGTATACAAAGGCAACATAATTTGAAAGGTTACCTTTCGTTATCCGGCGGAAGAGACGGCAGAGGTGGTAGCGGTGGGAGGGGCGGAGGCCGACTAGAGCCGAGACCTAATTTTCCCTTTGTAATAGAGCTAGCTCTGACACTCTGCCGACGTAGTTTTTGCAACATATCTCTAAAAATTAATCATTTTAAATTTAAATCACGATACATAAAAATGCCTCTCTATTATGATCTATATATTATCGATGTTAAGGGTTTTTGTGTTTTGATACAAAGCCGAAACTTCTTTTGTTTATATACATCAAAGAATAAGGCTTCCGACGCCATTTTGAAAGTATCTTTAATGGTAGAGACTGATTACTGAAATAAAAAAAAAATCTCTAACACACTACATTTTTAAACTTTTAAATTGGGATAAGGCTTAAACGTACAAAATATAATAATATTAGTATATTGATTGTATAACTCATCCATCATTACCTTCTAAAGTCCTTGAAAACCAATGCTTCCAGATCTTGTAACCGCCTCAATTCATATTCTACTGTACTATGACTTGCACCTAACGATCTCAAATCACTGATTATTTTCGCCTGCTCAGTCATTTCCTTCTCGATGAGTTTTGATCGTTTCTTTGCATCTATTGAGGAGTCGAACACGAAGGCAGGCAAGTGGTCTGTGTATTTACGTCGTAGGACTATACTCTCCTGTAAATTTATATACAAATGCAAAAAAAAATCACCTAGGTAACTGTATACACTTTAATATATCTCTTTTTTATATTCACTTGATTCCGCACACCTTGTGTACAATAACGTGTTAAAAAATAAATAATACAATTAGACTAGAACATGTCGTTATGTCATTAAATTATAGAAATATAAAATAAGTGTGTTAACTGAAACATACTTTTAAACAAAACACTTTAACGGATTAAAACGCGATATATTCGTTTATTTCAATGTTTACTACTCGCGTAAACTCTAGACAGTATGAGACATACTTGTGAATCTTTACTATTGTCAGCCTCGTCATCTAAGTCACTCTCATAGTCCATCTTTAATGGGTCTTCTTCTTCGAAACCTGAAATGGGTAAAATTTGTAAAATTATCAAAAGATATAAACATACTAAGTATAATATGTGAATTACTTCATTAAAAACATAAAATTTCAAACTTGTTTTACAATTTGTGCTTCTCTCTTATTACGTAATCGGGTTATAATAAGTTATTGTTTTTATAATTACCAGTAAGCATAGTCAGCGTGTGGCCCAAAGCGGACAGCTGCTTGCCAACATTTGTGTCGAGATGTATGTCCACACCTTCCATTTGCCAGGATACATTTAGGAACCACTTGGCATTTTCTAAAGTAAGAAAAATTTGACTTTATATTGTATCTTTGGATAAATTTACGTGTGTTTTTACATGTGATTGAGGCATTTTTATAATTTATATCTAGACTGTAAACTTTTTGTTAAAAATGTAGAAATGTTAAATTTTGTGAGATGTATTTTTTGGGACTACTTAACGTGACCATGGCTGCTACAAAACAGCCGAAACATCGAAACATAGTTAAAATATTTTTCAAGCAAGTGTTAAACTATATATATATTATATATCGTATTTAAAACTATTAAAGGTTTTATTTAAATGTGTACTACTCGCGTAAACTACAGAAGGTGCATCTTAACACAGTTTAAACTTAAAAAAACACTGACCATTATGCCTTGCTGCAGCAGTGCGACTGCAAACTTCATATGTGCCCTCAGACACGCAGCAAACGTTAACACAGGCCTCTTGAGGTTCTGGTTTCCAGTCATCTAAGGACGCTTCAAAATCGCGTGCGAATCTCAAACAGAGGCCAACAAAACGACCTTTGCTAACCAGCGCACCCGAGCTAACGGCTGATATGCTGGTACTCTCTAGTGTCACAACTACAGCCCCACGTTCCCCATCACCTCCCATTCCGACGCCGCCTTCGCTTGCTCCCCAACCCCAGCCCCAACCGCACCATTTCGACTGAAATTTAAAACTTGTATCTTTAATATTTACAAATATAACAAAACAAACAAAACTATTTATCGTTTGAGTTATACTAAATCAGTGTCATAATTGGTATCAAAGATATTTTGTACTTAAAAAAACGTTTCCAGAACCTTAAAGCTATAATACTCACAACGGGTGGCTGATTAAGTGGTAAGCATATTCCGATGTCATCAACGTTGAGTTGTAAAAATAGAGTACTCAAATGGGGAGTGCCAATTTGTGACGTCAGTTGTACCTGCAGGGAAAGTATTTCTTTAGAAACCAATGCAAAGACTTTTTGGATTTAGACTCTTCATAAACTTCGTTAATCTTTTAATTCGTTGAATTCATTACTATAACTTTTCCCCAATGTTTTCCTTTATCAAAAAGTATAAAAATATAAATACTTTTGAAATAAAACATTGTCGACGGTTTAATACCACGAAATATATGTTAACTTTTTTTATTTTAACTACGTACCCCCGTGACCACCACTAATGTAACAAATAAGTAACACTAATATATTTCACGTGTTCAATCTTTTAAAGTGTTTCATTTAAATGTGTTATTTTTTGTTTATTTATTTAAATAAACATAGTACATTTGTACTACTTGTATAAACTACAGACATACATACATCAATATTTTTGTTACACAACCGAAAATCAAACATCCATGCTGCCAAACCTGGAGCATATACCACTACATTAACACATAAACGACGTACCTTCTCGAAAACCTGCTGTGTAGCTGTAAGCACTTCCTTATTTAACGTCATGCGCTTTTCGTTCCAATATTCATATGCGTTCTTATAATTCAGCCAAACAAGTATAGCTCTGTCTACTGCTATGGGCTGGATGTACACTAGAGGTCGCTTTAAACGGATGAGAACGACTTCCTTGTCTTCGCCACACACTATTTCCTCTTGAAATGCGTTGCGCATTGCTGAAAAAAACAACTTAGAATAAAAAAATACGACCTAATCACAATTGTTTTTTCAGTTCTGTAAAATAATTATTTGTTTTATTAAAATAACGAATTAATAAATATTATATCGGGTTTATTTACTTTCCTGCTTGTGGCCTGAAGAAGTTGTAAAGTTAAGTTCGTTAGAAAATATATCACATAGATAAAAAAAATCTTACATATTCTCGTATTGAAGAATGCATATTGTTGAAATTCTGGCTCGGCCTCTTCGAACATAGCATTGCGGATCAGCTGACCCAAACTCAAATTGATGTCCACCTAAAATAAAAAATCATTTCACCACCACGTTCTATTTAAAAGCTATTTCAATTGAAAAAAAAAAAAACATAATAATGGAATATACCTGTGCTCTCGCAAATAGTCTTAGCCCGTGCGACTGCGCAGGCTGCGTCACGTTTTGAACCCGGTTGGAAAGCTCCAACTCTACAGCGCCTGTTTCTAGTCTTACGGCACTGTTGCTCGGTGTCATCGCCGTTAATTGAATACGCTGGAAAAAGCAACGACAAGTCATAAGTCTAGTCCTCCCCCCTCTCTTGGGGCATGCGGTTTGTTCTACTAGACCATATTGTGTTTGATGCCCTGGCCGATCGAAACTTAATCTTCTGTGGGAATTCAGGCGGTCATTCGGTAAGTTTAATGTGAATTTTCATAAAGTTGGTTAACGTTTTTTTAGAAGGATGCTTTGTTTTGTTTTTATTAAAGGGTCTATTTAAACTATGCAACCTAAAAAAATACAATCATTATCACGTCAATACTTACTTTGATTCTAATAAGAAGAGAAAACAGAATCCTGCTAAGAGCTGAAGAGGAAGCCTCCTCTTCATTCCACAGCGGCACAGGTTTTTCGCCGCCATACACTTTCTGTACCACTTCGTTTACTTCCTGTAGAAGTCATAAAATATTATTATCGTTACAACTAAAATCTTTTAGCTTCGCTTCAATGGAAAAAACAGGTTGTTGTAAACTTGTTTGCCTTTATAGAACTTCAAAAGCATACCTTCATAAAGACTTTTTGCACGAATACAAGATGGTTGAGTAAGTCCGTAGACAGAGTGTGTTCAAAAAGGCCAATATCAGCTGTCGCGGCAAGATACCGACCAGCCATTAGGACAGCCCCCTCCGCACCAGCTACAAAAAAAGTAAAAAAAAACCATCAATATACATATTAGTAAATAGATCCGTAGTTTACGTAAATATTTTAATAAAACACTCTTAACGGTTTAAACCGAAAGTATGTTAGTTAATTTAATGTCGTAGTTTAATCTCCTAAGTTAAGTTTTTTTTGCGTTTTAAACCGTTAAAAGTTTTATTTGAATAGAAAAATATCATTGCACTGCGCGAAAGGTGCATGTATCACTAGGTTGAAAAAAAAACATTTTTTAGTCTAATATCGATTTTTTATTAAGAAATATATCAGTCTAGTGGTGTCACAAAGTAAGTAACCACTGCGTATAAATTAAGTGTATGTGTACATTTTGAGTATGACTCCAATTTAGTTTATTGGATATAATCCTGTTATAAAGCAAAAATATTATTTGAATGGCTTACGTTGCGCATTATCACCGCTGCCGGGCGCATCGTTAGGAGCGCAGTCGAGGACACGCGCTCGACACGACACGGCTGGCAGTGACACGGACGCTGCTGCCGGGATGTTCGCTTCCGTCACCTATTAGTTATATACATAAGTTTATGACGTTTTAGTAATATATTACGTCACTTAACACAATATAACATAAATACTGTCTGTAGTTTACCCGAGTACTACACATTTAAATAAAATACCTTAACGGTTTAAAACGCGATATATAGTCTCCCCGTGACCACGGCTGCTGCAAAGCATCCGAAATGCTGGGCCGTCGTTGAAAATCATTTTCAAATAGGTTTAACAAATATATATCGCGTTTTAAACCGTTAAAATGTTTCATTTCAACAATATAACTTTTCCCATGAACGCTAAATCAAATATTCAACAAATCCTTATGTATTCTGATACAGATCGATTTTGCAAGACATAGTAGGAACTGTGAATGGATTAAAATAATTAGACAACATAAGCATGTATAATACTTGTTAAATAAATTCTTCTTCAAAAGACCATGATTATTATTTATTTTCAATGCACTTCACCTAGTAATTAAAAAAGTATTTGTATTAATTGTGGTACATATATATGATGACAGACTTTTAATGTCTTATTTGATAATTTTTGGTCTGTGTTATATCAATCATGATCAAATGTCCCCATGCTTATTTGTCCTCTCTCTATCATAAAATAACATACCTGCAGTTTAGTGACAAAGCTAAGAGAGTGATGCGGCAATTCAACTGTGAAGTGCGCCTTGCCCGCCGTTACGCCTGAGCTATGCACACGTTCCATTTTGTATTGCGCTTGGAGAGACGGCAAAAGGGCCGCTGTTATACTTAAACTCTAAAGAAACAAGACAAAATTATTATTTTATTAATGTGAACTTAATTGTTACTATTTATAATATCGGTTCATTAATGACGTTGTAAGAATTAAAAACATAGCAGCTAAGACATAATTCCCACTCAACTTGAAAACCTTAATATTTTTCTCATGGTTATATAATTTAAAAATCAAAAATAAATTGAAATATTTTCGACTCGGAAGGGACTTGAACTTACACCTCATCGTCAAATTTTTTCATCTTGTTGATATATGCACCTCTAGCGCAGTGTAATTTCAAACCTTAGCATTTGCGTATTAAGCTAAGGTTGAAGTGAACTTTTTTTTTAATTTATTTTCAATTTTTAATCCAAAATCCACAAACCTGCAGAACAAGCGAGAACTGTAGATGCAACGGCTGCAAGAGTGGCGTAGTGGTGGAGGGGGGTGCACGTGGAGGTGGAGGTGCGGCTGGGGGACTTCCTTCCTCTTCCGACACATCCCCCGGACCACCCGGCCCGGCTCCACCTGACCGCGACAAGCGAGAGGATGTTCGCGTCACGCCCAGTTCCTAAAGATAAAACATCGCATATACGTAGGGTCATAAGACACTGTCGTATGGCTCGATAAGACTGTGTCTCACCGCCAGAAATTCCCACCCCAATGCCATTTACAAATTACAAATTGTCATTAACCATCCGTCAATGACACTTTGTCAAATGTGTCATTGTGTTTGTCAGTACCATTATATCGACCATAATTCACGTAATTCCGTAAATTCTTCGTAGGTATTAAACGAAATATCCATTCGGTTTTGGTAAATAGATAGCAACACTGCGACAACGCCATCATGACATCTCACATGTTCTCGTGTGGGGCAGTTGGATCATCTGGTTTATAATTTTCTCCTCGGACACGTCCAGGCTACGTCTTCGACATATGTTTATATTTACAGTAAAAATGTCACGCCGAACACAAGCCATAACTATGCCTCTACTTCTCTAATGCTAATAATGCTTCTTGTTGTTTCTATTAAGAAGTTAAAGAGTACGGTACGGTTTACAGCACAAACATGTCATATAAAACAAACTTCATTTAATATGTACCTGTAAGGTGGAAGATAATTGCCGACTGGATCGTGTCATAACCCCGTGTAGTGCCACCGGATGCTGCGGCAAATCTATTCTCACTCCTCCTATCGAGCCTAGAGCGGTGGCGCCAAGACGACCACCCTCCCACGAGTACAAGGCTTGAGATTTACCCACGCTGACTCGTACTACTGTCCTGTAAATGAAACACAACTAAATTGAACCATCGAAAAGAAAGTATATATAAATATGAATTATAAAGATGTCGCATATTGTGAAACCAAACTGATGAATTTTTAAGAAGATTATAATCTATTAAACGGCACTTACTGATGATTAGGTGCGACTCCTTCCAGCAACATAATAGCCGTTCTTCCCAAGTTGCCGCTTAGTGCCCATTGCCGAGTTCTAGACGCTGACAGTGATCCTTGTAACGATGTTATTTCCGCTTCTAACTTTAGACCCGACAAAGACGCAAGTAACCTAGTCCGGTGTATCCTGAAACCACGAACAATAATACTGAATACAAATACGTAATATTGTACCATAATTGAAAATATAAAGGGAAGAGTTTAAATACGACCGTTCGTGACCGTGCGCTTGAACGGGGGCAAGTCTTAAACGACAGCCATGCAGAAATCCTTACCCCGACGTTATTTAAAAATAACAAGTTGTCAATGACCGTTTGTCAAAAGTCAATGTCCCTACATCGATCATACATATAAAGTCACAAGTATTACTTGACATTTCGGCATATGCTAACCTTGCAGCACCCATGACTACGATACCAGAGCCAGTAGCAGAAGAGGAAGAGTTGCTGTTGTTTTGTTCGCGAGAACTTGGCCGAGCTGCACCCTTTGTTCGATATGCCTCAGGCAATTCTGTAGATACTGAAAACCTAAAATATAAATTATTCACTTAATTTCATAGCTATTTATTGGTCAACAATGTCATAAAACGATATCGTCTTTTTTGTTTGTCTTTTAATGGTTTAAAAAGCTAGACAAATTGCTAAAAAATAAATTAACGAAAATATTACACTCGTTAACTTATTTTTAATTGATTTTAACCAAAGTCCTCTCTAGGACGAGGACTGTTCCCTCCGTGACCACGGCTGCCGCAAAACATCCGAAACCGTAGTTCAAACAAATTAGAAAAACTAAGTAGAACTAATATATTCCGCGTTTTAAGCGATCCAAACTTTTTCATTTAAATAAAAAAATATGTGTCAATTATTTATACACAATGTTAGACAGTTGACAAAACTACTAATAGTGGTAACTATTTAGTTTGTTATACAAAACCTGGGTACATTGTTAACCCCTTATTGAGGATCTAAAAAAAATTAACTAGAATAACTATGATATACCTGTGAGTAATTGTATCGGCATCTGGCATATTCGCATACAAATCTAACAGCAGATACAACGTCCTCCAGCACCGTGGCGCCAGATTGACATTCGCGGCGATGGGTTCTGGAGGAATGGTTGGAGTGGGTGGCGCCACTTCACTATCTCCAGCCGGCACTTCCGCATTGTACATGGGCGTATGCGCGCCTTCGTTTAGCGAGCTGTATCCTGAAATTTATTATGATTGTTAATGATGTTTCAAATCTACAGTCACTATGATATATTATGAACACAGAAAAAATCTTACAAATACCTAACAGTTAAATTGTATGCCGGTACAGCTCGCCCTCGTTTAGCAAGCTGTAACCTGAAGTACCTAAATATAATTATGACCATCAAAAATGTTTAAAATCTACAATCACTATAATATATTCACTGTTTGATCTTTTCGCATCAATGACAATAAAGCATGGATTTTCTTTTACAAATACCTGAGCCATAAAACAGGTCTGCTATTACAGTTAAATTCCCTTTAACCTTAAAAAAATGGCCTATTTATTTCCTATCAAGTTACATTACTATAATAATTGTCAGTTTATTTTAAAAATAGACGTTGCCACTTACCAAGTCTCCCTTTAACACTTTTTCCAGTAGAACGAAGTTTCTGGGCAAATGACTGAGGTCTAGGTCGGGGTGGAGGACTCACGTCCTTTTCAGAAGTCACATCTGGTCCTATGACAGTGGGCAGGTCCCACTTGGTATCCAGTCCTGCGTATTGGCTGTCCTTATCCAGTGACGTCACACTTACTAGGTTCTCGGGGTATTCTGAAACTATTAGACGTTTAAGTATTAATATAGACATTTCCGTATTTAATATGAAACCGAGATTTATTTAGTACTAGCTGTGTCAGCGCCTTCATCCGCGAAAATCTTTTTTTTAGGCATCCTATTTCTTTATAAACTTAAGCTGTTCAGCCTACGACGTCGGTCACGTCCCTTTCTGACTGTCTTGCAAGTTACTCTTAAAAGATAGACAATGGCGTCGCGGACTTTTAAAGAGGAATCATTCTTTCATACATATTTTATGGGTATCTGGGAAGCGTTTTTGCAGCGTTCACCTCGAAAACCCATAATGATGAATAACTTTCCCACATTTCTTAAAATTTCTCGCTGTATCTTCGCTTGCATTAGTCACAGGGCAATGTTACATAGCCTATAGCGTTCCTCAATATACGCTCTAACCAACACAAAAATATTTTTTCTATTTGACGTTCCTAAGATTAGCGCGTTACATACATACAAACAAACAAACTCTTCAGCTTTTTATATTAGTATAGATTAAACTTCTTCTTCACTTACCATGAGACCTCTTATGCGGCCGCGGGCGATCAGTGCGCGCGCGTAACTCTGTGTGTGTATCCTTGACGTTTTGGTACATGTTACTTATTTGGTGGAGTAAGCGTAGTAGTGGCATATTTACCTACAATCAAGCCAGTTATTTGTAATTATTACATTTATAAGAATTTATTAAAGAAAAGGAATCAAACAATTTCAACTTACAAGAATTACCACAAACACAAGATCCAACGGCCAATCAAAATCGAGCTAAACAATTGTCTTATTTTTAAAACTACTTACTTGCTGTGAAATAAAACGGATGCTCAGGTTGCAGTTGATCATCGTACTGATGTGTTTTTTCAATTGACCCCGTGAAATGTAGACCACGTTTTGTTTCTGTACCAATTCATCCACAGCCACATCTGCCACTTTCTTCACTAGCACATCTACAGATACCTTCTCGCATAGAAAAGCGGGGCTTTCCGAAGCTTGGTCCCCTTGACTTTGTGTGGCTGTTAAGAAAAATGACGTAGGTAGCTAATACGGTAAATTTTAATATTATAATAATTTAAAAACACAGTTGCAACTGACTTTTTAACAGATCTATGTGTTTAGACTCCTATTAATTGTTGGATAAGAAATTTTAAATATTCACGTTAAGAACTTTTGACCGCCTCTGTGGGTAAATGGTTAAACCTGTTGCCTAACATTGCGTTAATTGTCATTGGCCCCGAGTGGAATCCCGGGGAAGCAATAAGTAGTTTCGGGCGGATAGGGCACAGAAGTCTTATCTACTACTTGCAATAAAACCCATCAGTGAAGCAGACCCAGAAATGTGTTCGCCCCATGCCCCACGGGTAGAAACGGGATAGAACTATTTTTTTTATGGTTTTTTATGTTAGTTAATTACCTTTTCCTTTGCTATGTCTGCCCAATTCGCTGACTACTATATGGACCCGTAGTGAGTCGAGCCAGCCTGCCAAAGAGACGGAGCACCCCAGTGCTTCAAGACCAGAGCTCCCGCCACCGTCTCCACCACCATTTCCGTCTTTTGTTTCACCTGACATAAAAATTAATTACCATTTTTATCTGCACCCGTGTACATCTGAGTATAATATAATAGGAGCAGTTATGTCAGCAGAGAAAACTAAAAATGAATTATATAAAACTTTTTGATTTTACCATCAATATTACCTTTTCCCTGAGCAACTTGATGCGGGGAAACGCCCAAAGCAGCAAGGAAAGGCTGAAAAACAAGATGTGCATCCAGCAGCATGAGCGATCCTTGCAGTGGATACAAACTGCAAGCCGGAAGAGATTGAGCCACAACACGTGGGTTCATTTTTGACGGAGGTATCATTGGCTTCTTACTTTTTGGTTCCTGTTAAAAACAATATGCGTTATGCGATTTCTTTGATAAACAATAATACAGAAAAATAGTATAGATAGTAAAAAATGAATCATTCATTCATTAATATATTTAAAAACCGTTTATAGACATAAGTAACCACGTTTAAATATTGAAGCATAATTAACAACCTCGATGTGAAAGAGAGAAGGTTGAAATTACATTGCGCAATAGTGCATGTATCAATAGAAATAAAAAAATCGGAAATGACCGTAACTTAATTGGTTGTAACAGCACAGATGCTATAAATGCAGGTTCAAGTTCCGTCCGTGTTGTCATTTTATTTAACCAAGAGATTTTCAATTTATAGAATTTAAAAGATTATAACGATATAAAGCGAGTTTTTTGGTCAATCTCATCTTGAAGGTATGATTCTATTGAAAAGTAAAAATAAATAAAAAAAAACATACAACTTTAATTGGCTCTTGTTTCGCCATCCATTGGTAGAGGTCCTCTCTTGCGCGGTCAGCTGCTATATTATCCTGACTGCCTTGAGAGTATAGCGAGGGATTAGAGCCCACAGTTGGTAAATCTTCCTTTAACGTCCCGTAATCTGTGGCAAAGATTATGACTGGTAAGCAATTATATAATAGAAACAATATTATTATTTTATAAAATTATTATAGTTATTAGTGTTGCCCATACTATCAATTAGAATTGTAAATCGTCTCCTACAAGGTTGTATTTTTTTGTTTATATTTTTTTATCTCTGTATCATTTTTTTGTGGTCCAATATGGTTTTTTTTTCTATTTGTTATTTTGTTTTTAACGTTATTGGAGGAAAGAGATGGAATAAGTCTAATATGTTATTTCGTCGAATAAAAGTGGTGTACATTATTTTCGTCAATAATTCTTTCTTGTGTTCTTGATCTTAAGGGCCTTTGCCTAAAATTCTTAAATCAAGTTTCTGTTGTAAAAGATGTTTATAAACGTAGTATGTAAACTATTGCCCTAATTGTTTCTTTATAATATCTTAATATATGATTTAGTGTCTATCCGATACTAATAAATAGTAAAGACTGATACACACTGGCGATGGCATCGTCCTGGAAAGGTGTCTTACGCGTAGAGAATGGCAGAGACGGAAAAACGAGGCTGGCGCGACTGCTTTGTGCTGCACGAACTGCACATAACAAGAGCATATTATAACAATTATCACCATAAATCTAACTTCCAGCGTACTTGTGAATATGGATGTATATACAATGCATTATTTTTAATGAAGTGCAGCCAAAAATTAAAACCCACTGTTTGCCCCATAGCACTATTAAGTAAATGGCATTTTTTGTCAAGAAAACAGTTAAAAGAAGTGAACAATTTGGCTGGTGCTAACAACATGCCAAGCACATTATTTGAGGCAAGATATTGCGGTGTACACAGAGCGAAATAAATGCATAAGTCCATTCATTGGAAACAAACACCCATACAACATTTTCAATCAGATTTGTGAATCTATTTAGCCTATTTTGAACACTGAAATATTTAAACTCTATTTTTTCTGTTAATATAGGCATAATTATGTTAGACTAGTAATAGATCCACAAAATATTGATCCTTGTACGCACCGGACGGCGGTGTGGATGGGTACGAATGTGGACGACAAGCCAACCTCACTGCCGCTTTATAAATAACAACACATTAGATATTACTGACATGTAATACAATTTTCGAATTGTTTAATATATTATATTTAATCTATAATTTTTCCTTTGCAAAGTTCGATAGGCGAGTGAAATAATAAAGATTTAAAAATACGCAATTTAATAGCAAGTTGTCTTGGAGATCATCAACACGAATAAAATATTGCAAATATCCGTCAAACATAGTATTTAAGGTTCGCTCTCAAAATACAAGTTAACTTTATCTTTATCTGATTTATTTTACCTGAATTCGATTTGTTAGTGGTACAAACGAAGTATTGTAGTATAATCTACTATTTGGTATTTGATAATGTCACAAACCACAACTTTGATTGGCTCAAAAAAAGGTAAGGAAACGTAGTCTCACAGCCTAGTTTTCTTGAAACAACTTAAACTCCATAAACAAATGTGGGATTAAAACTTGCGTATGATCTAAAGTGTAGTGAATTTAAAACATTACACTATCTGTATGTCTAGACTATATTGATCGAATTTTAAACATAACCACAATATAGTGTTAGTTGTTAGTGAGTCAAAGTAGAGATAACTTCTTCTAATTTCAGTTTTTCATGAGTAAGTTAGAATGTTAAATCAGTATTATATATAGCACAAACAAATAAATCAAAAATATATATTTATACAAACCTGGCAACGTTGTTGTCAATTTGTCCGTATCCATATTCAGGAGAAGACAGTTCTCGTCAAGTCCTTCATTGTCAAACTGATATTCTTGCCATCCCTCCACTGAATCCTAGAACGATATAATCATAAATGTTAATAAAACAAACTTGGCAATATTGAATATATAAAATGGGTTATTTTATACAACAATGTACATTTTACCTCTATCAGGTCTGGAAGGGCGAAAGTGACTGCAACTGGCTTCATAACCTTGCTCTTGTAGCTATGTTCCAGCAGAAGAGGTGTGTATAAGATGTTCTTCCATTGCCGCGTTAGAACTATAACACCCTTTAATAGAAAAGATACGTAAATGAGATGCATACGGTAAGTTGGGATTATTTTGTGACAATTTACATGAATATTATGCTAAATGTAATTAAGGACATTGGGTAGGTACCCTGTGACGAGATAATATAAAATTTAGCAAGCAAGAAAGGTTAAGAATGAATATAAATGTACTTTACGCTTGATGTTATTGCAAATGTGCCCGTACCTAAAATAGATTCTTTATTTATGTACTGTTTGTTGCATGCTTATTTTTTATGTGAAGGATGAGGTATGTACGTATGACGTTTTGCTTTACGTGTTATATAACGCTATTTTTAGCGGTAAAATTAAAATTATTGAATAAAAATATTTTTTAGGACTTTAAAGACGTTTTCTATTTATATAGTACAATCATGTGTGAAAAAATATTAAAGTTTTCAAACATTCAACTCTGTAATTTCATCTTCAATCGTTTTAAAGCATAAGAAATCGAACCTTAAAACGCAAGTGTTAAGGTTGAAATGCATAGAACAACAGCGCGTCTTACCCGTGTCGTAATTGTTTTTCAATCTAAAATCGATTTTTAATTTAGGACTTTTAATGTACATTTCTCTGGAAATGCTAATACATCGGAAACCTTTAACTATGTCATTGTTCACTAGCAACTTGATCCTTTAGTTCTTAAACTTACCTGTCTCAATGTAGACAACGAAGGCAAATGCCGATCAGCTAGGTCGGCCTGTACGGCGGCTGCATCAGCTTGTAGTGCATATCTGAGTAACACTGCGCATAGCTGTAAGGAGGGTTCTTCCCGTAACTGCTTTGCCATTGGAGTGTGACGGCCGTATCGACTCTACAATAATATTAGAATGAAAATTTGCAGAAAAACATTTGCATAATACTCATTATAAATTTTTTAATTTTAATAACATTAATGTAATACTAGCTAATCTTGGAAACGTTCTTACGCCATATGAAGTATTACGACTAAATTTGATTACCATAAAAAAGGTTCTTATGAGTTTCTGTTAAAAGAAGACGTGAAGCAGACAATTTTTAGATTAGGTATTTAAGTAAGAATAATTCTGCTATAAACATTTTCTGGTTTCTAAAACCGTTTTCCCAGCGCACGCAACGGAATCCCTAAAAGGTAATTATTTTACTCCGTTTTTTCCAAATTTCCCACCATTTCTTTGCTCCTATTGGTGGCAGCCTGATGTTTTTCATAACATTAGTAAAATTTGTTTCTTTATTTAAGTCCAAAGTTGCAATAAACTTAATGTAGAAAGTTCTATTCAGTATACACTTCTCAACTGTATGTGTGTTTACATATTTTTTTAAATTTATTACGCCTCTTATGATTTTCCTCTTCCCTGCATTAAACGTTACCTACATTATTCGTGTTACTTACTTTTGGCAGTGTGTGATGTGGAGCCCTATCTAGGGCCGACGCCATCAAACTAGCAGCTGTGGCAGCGAGACGCCTAGCCCTGGCTCGGTACATGCTCACGACGCGAATACCGAGGCGGTTGCAGGGGTTCATCCACGCGTTAATTGCAGGCGAAGCTGTGCTTAGTAAGTTCCAGTCAAGCCTGGAACAGAAACGATAAACACTTCATTATTATTACAATCCTATAAGTTATATTGACGCGGCCATTTTGCTTCTTGGGATATCGAACCGTTCAGCTGCTGTAATTGGAAAATTGGTCTCGAACGAGAAGATGACTTCGAAAAAAACTTTTTAGTTTAAGTAAGACTTTAAAGTCTAAAGTCTCGACTAAGTAAAGATAAACTTATATTGAATTTTAGTAATCCAAAAAGTATTTGCGCATGACCAAACATAAATCCTGTTTCTTTAAATAATAATAATGTCTAAACTTACCTTGTATAGTCAATCTTTTTAGTGATAGGAGTACGTGGTGGAGCCGCGAAATTGAACCAAACTACCTTCAAGTCAATGGCACAAGAAGACGTATTACCATTATCTTTAACAGGCACTATTGTTGTACAACTGTCATTTGACGGGTCATCCTGCACCGGTGTGCTTGGTTCAGGAGGAGCCTGGGGAGCCGGTGGCGGTTGAGAAGTCCCCAAATTGGGAGTACTGGGTTTTGAGGTCGATTCCCGTTTTTTAAACAACTCTTCGAAACCAGATGTGCGAATGCCCTTTGACTTCTCTTTTTCTGGTTTTAACTCTTCAGCCGATTTTACAGATTCTCTGCAACTCTCGTTGTCTGGTCGGCTGAGCTTTTTGTCCTCATTTGATTTATGGGCCGCTGAATGATTTGAAACTTTAACTGATACACCTTCCAGACCACATTCAAACATTATGTAGCCTATAGAATATTCTTTCTGACCTTCTGAAGGTCCGTTTTGGCATGTCTGTGGAAAAATATTTTTTTTTTATGTTTACAAAATATAGGTAGTTTTCGAAAACCACTTTGCTGTTAACTAATACATAAAAATTTAACATACATAGTAACTAATTTCAAAATTACATATTTTTACTAACCGTAGTATCGCAGCCTCGATTGTTGGTGTCGATTCTGACAAATTTAAAAGCAACTTTGGAATGTTGGCATGGAATACCAGTAATGGTAGCGTCTTTCAACTGGGATGACTCGTTACGGATTCGTCGCAGTTGCCCGTGTACTTTTCCTATACAATAAAAAAAATGATATGATTCAACATGTATATGAATCTACAAGGAACATACATAAGAAATATATTAAATTGCAAAAAAAGAGTCGAGTCTTTTTAACAGTAACTTACCTACATTAAGTGTGATATTAGTATCTTCACACTGCTGTTGGGAACTTTCAATAAATACAGGCTCCCCCTTTTCGGGGCCTCTCTTTCGTCCAGCAGCTTGAGATATTAAGGCTCTAGGTCCCTTCATGATGCCAAACGACTTTTTACTACCGAGAGCTCTTAAAGTTGGCCTATAATATAATTGTATTGACTCCAAAGTTTTTCTTGAGCTTACATATTTGGCAACAATATTTTCCATATATATCCCAAAAAGAGATACGCAGGTCAAGTCTTGGATGTTGTCTAAAGCTGAGAAAGATATCATATCCTCGACCACAGATGATTGTATAAAAATCACATTTACTTTAGGTACGGTCACCGTCGCTTGAATTTGCGTATTGATGGTTTCTTCGTAAACATTTGATTGAGGTATTGTTGCTAGCTTACATTTGTCGTCTTTGTCTATGATGATACTAGACTCGTTTCGAGCTTGCATTTGCGGTAGCCAATTAAGCACATGCTGCTTTTGCTTCAGCACATTTGACGATTCAACGGAAGATATACATAACAATCTTAAATGGTTGATAACGGTTATAGGATGCACGTTAGCTAAAACGGGTGTAATTGATTCTACAAATTTTTGAGTGCTTTCTAAAACTAACGGCGTGAGCAGAACGTCAATTTCCCCACGAAGACGAATAAATAAACCATTTTTACTATCACTCGTCGTCGTTAAAGTGGAGGATGTTATTTTATCTGTATTATTTTCTTGATTATCGTCTCTGTTCTGTTGCAAATCCCACCAAGCTTGAGGGTATGGATGTGTTTTTATTTGAGAATTGAAATGAGGGGGTAAGTTAGCATACGGTCCGTGCAAGTTTTGGTTGTTCTGATTACTTTTGGAAATGAGTTTTAAAATGTTAACTTTTCCCACTGATTCGAAGTTTGGTAAATACTTTTGGCCTACGTAAACTAAAGACCCATCTTCGGCTCTTTTAAACAGGGGTAACGTAAACAAATCATTTCCGGAGGGCAATGAGCAAGAAGACCAATTGGTGCATTTGTACTGAGGTAAGTTACTCATATAGCTGGACATAAGTAATGGTGAATCAACGATGGGCTTATTTGTTTGCATATGCAAGTTCACTAATGTCATGTCTTCTTGAGATGAAATAGCCGAAATAAATGACGTCGATGAAACGGACCCACTTTCTGAATCTGGTTGTACTCCGCTAATGGTACTAATGTTATCGGGACCATCTCTGAGCTCGCATCTAGGTACGGAACCCGTCCATTTATCGGCAGCTATATCGTTAATAGCATACGAGTGCTTCTCTCTGGAATTGCTATGCCGACTGCCAAAAGAGTGCTTTAAGCTGGATGAGCGGCTTGGAAACATGTCTTCGTCCGCAGAAAAAAATGCTTCTGAATGATTTTCACTTGTAATAGACATTGTTCTTTGTACTTGTAGAGGTGTCGATTCATCGTGAGGGTGTTGAGAGTTAAGCGAATAGTGTGATTCCGATACGGCCACGCTTCTTGGAGGTACTTTGGGGACAATGAAAGCTTCATGATCGGCTTGGATATTTTGCCTCTTGATATTAATGTTTGGGCTGTCTTTTACTACGCAGCTGAGAGCTAACTTCGAATCTGAAACACTGCTCTCTAGCTGTGGTACATTTAGGATTGTTTTATTTAATTTTGAATCGCTGTCAATTTTGGTACTGCCCAAAGGAGCACTTGAATCAACCAGTCGGGCGTAGGGAACGTCACTTTTTGTACTCGACACTAATACATTGTTACTTCCTTTGTTTACGCTGGTATATGAAAATCTTCGTGTTAAGCTACGTCTTTCTGCTGCTTGTGGCGACTTGTTTATGTTCTGTGGTAAAGGTGATGGTATAAGAGTAGTGACATTAGTTGGTTGTAAACACACATTCAGGGTGTTGTATGGTGGAGTATGGAACACTAGGTGTCCAGAATGTAATAGACTCTGTCCATAACCATATTCACCACATGACTCTATAACATTAAACATCGCTATATTTATTCCATCATTAATATCGGCAGGACTGGGTTTGAAAAAGTTAGGACCATTTCTGTTGGAACCGAAAAACGCGCAACCACCGTTACATCCACATTGTGATCCTTTTCCGTCATTTGGCCAAAGAAACCACAATTTCTTAAATTTATCGTCGTGCATTTTCAAGAACTTCTGTTGTACGAGATGTACATTTTTGGGGCTTTGAGGCAATGAAGATGCAGCCTCTATTAAAACAGGGCCTAAACTCATCGATCCCACTCCCACCCAATTTTCGCTTTCGGGCAATAATTTACTTGGACAGTTGTTGCTACCATTAGAATTGTGGTGTGAATTCGATTGCATATTTGTCTGTGTATAGAGAGCTAACTTGATGTTTGGAAGAAGACCCGTAATACCGGTGCCACAACCTGAGCCATGTAAGTTGCAGAAAGATAAACGTATGGGAGATATCCACGTTTGCAATGTCGTATTAGAATCTGCTATGTACAAATCTACAAGATCTATCGCAACCCGTATCATTCGGTATTTAATTTCATTTGGTGTCGGACATCGATATTTCAAAGTTATATCGGTCTCAGGACATAGAACATTATTTAAGCCATGATGGCATTGCTTGACAGAATTTGGAGCAATCAATTCGTTTTCGTTGTCACAAATGAGAAGTAAGAAAGTCTCTAACGATGAGACCACTTGGTAAAGCTGAGGTAATGTCATACGACCTGTTAGTTGGCCCAACTGCAACTCCATCATCCATGCATATTCGATAGTTTCTTCTTCTACCCCGCGATTCATGTCACTGAAAAATCCATTTCCTCGTAACTGAAACGATGATAGCATCAAATGTCCCTGTTGTAGTGCACTGGAGTTAGTGCTTCCATTTGCACTGGGACGTGACAAATTATTTCCAGATATTAATATAGAGGGACTAAGAAGAAGTTGAAGTTTAGTCTCTCTGAATTTCTTATCCATTTCAAAGCCAAACCTTTCTATCAATACAACGGGACAAGTAGGTTCATTTTCACTACAGTTTTTCACTAAATGAGCCTGAATATCGTGAATTATAATGGACACTGTAACATCTAAGGGTCTGAACTTTCTAGGATCGAATGGGCCTTTGCTAGAATCAGTAGAGTCATCCATTGATATTTCAGAATGCTGATTGATGCTGCTTCTATCATTTACCTTGGTGGCGTTGTCACTTGACCAGAAGTATGTACCTGTGGTGGGTGCTTTTTGCATATCCGTAAAAGTTTGATCTTCCCCAAAAATGTTTTCTAACAAATTCATAAAACTGGTAATTATAGTGCCATATGCCAAGAGAACTGAAGGGCCAACTTCCAAGTCAACACTTACTTTATCCGGCGCCAAAGTTGTTCTATCGAAGTTGTTACCATCCATAGCCCAGTTTATCTGGGGTTGTTTTCGAATCCTCGGTATTCTCATAGGCGACAGTAAAATTTCTTCTTTTTCCGGTGTTGTAATATCGGCTTGCGGCTCAGGTCCTAGAGGAGGTATTGGATGGTAATTGTAACGAACACTCAGAGCCACAATGGGAACTGACCAACAGTCAACCCACCCTTGTGATTTTACGCATTTTCGGCGCCATTTTGATGCTCTTAGTCTGCTTGGCACTAATTTCATATTTTTGTCAATGGATAAAAGGAGTAATCTGGAAGTGTTAACTTCAGGTAAATACAAGCTCATATCTACAGCTTCTCCTTGAACCCATATCTTTAATGGAATCATATCTGGAAGAAAATCAACAAATGGAAGATCAAAAGAAACATCTAAAAGATCTCCACAGAAAGCAACATGATTATTTTCTTGGTTTGTGGAACTACAGTCTATCCAGTTATGTTGATTACTGACAGTAAGAACTTCACACTCTTTTAAAAGTAATGATATCTTCCATGTGTACGGCACAAAATGAAGAAGATCTGGTCTGGCTTTACTGGCCCAATCATTAGTCAAATCTTGAAAAAAGTCAATATGTGTGTATACAAAATGTGCAGTAGCTTTGCATCCAGTTAAGGATAGCTGCCAGCATTGATGATGGTTCCACACTAGAGGGTAATGGCACTTCACTGTGTATTCTAATGTTTCACTTTCAGCTAAACTTCTGTACTGAAGACTTGTAGTAGCTTCTAAATGTAGGAGTTGACCCGTAATTTTCGTAGTGAAGCCATCTTGAAGTACAATCCACGGCAATGTTACTTCAAGGTAAGACCCAGCACCTATGTTTATATGAACAGCATTTGTTTCTTTATTTTTTGTAAAGAGAATATCAATTGTAGCTTCATTAAGTGTGGATAAACGAATGTCGAAAGATTGCATTTGTCGCCGGTCACCTGGTTTTGGTTGTGGAGTTACCTCTAAATTTTTATAATTTGGGGGGAAGAAAAATTTAAACAAGTTATCTCTTTGCCTATCAGCCCAAGGGCCATAACTGAAGTCAGTTCCTTTGCCGCACTTTATATCAACGCCCCAAATTGGAGGTGCAGATTCCACAATATCTCCGTTGGCTAGCTGTAATAACACTGGTTCTTCAGGTACTAAGCCAGGCTCATCCATATAAAAGTAAACTTCAATGTAATTTGAACTCATTACAACAAAACCCTCACCCATATACCGAGGAGGTTCATCAACCATTGAAGTATAATTTGGACTTGGTGCAAGAATAACTTTACAGTTTTCGGCTTTAGCTTTTACAAAATGCATGAGATGATCTAAGCTAGAAGCAGGAGGTTTTGTACTGTACATAATATGAGCTTCTTCTACACTGATTGATAATGTTGTTGGTACTAATCTATTTCCAAACACTACTCTTCCTGTGCAAATATCAATTTTTATGACAGGTATAAGATCTCTCCATGTCCTTGCCATAGCAGCTTCAGAACGCACTGTGTCCTGTGCACGACGTCGTTTTTCATTAGCATCATTCATAGCTTTATCTTGGTCTGAAGAATCATCATGTGGCTGCTTAATCACAGGATCTAGACCAAATATTTTTTCTAGTTCATGGTAGAGGTCACATCGATTGTAAACATGCAGTTCAAAGCCATTTAACATTATAGATAGCCGAGTATCAGAATGCGATAGATCTGTAACAAAACACATTGCTAGAGTTATAAATATATACTTATTATTATGTATATGTATATAATTTTAGTAATAATTTTTTAAATAATATTTTCTCATACCAAAATTGTTGTTGTTGTTTACGTAAAAACTTTATCATTCCACCAAATTACTTAACATTACTGGTAGTTATTACCTTCTGAAACATCCTTAGGTACATAGGATCGCCACCATCTAAATATAAGATAACCATCTTGAATCCTTAATGTGTAATCATAATTAATGTATACAATATCACGGAACATAATCTTTCCAGACAGGGCATTGAGAGTGAATGATCCTGTAAATACAAAAGTAACATATTTTGTACACAAAAAAAATCTAATAAGAAAATGCTATTATAAGGACGTTTTTAAGCCAAGTGTAATCATAATTGCATTGTAAAAATTTGAATGTAAGTTAATTAAAGAAAATATATTATTATCATTGTAATTTCTTGACAATTCTAGGGGTTTTTGATTTTACTATGCGAGTGTGAGGGAACTAAATGAATTGGTAACAAAGAAGTTTATTATATTATTTGTATAGTAGAAAATATAATAACATTTTATAAGTGATTAGTGTTTGTGGTAATAAACAAACACAAAAACTTGCACAGTTCACACAAATTGAGAATATGATAAACACTCACCAATTTTAAAATTCTCATCTTGGAAGTAAAATCTGTTTATGAGTCTAGTAAGAATGTATCCTAGGACACGACTATTATAGTATGTTATGTAAACTATCCACAGTATCCCTGATATCAAGGACACAAGTAAAAGGGCGAAATTCCTGTCCATGGTGATCTCCGCGAAGTCTATAGACGAAGAGTTCCATCTTTCCGCCACCGGATCCAGTGAGCCGGTAGAATTCTCCCTAGAAGTAATAGTATCATTACAATAACAATCCTTTTGTGTGTCACACTTACTTAATTGATAAACAGTTCATAACGCAATTATAATATTTACGTACATTGTTTGCTTATGTTTACTTATTAACACATTTTAAAACTATATAGAAAATTAACACACAATCGTTTATTAAAAACATTTCTCTAAAATTTTTCTGGTTAATTAATTTTGTTCTATGATTTGTTTTCCATTTTATCCTCGGCCATCGCCTTTGTGATTGATTACAAGATTTGACAGCTGACAACATTTTTTTTGATAACTGACAATTGACAAACCTTTGCCTGATTAGTCTTTATTCTGTATGCCGTGAAGTTTTATTTAAATGAACATAGCAACAAAACACTAATAGCACCCAAGTTAATTGTTTTCTTAGCAACGCCTTCTCTGAGCGGAATTGAGATGATATTTAGTCTTTAATAGGAAAAAATAATATATAACAATTTTTATTTTTAAAGACGGTATTTTATTATGGCAGAGGGTAGTCCAGAACCAAATTTAAATAACGGAAATATAGATTTGAATCCTAAAGCTAGGTTTGAGCTATGTGTAATATAAACACAAATTTTTAATATCAGTATTCTAAACCATTTAAATAATTTTTATTTTTAGATGGGTGATACCTCAAAGATTAGATTCTGTAACCTTTATTGGGCACGATCTTTTTGCAGTAGCTTATGACGTATACATTATTTTGTTTAACATGAAGACGGGTTCCGAGTCAGTTTACGTTGCTAACAGTCCTGAAAAAGGCGACGGCGTAGATGTTGTAGCAGGTGAATAAGATCTTAATATTTTATAATATGATTGGAAGTTGACATTAGTAAGAATTGTGATTTGAGTAGAATACCATAAAAATAATTTTACAGGTCACAGGTCGCTGGTTTTTGCATTCGCTGAGAAAGTAAGGAATCCACGAATTTTCGTCGTTCAATATCCTTCGTTTCATGTGCTTGCTGAATTAAAAGGTATATGTATAAAACGTTATCAATACTTTAAAAGTTAACTCATAATTTGTGTCCATATTATGGCGGGTGAGTTATTAAGGCTTTTGTCTTTTGTATCAGATTCTGACGTAAATCGCTATAAAGGTATTTGCATGATGGAGTGTGACCTAGTCGCTGGGTTCAGCGGTTTTCCTAACTACATCATGTCTATTTGGAGTTGGCGTACTCATCAAAAACTTCTTACAGTGCCTACTGGTGTTGTTAGACGACAACAAATATATGCGTAAGTTGTTTTTATTTAATCTGGGACAGAGATAACATCTTATATTTTATAAATATACAAATTATTTTTTTTACGAAGTGCGAGTCGAACACACATGCTCATTTGTGAATCCTGGGGCGAAGGTTTGCATGTTTGGGAAGTAGCACAATGCTATAAAAGATGTCTAATCATGAAGAGAACTAAACCAGAATGTACTGGGTGGGAGGTGTCTGATCCCAGTCTGGTAGCTGTTTGCTGGAGTAATGAAGGACAACTGTACGCCATTGATGCTAGGGCAAATCTCTACAGCGTGAGTATAATATAATTAAATTAAATAACTTAGAGAATTAATCATACCAGCAACGAATTCAAGTTGCTCCACAACATAGCGTGGTAATATCTCGTATGATAATATATCGACATTTAGCATTATATGGTATGGATTATTTATTATACATCATTAATTTTTTGGCCAAGTACGTAAACGTCAAGAAAAATGTGGTCTTTGTAAACCAAAAGTATATGAATAGGAATTAACCGAATTAAAATTACGTGGGAAAACAAATTATTTATTTATTATTGCTTTATTATTAATATATATTTAAGATTATATAGCTTTTTTGTGAGACCCTACAAGCAAATTATTTTAAACATGGAATAGAGACACACACAATCAATTAAATAGTATTTAACGGTTCAAAATACGAACTTTCTTACCTATTTAACGAACTAAAAAAAAACTCCGTAAAATCCAATCCGACATTTGGCATACTTATCAGCAGCGAGGACATGTTTTTAACCGTTAAGTTGTATTTAATGTGGCAGAAACTAAACTTTGATTGTGCATTTTGAACAAAATACTATAACAACAATGTTTGATAGTTACTTTCGGATGGTATTGGCATGGTTACAAACCTAGACTGGGTGGATGAAATCAAAGGCTCCAGAAAGCCATGCATGTGTTCATTTGGGCATGGAATACTTATTTATGGACCCGATAAACATCTGCGGGTGAGTTTTACGTAAATCATTGTTTATATATTTTTAGTATATGACGAGTTGAAATTGCGTAATAATTTTCTTTATATTTATAAAAGTACCTCAAGAAGCCAGATCACCAGTGGCATGTAGTGTGGAAGCAAAAAATAGATGACGAGGTGTTACGCCTCGTGTCAAATGCGGTTTCTGATGTAGCTGTCATATGGACTGCAAAGGGTTTCGTTTATAGAGTGAAGGAGGAAGGAGAAGACAATATCACTGTTAAACTTTTTACATTCAAGCAAAGGTAATTCCAATTACAGAAATGTCTCGTTTGGCGAATCTATTGAAATATTCTATGATATTAATGTAAGGGTTAACAGTTTGTTTGTTTGGAAGCGCTAAACTCGGGAACTACTGGTTCGATTTGAAAAATTTTATTTATGTTGGTTGGACCGATTTTGGGTTTTGAAACGTCCAAAAGGAACCAAAAAATTAAGAGAAATGTACAAAAACTGGTAAAATCATTCGTTGAGTGCGCTGCAAAAGGGGTTCAAGAAACCAAAAAAAATTATGTAATGTAATGTATATGATTGTATTTAAATGATCTGGAAGAAATCCACGACGATAAAAGTTTATTTTTTAAGATTAACTCGCAAAAAATTTAAAAAGCTATAAAATAGCTGTTCTACACGGGCGCAGTCGCGGGCACAGCTAGTATAATATATACTCCTAATAACTTAGTGTGGTGTGTTCCTTTTAACATCGAGTAAAATATAAAAGTAAATTTTGTTTACCTCTTCTTTTTTACAATTATTCTTATCGTCTTGTGTCTTTTTTTTTTCACACTGCTTCGGGGTCCCCTTTCTTGGAAAGATGGCTTAGACCCAGCTGCGTTTTGACGAATTTAAACTACTATATGTACTTATTGGGTTTGGACTTAAACCACTAAAATAGTGATGATAACCGGGAACGCCGGCCTAACATACTCTTTGAAGTACGAGCTTTTTGTAATAAAGGGCTTTAAAGTGTATATGAATTGGCTTCACTTTTGTGTATTGTACTTTCAGAAATATAACAAAAGCTCAGCTTATAGCACCTGATTTTTTGTACGTCGCTACAATGAATGATAAAGGTGTACTCTGTATTAATGATGTCTTCTCGGCAAAATTGGTAAGATCGTTTTTTTTAACCAAATATCAACAACTAGTGATTCAAATTAAAAAAAATTTTTTTGTGCGGGTTAAAAAAATGCTTGATATAAAACTATACATATCGAGCTATATATATAGCTTATAAGATCAGAGAAAGAGAAATTAATGAGCAGCCTTTAAATTATCTAAAAACTATATGTTTATCTTTTAAGATGAACTTGCAAGAACGACGAGGACGACCTCGTTGATAATAAAAAACAAATTTTGTTGCCCAAAATAATTATTCTAAGCGGACGAAGTCGCTGACACAGCTAGTTATTAATAAACGGTATTGATAATTATTCATATCATATTATTCAGGTTCTTGTGAAATATGTAGAAGGCGGCGATATGTCGTTCGAAGCAAGTCCAACGGATCCAATTATGATTATATTCGGTGAAGTCGGCCATAACTACGGACTGGCACTTTTTGAATTCCGCTCCGACGAGCTCGTGAAAGTGGGCAACGTCTGTCTTACACATCAGATTGTATCACGTATCGTCTTTTCTCCAAGTGGACGAGAGTTTGTTGCGGCAGCCATGTCAGCTGGACATATTTTCATATACAAAGTAAGTCTAAAGATTTATCATGACATGAAGGAAGACCATTCGTATTTCGTACACAGCAAATAAAACACTTTTATCGTCAGTGACCGCTATTCATAGATATCACTCGCGTTTTAAACCGTTAAAGTGATTTTTTATATAAAAAAATTCAGCTTAAAAGGTGTTAACTTAGGTACTGACAGTTGAAAAGCTTATAATACTGTTATTTTTAGCAATATTTCCGTTGATTTCAGTTATCAAATGATTACAAACTCACTCTTGTTCGATATACGGAGTTAGGACGAGGATTAGCAGATTGTTTTCTAATGAAAGTCGGAGATTCAATGCGGGCGTTTAGCCTTGTATTGTTCTCAGATAAATATCCAATTGGTGAGAGAATATATCTTTATTCAAATCCAATCTTTACGTGTTGAGAACCTTATTAATTACTACTTCTTTTTTCTTCACACAAGTTAATGTTACTTAGTTTTAACTAAAAACTTTGCAAAGTTGAAATTTTTACATTATATTGCACATGATGGCATGTTATAAAGTAAAAATCAATTTTAGAATATTTTTTGAAAATAACGTGTACCGTGACATCGTAGCTGAATTGGTTAGAGCAACAGCACAGAACGCTTTAGATGCCGGTTCAAGTCTTCGACTATTTTTTTGTCTAAAATTGGTTTTTAACTTATAAAAATTCTGTTTATTTTTAAAGGTGAACGTATCATCTGTATAAATGCGGATTCGGGTAAGGACAATAAATTCGCGGGAAAAATGGCGGGACCTTACGCGAAACTATTGCCTCTTAGCGGACGAGACATGGCTATCGCTATTCCCCATCTCACTACAAAAGCGCATGTCCTGAAATTAGCTGGAGATGTAAGTGATATCACTACATAGTAAAAAACAAAGTCGCTTTTTCTGTCCCTATGTGCCTACGCTTAAATTTAAAAAACTAATCAACGGACATTGATGCGGATTCTTTTTTTATAGATAGAGTGATTCAAGAGGAAGGTTTTTATATTCTATAATACATAATTCCTTCATTCAATCAACTCTTAAGCTTTTTCGCGTGTCCCAAATACGCACGTATTTTTCCACCCCGAACCATCGGCTTAGTTCTAGTTGTTTACCTAAGTCTTTCTATAATATGTTGTTTTTCTTTACAGAAAGGAGTAACAGTGTCAGTAAAGATGGGTCCAAATGTAGATACTGGCCACGAACTAAAGCACTATGATGCATTTTACAGTCCCGGTGCGTTTCTCACATTTGGGTATGATGGAACTGTGGTGATGCGCCAACCACATTGTCCTGAAGAATATGGTAAGGTTAATAGATGTGATGGTTATGAAAAAAAGTCCATTAGATAAAAAAAAATAAAGGGTTGAACCGAAATAAACAACGTTAGTTTTGGTAGATCGACCTTCGGGAAAAAAATTTTTTGATCATGAACAAACCTATAAATATTTGAAATATCAATCTTTAAATCAAATGATTCCCTTCATAAGATACAAATTTTAAACAATATCTGAATTTATAGAAAGAAGTTGAAGAAGTATGTTTTAAAGAGGTATTTGTTATATGGTAAAGGGTAAAGGGGTGGTAGGACACTCAAAATTTGAAGACAATTCTATATACAATATGACAAATATTTTATCGTTAAGACTATTGTATTATTGTTATAAATACCTGTTTTATTGGCAGACCTCAGACTTGTAGTAACACACCGATACGAATATGGTATAAAGCAAGCGTTGATAGACGACAATGGAACATTCATAGCTCACTTAGCTGGAAACAAAACCTTTGTGGTGCACTATCTGCACGGACAAAACGAAGAGTATCAAAATGAGGTACATCATGAGGCACCGCCCATTGAGTTCTTTGAAGAGAGCCTCAACACCATCACTATCATAAACGAAAGGGATAGTAAGTATAGATAATAACTCGTCGGGCAGGAGTAGTTCTGTGTCTCTTGTGACAGATTGATTTTAAGTAAATTCTATAGTTTAAGTGAGAACACATTTAAAGATAGTGTTATCGGTTTCAAACTCAAAATATATTTGTTAATTTATTTTATCCAGAAATCGAACGCAGGGCCTCTTATGATGTGTTTAACTGTTAAGACACATGGCATAGCAAGTTTTAGTAGTCCACGAGTATAATATGTAAATAGATTGTTCTTCGATCAAAAAATAAATTTGAAGTAATAATGAATTTAAAAAATACATGTTTATTGGACCACAGAAAACTACCTCGATTTACAAGAAGATAAAAAAGTTAAAGAAGAGTCTATGGATTATAAGAAACAACGAGAAGAAGTTGTAAGATCGTTCGAGTCCGTCCAATCGCGTGTAGTGGCTTTATTGGAAGAGAATATAGCGGAGCGACCATTACATCAACTGTCACTGTCTGAGTTTAACTTGCATCTTGAGTATAAGAAGGAAAGGAACAAGCAGGTAAATTGGATAACTCATAATGTACGGCAAATGTATATAAGGTTTCATGATAAAAATTATATATCCTCCTCTATTAATATTGAAATTGAAGGAAGAATTAATCGATATTCCTTCTGACCAAGGAATTAAGGAGATAGAGAGAAGGAGTGCTATCCTTAGCTAGTCTTTTTAAATGATAGATGAGGACAGACAAGCGTGAGGTTCACCTGATGTAAGGTAAAATACCTCAGCCATATTAGATGTTCTAAACAAGATACGCCATCAACCTGTTTTGGCTTTCAACATTTGAAAATCCGATTAGAAACATGTTGTATTGGTAAAAATCGAAGTCACGACCCGTTGATCGTTAGCCATACGTTGCCAACAACGAACTTGTCAAAAGCTAGTCATCCAATTACAAAAAAAGACAACGTTATAAGTACAATAACGCTGTTCGAAGTGATTAATTTTTAAAATTCCTTAGGCTGAAAAAGAAAGACACCAAATAAAATTAGAAACAGAAGCCCGAATTGTAGCGCAAGACAAGGTGACCGCGTGGATCAAAGCTACTTGTTGGGATACTATGCTCACTCCGCGAGTGAAATTATTCGCCATATTCAGCCACTATCAGGTCACGGTCATTTTATTTTTGACGTAACTACGGTTATCGAGCTGTACGGCCGTCGTATTTGAGAAATTCTCGACGTTTCGCCATAACGAGTGAATCACTCTCATCATTTCTCAATTACAACAGCCGAATAACTTGAAATCCCAAAAGGGCATCAAAATGTTCAATAGTTTTACTTGCATTTAGGTTGAAAACTATGCAGTGTTGCCAACTCAACGAGATAACTGGCCAGAATTACAACAAATAGAGGCGCTGCGTAGTGTGGAAATGGAGAATGACCATGACCTATTTAGACCCTGGGAAGAACCTGTTGAAAAAATTAGTGTCGAGGAGTTATCTATACAGTAAGATATAAATTTACTAAAAATACTTCGTCGGTTCCACCCATCACTAGATTATATGATGACATATATATAATTTAAAAGTTATTTTTATGCAGCCCCGGTCCAGAATCCATTTTATCAATGAAATCAGCCCATAAAAGCATAGACAGTCAAATGCTTCCTGATCTTGTGGAGTCTGAGGAATCTTTAGAAGGCCAACCATATGTGCTATCTGGTTCTAACGCACATCGCTTTGTCGATATTCCACCTTTTATGATACCTCAAACAGTAGCTTTCAGTTTCCTACAAATGAATTGGCTGCAACACATTGTCAAGGTATTTAATTTAGGTCGATAGTACTTGGTTGTAGTTTAAGGTGTTGAAGAGTCCAATAAAGATACTTACTTACAATTTCAGTTAAATGTTCAAAATATGCGCTTGTGGTTCAACAAACAGTTTGACGATATGATGAATCAAAAACGACGAGAAGTAGGTCTTGTAGAAGAAAGAAATGCGAGACTTCGTTTTATAATTGACGGTAAGGAGAAAATAAACCTTGTAAGACGTATATTAAGTAATGTGTATATGAGAACTATTTATCGATAATGATTATATTTTAGAGCTTAACAAATTGTCAGACCTTAGGGGAAGCTTTCACCATTTAAACATGCAGATAATCGATCCTGAGTGGAAACAAGAAGAACTACCCCATAAATTGATTAAAGTTGACCCAGAAGAGGTATTTGGCATTCGAATTTTAACAATCGCTTGAATACTATTTTTAAAGATATCTATCTTAATTTACAGTGTAGCATTGAACCATATATTAGCCCGAGTCAAATTGTTATCCCACCTCCGGACTCGGGCCCGAAAGACGACTTTCGCGAACGAGCTTTAATTGAAATGATGGACGGTGTACTCGAAAAGCTCTGGCATGAAGAAATCAAAAAACCGATACCGATGCCACAATGTATGGTAGGAGAATATACATTATTCTTAGTGCTTACATTTGTTTTCAAATGTGCAATAAAAACTACTTAGTCTAAAATAATAAATCTGTTACGTGAATTAAGCTGGATAAAGACCCAGAACACTTCAACGAAGACGATTTGCGCCTCGTTTTCGACTACGAAGCAAAAGTGGCATTTCGGAACGAGGAGCGTGACAAATATAGAAAGATGTTACATGCAGAGTATGCAAAACTCTCCCAAGTGTTGAATGAAGGAGTTGTTAAATTTAATCAAAAGGTTAGTATTGCTTGTACTTAGTATTCAATAATTGTATTGTGTTTTGACACGATTTGGAAATATGTTTTAGGTTAAAGATATGTGGCTAACGAAACTAAAAGTCGATTCTGTAATTGGCCAGGAGAATTTGAATTTGATGCGACTACGTCGAGTCAATCTTGATCGGGTTGAGATGGCAGAAAAATTGGAAGATATGAGGTGACCTGAGTTAACACGTATTCAAAGTCACCATTTACACACACCGACAGTTAACAGTTACAGTTACAGTTGTTATTATAATCTATTACAAAATAATGATAAATTCACAAAAACTATATATTTTCAGGGCTATTATTAGTAAAACAGAGTCTGAGGCGGAACTACTCCAACAAGAGTTGCATCAGATTCAAGAGCAAAGTGAAGAATGTCAGACAATGTACGACAATCTTGCCCAGAAGGATAGGCACATGGATAAGACCTTTAAGAATCATTTCGCTGATCTATCACCGATTATTGTTGACCAGTGTTATAAATATTTCAAGTAAGACTAAAAGACACTTTATGTCACACCTATAAAAAAGTTAATTTTTAATGGACGATGAATTTCCAGAAAACGCCCAAAGTGGCATCAGCGCGCTACAATGATTCCAGTAGTACTATACGACCTCGCAAATGCTGTATTGACAGGAGTCAGACCGTTTCTTTTGCACGCTGACTGTGTAGATTTTTTTAAGGGGTAAGATACTTTTTGCTTCTCCAGACCTTTGCCCCTTGCCCAATTGTGGGTAATGATTGATGAAAAAAAATTAGGTCAAGGACACAAATACATATTGACGGAATATTTGCCTTTAAATAAAACACTTTAACGGTTTCAAAGGGGATATATTTTATGATTTAAACTTATTTGAAAATGATTTTTATTTTCGGCCCGACGTTTCGGTTAAAAATCATTTTGTACTACTCGCGTAAACTATAGACAGTATTCAAAATTGCCCCCAAATTGTACATTAACCTATATTACAGTATTGAACAACTAGATCAGATTAGTAACATGCCGCCAGTAATGGACGAAGCTCTATGGGCCACCACCTGTAAATTGAGACGCGCCAAGGTTGAAAATGAAATAAGGGTAAATTATAATTGTTTTGTTGGTATAAACGAAGGCTATATAAACTCCTATTTATCTTCGAATATAGAGAGATAACGCTTGAGAGAAGATTTATAGAAGCAGTCACAGTGTCCTATAGCAAAGGATTAAACGTTATTTCACAATAGCGATACGGTTTCGAGTCACGCCTATGTAAAATGCTCAATAATCGAATAAAATTAAAATTGAAGAAAGAGGAAAGATAGCGACACTTCTTCTTTGGAAATGCTCGTATAATTAGTTAGTCAATAAAATAAGAGAATGCAGTTTATTTTTTACTAAAACTAAACATGAAATTATATAGGTTACGGAGTCAATAGTGAATTCTTTTGGAGTCACGGTTTTATTAATAATAATGTTTTAAAGAGGGTTTGGCAGACGCTTTGTTCAGACTCTGCTAAACATAGTTTAATTGTGTCGTACTACTATAGCAGGAAGGTATTTTACAATATCTCTACGTTTCTGATAGATGCGGGCTGTAGCCCAAGAAATGGCGTATGTTGAAAGTACATCTAACGTGTGGCGTGCCGCGATTCAGTCCCGCAGGCAACGTTTAGTAAAAACCTCTGAAATGATTCGGCAACACCGAGAGGAAGTGGAGTTTGCTGGTAGAAATAAGTCGCTTCAGGTAAAGCTCTTTTAAATCGATAATGCAAGGTAAAAATTACTTAAAATTGTTCACATGCGCTTGTAATATAAAATGCAATACAAAATGTTCTTTTATTATTTTTGGTTAATTTGTTAGTTGGTGCTGCCCGCGGGTCAAGTGGAAATTACAACGACTGGTCACATGGAAGACTACGACGATGCGACTCTTATCCTTCGACAGGACATAGAACAAATAAATAACCTTATTCTAGTATGTATAAAAATTTCTGTTTTGGTAAAAATTTCACAATACAATAATTATTTCTAAACGACATTATAATTTGGCAGAAAGTAGGCGATTGGAAGTTAAACATGATGCGGAAACAAATGGAATTTCGGAAGGGAATTCTCGCAAAAGAGTGGGAACATGCTCAAATGAAAATGAAACTGAGACACATGGAACAAGAGCTCTACTCCTATCAAAGACTGAAGGTATACTAAAAACTGCTCACGACAAGACTTTCAGTTTATTACACGTCTTGTTTAATTGCGTCTGGTTCTGTCTCGTAGGTTCCAAAAGAGCTACAACAATATTTGAAGAACAAGGAGCTAGGATATACTGATGAACAGGATTACGTACGAATGGAGAAAGAAATGGAAGCATCTAAGATGTCTGTTAATAAAGTGCTTGCTGAACAGATAAAGAGAGTTGAAGAATTGGAGGTAAGCATGACGCGTGATGCGGTTTTTCTAATATTTTCATAAGTAATACAATCAACGCATTTACTTATTGATAATAATTATGATCATTATAGATTAAAATCAACACTCTAGAAGCGCATTCAAAAGATCTGGAAAAGCTGATCGTAACGTTAAACGTAAAGGTGTCCGAAAAGAGGCTGCACGAGGATCCTCTTGAACCTATTCGAATACGGCGGACCTTTAAAAAGCGGTAATAATTATTTTTATTAGGCGTAATACTTAAAGTAGTACTTAGTGACAACAATATTTATTCGAATATATTCTATAGAGAATGACGATGTTAGATAAAATTATAATTATTTTAGGGCTCATATTACCATTTGTACTTTTCAGCATGGAAACCCTAGTAATGCGCAGTAAGCTTATACGCGAAGTGCAAGCGAATCACACTTCAATAGTCCTACTGCAAACGGAGCTGGAACTTCTGCGGTTACGAACATATCCAACACTAGCCAGTTTCCGAACATTGGAATAGTCCTAATTTTATATTTTGAATTTAACGATATGTTAGAATTTTACAACATTATGTTTATTGTAGTTTAAGATTTTGATGGAAGGTAGCCATGAAATATAAAATTGATTTTGTTTACATAGTTTTATTTTCCTTTCATTTAAATGCAATTTCATGACATTTGGGAGTGACATTGTAAGGCTTTAAAAAACTCAATGGTAGGTGCACAATGAATCATTGGTATAGCAATAAAAGAAGATTGTGTAAGCTAACTAGATACCTTTATTGTTACAAAAGTATTGTCGCTTGTCAAATAATAAATGCAGGATAGTATAAGATCTCAAAGACGCCTACCTACATACAATATTATGTTCCAACAATAAAATACACCTCATAACTTCTTAACAAAAAATGTGAATACTATAACCACGAAGATGTTGGTCACTATTTAATTGTACTATTAAAATTTACCAAGTGAAAACAATTGCATATAAGTACCTATTTAAAATAATACAAAGCTAAGAACAAATATTTAAAAAAGACAGTGTTTATAGGTTTTAACGCATAACAGATGACACTTCAAACCAATTAAATTACATTATGATATCAGTAAATTATTTTTATAGATCCAAATCGACGTTCGACAGAACTTATGCACCATAATATTATTATGTTTTCCTTGTTAGTCCTTAAGTCGCTGCGTAAAAAAGTCTTAATAAATTGATACTATACTAGTATATATATTATCTTTTTAGATAAATTAGAATATTGCAAAGTACTCAACCTTATTGTTTATCAAGTGTCATCTGTGGTATGGAGTTATTTCCTGCGTAAAATCCATTACCATATAAAAATTGCGTATAAAATGCTACTTACTACCAATATCTATCTACTAAACAATCAATATGAATAGGCCACTTGTGCACATCGGCTCTTCCTTGCTAAATTTATAAATAACATTTTCGTTTATACTTCATAAAGTCGAACGTTACGAGAACAAATGCTTAAACATACTTAGATATGGAAGTCAATAAACACGAACTAGCCGGACAATAGCAGAATATAAGATAAGCAAAAAAAGGAATAACATACAACAAAAGATTACATATCTTGTGCTAAATCACCTGCCCCAGTCCAACTGGGCCAATTTTAATGGTTCGTGATTATTTATATTTGTCCCAAATAAACCAATAAGTTTTTCATTTTTGTATAGAGAAAGACAAAGAGATATCTGTACAGAATGACGTCACTATTACACCCCTTCTATTCGGTAAGGTAATATGTAGCCCGATATTTTAAATACCTGAAACGTTACCTTACCCACTATCATGCTATTAACCTTTTACGATAATGATATGTAGAGACATTGTAGACGAAATTTTAAGCTGATAGTATAATTAATACTGAGTATCTAGTGTAACATTTTGTTAAAACTTACATACAACATACTAAATAAATTTATAACAATACAAGAATTTTACTAATTTAAAGCCCTGTAGGGTCATTATATTTTTTAAATAAATTATAACCGAATAAACATTTAAGTAATATCAAAATTGAACTTTTTCATCTAAAAATCTTAACTTTCATTTTGTAACTTCAGCTACTTTAAATAATTAATTTAACAACCGTATGATAGGTGTATTAGCGGTCTAACATTCGTGACATAATTTTTTAATAAATTGATGATATGAGCCTAGACCTAAAGCGCAGTCCGCTGGTCATAGACAATGACAGCGTCGGCATCGAAGAATTGGCTGTGAGACTTGCTAAGTGCTATGATGGCTGCATGTTCGCTGCGCATACGGTTCTTGTACTTCTTGCTTAAATTCACCTGTGACCAAGTTGAGTTTTAAATAAACATAATTATATAAATTGCATACCATAATAAGTAATTTTAATATTTTTAAAGTCTGACTTTTCTTTATTTAATAATTGTTTTTATTAAAGCATTTACATAATTACATGCGCCTGCAAGTAGGGCAGAAGGTCTATTTCGTTTTAAATATTGTACTGATTTCTAGCACGTTATCTGTGTATCTACATACTATGTAAATACTTATTATTGGTTATTTATGAAAACATTTTATTGCAGACGGAAGGCCTTATGGCTATTAAGCGTTTTCTTTCTGACAACTCAAAGGTTAAAATGTTTTTATATATGTATTTAACATCTGCAATGTGTAACAACAACAAGATTGAATTTATGTCATATTAACCTTAGCATATAGCTGATGCAGGTCATCTTCAGTAGAAAGCGGTCTTTGCTTCGGTCGTAGGAAAGCCGGGAGGGAGCGGGTTTTCAGTGCGTCAATACTCGCAGCGCTTTCGAGCTCATCTAGCACTTGAAAAATAATCAGATCCTCGTTATGCTTAGACAAACATTGGTTTGCTTTATTAGGGTGCTGCTTGTTCTCAAACTTGTGCCACGGATACATATTAAGCCTTCTTAAAAGGCTGCACAGTACAAGTTTTGAGTAACCCATCATGGACATTATTTTTAATACAAAAGAATTAATGTTAAAATGACACGTTGATATAGCTTATTTAGCATTTTGATGATAAAATATTTTCCTGGCGTTTTAAACTACAATGACCCGAAGATTTATAATTATTAAGACTTACTTCCACTCGAAGCATATTGTTGCGGGTCACGGGTTGCATCTGGAACACGGTTTACGTAGCAATGCGTTTGCGCACGAGATGGTCGGCATTCAGCATCACCTGCGTAACTGGATGGTCGCGTGTGCCTCTGAACTTGCACCTAGTAGGACACCGAAACGATTGAATAATGTTACAAAGCCGAAAAAGGAAATATGTATATAGGTATGAATACACAATAAGTAGTGGTTTAATAAAACCTATAACATATAATTTAACCAAGAGCAAGTGTACATGGAAGAAAAGATCATTACAAATAGCCAATCATTATTAAAAATGTGATAATAGTTTTTTTTTACAATTTGTGTCTCTCCGTATTTGCTCAGTGCAACAACAAAGGATTTAGAACTTGGTAAATTACAGCCGAAATTTACCTCCGTATGTTTTATTCTGTAACTTTCCTGACATGTGTAACTGTGTCCTTCTTTTAAAGTGTAATTTTCTTTTAAGTACTGTTCATCTGAAAAAAGATGCCACATTGCTTAGTGCTTTGAGAAAAATTAACACGAATATTTCGATTAGATATTTACCGAATGATTTCTGATGTCGCGGCATTAGGCGGCAATAACATATAATTATTAACAGAATAACAACACCGCAAATACCTCCAATAAGCCAAGATAACCAAACAATTATAACGCGACTCTGGGAACAAAAATGCGAAGTGCATAAATAGTTCAATTCGGTATTGATTATTTTACTGCATTCATACCTGCTGAAACATTTCAATTCCTAAAATAATGGCAAAAATTGCTCTGGTCTAAACCATCTATAATACTTTTATTTAACATTGTAACGTACTATTTTCTTTTATCTAATTTAAACTAGAAACAATGTATAAATGTATAATAAAAAGGTCTCTCGCTAAACTTCCATTGTATGTTTCTTTATTTAATTTTGAACATAGTGCGATTGCGCGAAATGGCAACGATACAGACTATACCACTTACAATCCACTCATCATAGATTATTGTAACCTCCTGTTAATATAAGAAGTAATTTTAATGTACGCACATGTTTTTTTATAACATTTGTTATAACAGATCTGACACGATTCAATGCTATATCTGTGGTAAAGGTTGGAAATCAATTAAGCTATAATATACATTCTTATATATTATTATATTCTTATATCTATGCTACTTCTTTGCTACATTCTGTGATAAGGTTTCTTCGAACCTTTGAACTTTACTTTACAAAAACTAAACAATTACGTTGTATTTATTCCACCATCTCACTTCCATTGAATTTTAGATTGATTGAATAGCGATAAATGATGTAATTCAAACCTAAACAAATACATTGATGTTGTCGTATAAATTGTAAACAAACATCGCAGCTGATTGTCTTGTACATCGAGTATTATCATTGCCAATCTAGCACTCGGTGTCAACTAACATCGAACGTCGGACCATATTACAGCGTCACAAACTATTAATTGTTCGCGTCATATAAATTGCGTAAACTGTAATACAAGGCAATAATCTGAATTGTTTACTCGACGAGTACACTGACCTCTTAATATTTATGTATTAAAAATGCGAAGCATAGAACTCAGTTATTTCTTTTTAACGGTGTTTAGTTTGCTTGCTACAAATTCATTGGGATTATCGCCGGTTATTTTTAGTAAGTCTTTTACAACCCTGTCCTAGAAAGAAACATCGTCTTATTAAATTAATGCTATATGATATATATAGAGGTGTATGATTTTCTGCTTTAAAATTTTACTTTTATATTTTAGTACCTGGAGATGGTGGCAGTCAATTGGAAGCTAAATTAAATAAAACTGAAGTTGTCCACTATATTTGCGCCAAAACTTCAAATGATTATTTCAGTATTTGGTTAAACTTGGAACTTCTGGTGCCATTTGTCATTGACTGTTGGGTGGATAATACCAGGTTGGATTATGATAATGCAACCAGGACAACAAAGAATCCACCAGGAGTTGATATTAGAGTCCCCGGCTGGGGTAATTCTGAACCTGTGGAATGGTTAGATCCTTCACATGACTCAGCTGGTGCGTATTTCAATACTATTGGTGATGCACTAGTAAAAATTGGATATGTGAGAAATGTATCACTGCGTGGTGCCCCTTATGACTTTCGAAGAGCACCTAGTGAGTATCTGTAGATTGTCTATCTATGTATTTGTTCTAGATTTTATTTAAATATATTGAATATAAATTATTGATTTTTTTTCAGATGAAAATGTTGAGTTCTTTGTTAAATTAAAATTACTGGTTGAGGAGACATACAATATGAACAATAAGTCATCTGTGACTCTTATTGTGCACAGTATGGGTGGATCTATGGGTCTACATTTCTTAAGACTACAGTCACAAGCCTGGAAGGATCAGTATATAAGAAGAATACTCTCTCTTTCTACACCTTGGGGCGGTGCTGTTAAGGCGCTTAAAGTATTTGCTATAGGTAAGTTAAAGTAGAATTCTAATATACATATGATCAATGTCTTTTGTGGCCAAAAAAGACTATAAGGTAGAACAAGGAAGTATTTTCGTGATAGAAGAGGACAGACAAGAATGGAGTTCACTTGTGACTTGATAGTAGGTGAATTGTACATCTCAACAAGATATGCTGTCGACCTAGTTTGGCTTTTGATATTCAGAAATCCACAGACTAAAACCAAAACGCGATAAAAATTGACTGATTTTTAATCTGTTGACGGTGGTTTGTGACCCGGACGGAGTTTCGTCATAACACCCATTTCTAGATTTCCAGCCAAAGTCAAAAATGTTTCAGAAAAAATATAAATTAATTTTGACCCAGTGGGTTCGAACCCACGACTCGTTGATTATTAACCTTAAACTGTTACCATTACACCAATGAGCCTATCAATAATATAATAAGTAAACGACTATATAAAAAAAACATGAACTAAGGTCAGGTTATTGAATTACATTTGTAATTATTTTCTTGATTATATATTTTTATTTATTTTGCGGTCAAGGAAGAAGTACTCTTAAATCAATACAACTCCTGCAATGTCATGATTGTGTGACACATAAAAGCTTTTCCTTCATTCAGTCTTGTTATACTTTTTAAGGAAAACCAAGTCTTAAATAGTTACTACCTCAATGACTTGACACAATACACATTTAATGCTTTCCTGCAATAATTATCTATTGAGTATTTTTATTGTAAATAAATAACTGCAAAAGTATGAACACTGAAGAAGCTAAAAACATTACGGTCTGGTAATAAAATATTATTTATTAACATGTTATAAGTGATACTGAGAAAATTCTTACTTATATACATTCTATATGTCTTAAGCATTGTCTGTAGTTTACGTGAGTAGTATCTACACATGTAGTTAAATTTTTTTAACGGTTTCAATCGCGAAAGATATAAACTAACTTTAATTAATTTTAACTATCCCCTGACCTTCTAACGAATAATACTTAAATAAAGAATTGACAAACAAGAACTTCACTATGTGTAGGTGATGACCTGGGATCTCTGATGCTACGTGAGAGTACCATGCGCACGGAACAGATAACGTGCCCATCTCTGGCATGGCTCCTCCCATCATCCAACTTCTGGAAACCTGGAGAGGTTTTGGTACAGACGGACAAGTTTAATTACACGATTAACGACTTTCAGAAACTATTTACGTACGTCAATTTTTATTTACATAAATATAAAACGATGGTCATTTCTATACCTATTTACTGCCTATAAAAATGTTGATGTTCGTAATAGCTAAACTATTCGAAAAATATCTTACTATAATTATGTTTAGTTACAGTACAAATATGCCATAGTTGACGTTAAAATATACATTTTATTTGTTCGATACAATAAATTATTTAAACATTATGATTGACAGTTAACTGTAAAATAACTTTATATTAATAGAAAATCTTACTTCCAAGCGTTTAAAGAAACATTTTTAGTCTTTTTATTTACATAGATTTGTGTTCTATATTATATAGTGACATGGACTTACCGAACGCCTGGGAGATGCGCAAGGACACGCAACAATTCACCGAGGACTTCACTGCACCTGGCGTTGAGGTCCACTGCCTATATGGGTATAACATCTCCACTGTTGAAAAGTAAGTTTCTATCACCACATCTATTTTATTATTTTATCTTTTACTAGAAGAATATTGCGATAATTTAACCACATAACACAACCTAAGTGTGTTGTCAATGAAAACCAGAATTCCATGAAAAGGAAGACGCTTTTCGGGTTTTGCCGGGCATAGGAATCTGATCAGCTTCTACCTACCGGCCTGCAGTCAGTCAGTCAAAATCAGTAAAACAGACACAAATATATGTCTACTAAAACAGAATCTAGTTTCATATGTTGATGTTAGTTTTGAAATCTTTCCAGATTAGTTTACAAGCCTGGAACATGGCTTGATGGTTACCCAACATTGGTTACTGGCGACGGAGATGGAACGGTGAATCTTCGTTCTCTAAGCGCTTGCGAACATTGGGCGAAGAAGCGAGGCTTCACAACCCTCAACAACAACAAACCAGTAAAATCTTTTCCACTTATGCAAGCCGAGCATCTTAAAATATTACATGATCCAAGAGTTCTAGAATACATTACAACTGTCATGAGTATTGATTAAGTGTTAAGCTAGAGTGAATTGCTAATACCAAATATTCAAGAACGGTAAGAAATTTAGATTTTTATAAGGTATATAGATACATAGTAGTAGGTATTTAAGCATACAAAAACTCATGCAATATATATCTCACATCACTAGCAGTTATATGTACCGTAGTTATTGTTTGTTACCAACTGTTACCATATAATGTGAAGATTTTTAATTCAAGCAGTTTTTGAAATACAGAATATGTTTACTGTAGTTTGACGCGAGCAGTAGACACTTATCCAGTTGGGACTTCTATAGAGAATTACTTATTAACATATATAACGACATTTAATACCAAGGCTATCTTGAAAAGTTCTTTGTGAATGCGTTTTTATTTAATTTCTAAGGTAATTAATAATGACAAATAGAGCTCTCTATGATTTTATAGACGATAACATTTTTTATTTTGTTTACATTATGTTATAGATTATAACTTTTCTATTTTGTTTGATGCGATTTAATAGTAAAAGCCATGCTTTAGGTATGCTATCTTGTTTTCATTTATATATAAGAGAGATATTATAGTGTAGTCAAGTATATACTCAATATAATTAAGATACCTTTTAGGCTGTGATAAGAACTTGCTCAGTAACTATTATATAACGGTATGTACTACTAAAAAGCACACAGGCAATAACTAAGAGAAATAAATTTAGTTAATTTTTAAACTTGGCTTGAGTGCTTCTAGTGGTGTGCTTATTTAATTATTCTGTCTTGTGCCTGATAAAAAATATATGAACAAGTTTCGATGTTTTTTACAATAGAAAATAAACTATAATTGAAAATTGTACATATGTCACCGCAATTATAAAAAGGCAGTGTTGCATCCCTGGGTATAATAATATTTCTTACTAAATGGCCTATTGTAGTAAAAAATATTTTATTTTGTTTTCACCTGCTAAGTTAACACGATGAACCTATTGTGACAAGAAATAAACAGAATGTAAAATTAATGTAGTATTTTATTTTAAATGATCACTTATCTTCATTAGGATGCATCCTGTAAAGTAAAAAAAAAGTTAATTTTGTGTTAACAAAAAAAGAAACTTATGCATCAAATTGAGGATATTTCGTAAATCTATTCCAGGGTTCGTTTTAAAATAAAAACATCAATCAGCATTTATAACTATATTTTGACTTAATACTACCAATATAAAATATGCAACCAAGAAAATTTACAACAAAATGACTTTACATGAGAATCATGATGATCTAACGCGCCTAAAGAATGATGCCTCTTAACTAAAACGAAATAATAAATAATATCACATTTTAAACAATTTGTATCCCATAAATAGTAAGGCTTTCGCGGCCATCTTGTCCACTTGCTAGTAGATGGCAAATGGAGAATTGTAAATCTAATTTGGGATTATTAATGAACAAATAATTTAATCCGTAAATTGAATATCTAAAATTATGGAATATATAATAGTAGGTATAAGTATATTTTCAAGAACACTTTCAATTGGTGAAATTTTTTTTTGTATCTTAGCTGTGAATGTTGCCCCTTACCGACAAGTAGTTGATTATACTTCTAAGCCCTGCCCGACCGAAGCTATTTATTTTTCCGTGGTATTTTAACCTAGACTTGCGCTTTAGGCGAGGGAGGGGGGCGGTGCTTGGTGTCTCAAGCTATTCTAACCGTCAATTCGATTCAATAAAAAGACTTCAACATCATTCAATATACAGGTGTTATAACATAACAGGAACACAGTACATCAAATTACAGTCGTACTTAAAATTAACACAATATAAAATAAATAATTTTTCCCTTCATAATAATAACTGAGAATCAGAAAATTTACACTTAACATTTTCGCTTAGCACGTTTAAAACTCTAAACCATACAAATTAACATTGTTTTAAACAACTAAAACCTTAGGGGTAATTTAAATTTAGACCTTTGCGTGTCTTAGACAACCACCATCTGAAAATTATAAGTAAATGGTTGGAATATAGTTTCTGAAACTTGTTTTTTTAATATAAGGAATGCAAATAAATATTACCCACTTGCTTGAAATTGAAAATAGTAATATTAGTTATTAATCACCATTACTCTACATTAAACATTACTACAAAAGTGCAAATGTACCCTAGGAATATACAATTCTTTAACACGTCTCTACAACAAGTACTGTCAACGACTATTATAACACCAGATAATACTAAGGATTGCCATAATAATATAACATTGCAGTTCTTTTACATCGATTCCATCACGAAATCTAGTTGTTTTATAACGGTTGTATGCTCAAACAAACCTAAACAAAGCGTCTTGTTTTTAAATAGATGACGTAAGCACATTGACAATATAAAAACATTATTGTTTTCATCATTAACTATTACCCGACGCGACGAAGTCAAAAGGAAGGGTAATAATTTTGTCAGTCAATGTTTGTATGTTCCTATATTATCTTTCTTTGACGTTGTTTAAAAACGACTAGAGCTGATCTGAATAGAGTAGGTAGACTTGTGAATACACCAATATAAGTTTTTTTTTAATTTATAATTAGTAGAAACCGATCACACAACGGTATTCAAATATTTATAATTCCAACACTACATTTAGTAATTGTATAATATACCTTAATTATAATAGAATAAGATCAGAAATCGCATGCGATTATCATCAGTTTATCCAAAGCACGATGTGTGATAGTCCGAGTAAGCACCATGAGATGAAAAAGCATTTCTAATGGGACACAAACAATAAGTACCTAATAGAAATTTACTATTTTTACCTAGTTGATGTTCAATATATCAATACCTGCAATTTATGGTTATGACAAAAACTTGTTAACACACTAGCAAAAACTCTTATGGTAAATCAGATAATAACTTGTTACATATGTAGCCCACATTAATTTTAGGATAAGAGGCCTAAAAACGTAGGTAATCGTAATTTTTGTTGATATATTGAACACCGATAGAACGTATAATATTAACGTAAATTTAATTATTACTTAATACTTTTGTGCTGTATAAAGGTTTTCTACCCATTATGATGTTTTTATTTAAAACCATTTTATTAGTAAACCCAAAGAAGTAGACAATAAAGGTACATATAACTAAGAAGAAATTTTCATCTCGCTTTTCCCTCGTACACAGCATTCAGATCGCGAAGAGGACAAACTGATAGGCGTGGCGCTACCTGAATATATCCGGTCTGTAGTAAACATAGACTGCTAATAGAGCAGCAGTGATTGCCAGAATAGTGCGGCGCGGTGCAGCCCGTCGTAGGGGGGCAGGGAGGTATCGAGCGAGGCGAGAAGACAGAGGAGCGCGTGGAACCACACGACCAGCACGACGCCGACGCATTCGCTCCTCTTCTAACTTTCGTTGTTCCTCCCTGAAGGAAAATACAATCATATTTGGAAACTTTAATATTTTCACATGTTATCGCACATGGTGGCAGCAGCCATCATGTATACATGTATAAACTCGCAAGAGGTGCTTGCATGAATATTTAAAAAAAAAATTCTAAATACTAATAATTCTAAAAATCTAACTAATTCTTAACTTTAAATCTAATATAATGTAATGTAGATAAAATCTCTTCAATAAATCTACTTTAAAAGTCAACACAATTAATGAGAAACATCTCAATTAGATTTCAATATCAAAATTAGTTCTTGCAAGCAAGTCATAACATAAAGGAAGACTTACTCTCTCCTCTCGAGAGCAGCTACTTCTGGTTCCAGATCTGTAGGGTCGTTTTCTTCATATAGCTTCTGAGCGACAACCAGTATGTCTTCAAATGGTAAGTCATCTGGTAACTGTAATATACAGGTAACAGTTATAAGCAGAACCGACATAGTTTTAATTTTTTCTGGTCATTGCATTCATTATGTATAATGTATTGCCCCAGCCTTTTCAATTTGAAATGAGCCTTCAACTTATTTTTTCTCAACGTTAGTAATGATTTATGAGTTTAGCTAACCAGATTTTCTAGACTTCTGATGTAAATTGAGTAGAAAAATCTGAGTGAATATAAAATAAACATTTATACATACCCTCGATAGCAGACAGTGCATCATAGCCATATCAGCATCACAGGAAAACACTTGTGGTGCGCGATGTAATACAATAGCCGCAGTCACATATACAGGAAACAACGGTGGGGCGCACAAAAAATAGTCGTACAAACGAACTACATCGCTGTAGCGGTTAAGACTGTGCCCAAACCAAGTAAGGTACCAGGGCAGTGCAAACATTGTTCCAACACCAGATCTGGACAGGCAAAGTTTCACAAGTTTAAGTGCTATATATAATAGAATACTCAAAGTTTACATAAATTATAGTCTATAGAGAAAAATAAAACTCTTATTTAACATAGACTTAGATTAGATAGATAGAATTTAGATTATTAAAACTCAACTTACTTGTCCAAACATTCTGCAAGGCGATCATCAGCTCGCCGTACAACTGGGAGCATGTAGTTTAGTAAATGTTGCGTCGGTTGCATTGTAAGCTGCATGAAAGGAGCTAGAGGAGCCGTTGGACCATATGACAGACGACATAGCAGTGGAAATGACGCCCTGTCACCGCAAACTAGCAAAAGAGTGATCGCTACATCGTGATAACCCTGTAAAAACAATATACTTTGCTATTAAAAAACATTAAAAAAAAGAGAACTATTCTCCATGCGGGAATGTATCGATATTTTTTACGTTTCGTGTGATTAGAATCTCAAAAGTATAAAAAAATATTCTCAAACTTTATTACGATGTAATTATAAAACATCAAGTACTTAGTCCAAACTCAATATAAAATCTTATCAATGAAATGAACTTGTTACAGTCAATAACCACTAGTAGTGGAAAAAAACAATAGCTTCGTTACAATAACTAGTATTCTTCGTTTAACACTATTAATTTTATAGAGTATATTTTCCAACTTGGCATTTTTGGTAAACAAACACACAATCTACATAAAATTGTGATTTCATTATAAGTTATGAACTATTTGAGACACTGCATTATATATTAAACTAATGAACTACTTCAAATTTACTTAGTAAAAACCACAATTTCATCTTAAAATTAATAAAAAACCTAAAAATGAATTTACATAAAAACACAAATTATACTTCCTTTAGGATAAGGATGGGATGTAAGCCCTACTAATGCACAATTGTTGAAAGGCGATGAATTATTGACCTCGACTTTGTAAAGTCGAGTTCAATAATAATTATATAAAAAGTAATAAAAGTGATTTTGAATATTAACATTGTTTCGTCCATCTGTACCGGACATTTCTATGCCCCCGTGTTATCTGTGATAACAACTTCACTCTATAAATGGTCAACACTTGTTCTCTTTGATTAGAAATTACCCATATTTGTTGTGGTCTTTTGCCAAGTTAGAAAAAATAAACTATAAATGTTAATGCTTTCTTTATATTAATCGGTTTCGTAAGTACATATATGAACCCGATATTATAATAGATTAATTTTTTTTTTTTCAATATTACCTGATAATATTTCAAGTGTGGGTACTTGATGATTACTCGGAGTATGAGTACAGTGAGCTGGTCCTGTAAAGCCACTCTCTGCTCATATGGAATACCAGGAGGAAATCTTTTTAATGAACGATTCACATCTAGCACTACCTAAAAATGTTGAAATTTTCTTTTAAGACTATACTTATTCATACATGTGGCTCATGCCACACAAATGTCATGATTAAATTTATGAGGAATGTGTTAAAACTCCATCATGTTATTTTGTTGTTATGTATATTTAAACAGAATTCTCCATCTTATAACTTTATTATCCTCAAATAGATGAATAATATAAAGCTTAAATTTAGGTTCAAACATTATTATATGTTTTGAGGTCATAAATAGAAATTTCTAGTATGTACTATACTTATAATGATACTTCATCCACAAACATATAGAAAGTGTTTAGTTGAGTTTAGTAAAGTGAAATTTGGTTTCAATTCAAAGAACATTTAGGCCATCCGCAGAATTTCTACATTAATATTTGAACTTCAAATGTAGAAAAAAATCACCTGATTGTATTCAGGATGCGTTGAAAGCTCATCTAATGAAGGTGGATCAGTCAACTCTTCTAGGGTAACACCAACCAATAATGGCCATATTACTTTTCTATATTCATCTATAATATAAATATATCATTAATAAATAAGTACTTAAGCTTCAGGATACATTACATCTATGCTTACTCTACTTAAGTATATACTCAACCAATTTCATTGTTATAAAATAATTACCTGAAATTAAGCCTGCCTTGCTTCTTGCAAAACTTTGCCATTTGTCCACATTAACAATGTCTGGATTTTTAAGACATTGCTCTATTTCTTTCTTTTTCTCTGTTATTTCAGGTTCTTCATAGTCAAACTCTAAAAATGGAAATATACAGGCTCAGAAACTTTCACAATATAATCATTTAGCATCGTGACTCTGCGAATTGATCGATCTCTTTCTGTTATAATAATTTTAAAAGGCGACAGTTGAATTTACCAACTAATATTGGTGAGATCAGCTTACAAAACACTGTTGCCTATATAAAGATGACTACCTAATACCATACCTTGATCGAAGTTTAGTTCAGAAGGCGTAGCTATGTCATCAATATTTTTGGTGTGATTTAAATCATTTGACATCCTATCCAATACAGGAGAACCATTCAAATTGCATTTGTTGACACAATCTTCATCGGTATTATAGGGATCCATTGTGGAAAGAGAATGTTTAAGTATTTAAACGAAAACATTACACCATCCTTCTACCATTTCTAATGTCTATCTGAATTCCGATTTATTATGACTGAGTGACATTGAAAACTTCAAACACTTCAAAACTCGGAACTTGACATTTGATAATAATGTACAGACTACAGAGCATGACAGTCAGTTAATCAGCAATTAAATAATATTTGGATTATAGCATTTATTTTATATTTGAAACCTAAAATATTATCTACAATGAAATGTATTTAACGTCTATAATGTTAAAACAGTTACATTATGAGTGAGGCTGTTGTCTTATTGCGTCATAACATTTAAAAAAGCCAACGCGATAAATTGTAAATAAAAATATTGAAAACTATGCATTTTTGGAAAAATTAAAAATGGATTTGCAGACAATTTCGAATAAGGGACCTGTAAAGGAAATCGAAGATGTACTGGAAATTCAAAAAGCTTTTGGAAATATAAATAACCGTCAGGTTTCATTTTTTCTGCACAATGACTCAAATGGTACAGTTTCAGCGGACGTCGCGAGAAGTCTAGACAGTGGTTTAATAACAACGAAATCTGAACTTAAGAATCGCGCAAAAAAACTACAAAGAAAAATTAAATCATGTCGAACTCTCATACCTGACGTTATATCTTGGCCTAGTGATTCCGATATAACTGTACTAAGAATGAAAATATGTTTGAGTAATAATTTAAAGGAAAAAATTGCAATCCCGGGTGATGGTCTTCATCAGCCCAACAGTTCCTCAATGTGTAACCTGGCTACGCTGATGCTACAATCACCACAACATTCAAAACACAGTATTCATGAAGAGGTGCTTTTCCCAATAACTTCTTGGGAAAGGCCTGAGTTACCATTGAAACATGACGTTGATAAATGTCCAAATTACTCGTTTCAGAGCACAGTCCTAACGGCTTGTGGCCAATTCGATAAAAATAAATCATTTGATAACAGTGAAAGTATGAATTTGGATATGAAATCGAAAGTGGCAAGATTTTTCCGAATTTACTTCTGCCCTTGTTGTAGTTGTTTGTACAATATGGAGAAAATTCACGATGAACGGTCATCGCAATACAACACGAAAACAAGAAATTAACCTTTAGGATTAAAACTGTTTGTCTATTACTTTTTATGTTTTTTCTAGCGTTGGCGCTTTTATGTATTTTAATAAAAACTCTTTAAAAAAGGCGCCTGTGTATAAATTTAAGCAATTCTTAACATTATTTAAATGACTTACGTATTATAATTGAGAATAGACGCTTGTAAACAAGACGTAAATAACAATGTTCAAAGGAACTTTTATTGCAAAATATTATTTTTGGTTTAGCGTCCGAGCATTATCCTTAAAGTATAATAATGAACATGGGTGATAAATTGCAAAAATAACTTTCGTTTTAATAAGTTATGCAATTACGCAGACGTGCGCATTACAATAATGACATAATTTTCTGTAGAAACTGAAATAGGATGTTCGTCTTAAAAACTAATAACTTTGTTCCTGGCACTACGTGTAAGCAAAATTTATTTAGATTTCTTTTTTTAATCGTCGGTAATTAAATTGTTTTGTACACGATGAATAATATAAGTATACACTTAAAAAAACCCTTATTTAATAGGTTATTAAAAATTAAATGTTATTTTGTAAGAGTTTTTTGGATACTTAGAGTTGTAGTCCTATAAATACATATACTTATTTTTATTTGTACACGGAATAGGTAGTGTACCTAAAATTAAATTTAGGAATAGTCAAACGCAATTAAAAAAAAATTAACAATTTTAGATTTTGGAGGAAGTAGTAAATACAAATATATTTTTTATTTTCTAAGTTATTGGTTTTTGACAGTGAAAAATATCTGCATTTATTCTCTTTATCACACTTCACATTACTTCAAGATAATAATATTTTTTATTTTATGCACTACTTAATGATTACTTTTAATTTTAATGCAAATTTCACAAACTTTCATACCATTTCGAAATTACATAAAATATCTGCGCTAATACTGAATCAATTCTCTACGAGGAGAAAAGGCCGTCATAATTCGTGAATAGATCAAACCAGTCACAGTCCAACAATGACATCCGAAATAAATTAATTTTATCACCGAACTTTTAAACTTCAATTAATTTTCGTCGAATTCGTTCGATTCGCGTAACATTGCCAAATGGTTGCTTTTCTTGGTTCCCCCAGAAGAGCCCGTAAATGCAAGTTATAAAGCGGGAGAAAGCACAGCGACCGCGCAGTCTTTACGTGCGCCCATTGCGTCCAGTTTGCGAACACAGTGTAATTAATTCGGATACTCTACGATCAGAATGAGGTAAATATAATGTGAATTAACTTGAATTAGGTAATAGCCAATCGTTACTTATTATCTATGTTACCCCATTTCTTATAACATTATATTATTCTTTAATAATTATTGGTAAAACAACTTGTAAAGTATTGGAAATGTGAAATGATTTTATGTTGCTTTAAATTCTATGTATAGTACTGTATACAAGTCTATTAAGCACTTGTTAGAATAGTTACATAACGAAATTTGTAAATAAACAAAAAAACATTTCGCTAGAGGCAAATCTCTAAACATTTCGCATGTCATCAGACCGATGTCCACTCGAAATCAAACACTTTCTCTCTACTTACATTCGTATTTGTGGAGCAATTAAATTGAAATATCCATGTTCTCATGGTATTAACTATCTAGACAAGAAATATAATGATGTCATAGTTAGTTCATCCACCTTGCTCAGGAAAAAACATGAATAGGTGTCATGTAGATGCAAAGTGTCTCTTGGGGCTTAAGCATGTTTGATCCATGTTTGTATACAACCAATTGTACAACCAGGTAAAACAGCAATTTGTAACGCGTATCTTATTACAAATAAGACATTGATAACTTTCCCAAACTAAATTAGTAAAAAAAATATATTTTAATAGTGCGCGGTGTACACCGTTAAAATATTTTTTATTACCACTAGCGTTAACCCCAAACAACTTAGGTAATTATTTTTTGTCCCTGGGTTAATTAATTAGCAATTCCATGGATGAATTGCGTACATCCTGTCAGTCATGCTAGCATTCAACGCGTTAATTCAATACCTACTCCAAAATTGCATTACAAAATGACACTCGTTACAAGTATTAGTTCCAAATAACATGAAAAAGTGAGCCGAATTATGCAAGAAGATAATAAATTCATAACATGTGTGTTCAGCCTACTTATGTCTACTTGCTACTTGGAGTCTGTCTATTGTCTGGTCTTTTGTTATGTGGGTGTGATAATCGCACATACAGTCCCATATTTCATGTCACTTTGTTATGACACCGTGGGTAGGCTATATTTAAATAGATATAATAATAATATTAGATAGAATTTTACTGAGCCTAAATCTTGACTAATTCCAATAAAAAAAGGCTATTACTAAGCTAAGCTACCACTTTCGTGAGTGCAGTTGGAGTTGGTCTTGCTATTAGTTATCAAGCGTTGTAGAACACAGATTTGAATGAACTTCATAATTATGCTTTGAGAACCACTGGGGCATATTATTATGATCACAGATAGGCAATAAAGTTATAATAGGTTCATTTATAGCTGAATACATAATACTATGCGAGTTCACACGCGCGACCGCAGCAGGTGAGTCCATTACACAACTTAAGAGTAGATAGATACCTTTAGGAAAACCTAAACACGACGCACTGTTCTTATAAAAATGTACACAATGTTAGTTGTATTGTTAAGTGTAATGCAAAAAGAATTTGTCCAAATACAATGAAATCGTGTCTAAATATTCGATTATTTTTTTAAATTATGGAACACTACATAAATATAATAATCATTAAATAAATACATGTTGGATGCAAGTAAAATTTGAAATTGCCTTTGCCACGAAACTCAAAGTTTAGATTGCCTTCTATGAAGGTATCTTATTTAAAATCTAATAAGAAAGTAATTAATTAAGCGATAGAGAATGTACGGAAGCCTTATAAACTAAATGATCGTTCGAAATCGGGCAAATAAATGTTTTCAGACAGATATGGTTTACGATTACAATACGAAAGATTCTTACGGTGTTATTATTAGAATGGAGGGAAAATCGTAGTTTTAAAAACATATGAGAATGAACAGTGCAAGGGAATGCATTATACATTGGCGAAAGTGTCATTCAATATACAAATGGCTATATCCTTGAGAAACATTGGGAAGACTATTATGTCTCACGCGATGAACATTCTTCAGCTAATTGTCAATGAACAAAATTATTTCCTTGCGCATTGCGTGATTTCGCCCGATCATTAACAAATTGAATTAATTATTATGTCCATTCGCGTAACACTGAATAACGTAAATTAGATAACGTGTTATACGCCAGGAAAATTATTTCAATGTCGTCGATTAAAGACGGAATTTCCTTAGACTTTTCGCGAAGTGTTCTTGAAATAGATTTTTGCGAACGTAAGTTGCATCACATTAAACATCTTTTGGTAAAGTAACTTTCTAAGACTAAATTTTATACTACTTACATATTATATAAGGAAACGTTATTATTTCCGTTACACTTGCAAATTAGGCATTACTACTAATTAGGCAGTTATTGCGTTTTATAATGTTCCCGCTTTTATTACTAGATAATAATTTATTAAAGATTTGGATATTAGAAAGTGACAGTTAATTATACTTGTTATTATTATAGTTCCGCTTCCATACTTGTGACAATAAACGAAAGCCGAGTACCCAAGAGTATTATGCTTTTGATTGCTTAGTCAAATTAGAAACTAAAGAAATAAACATTTTCATTGACAAAGATCGCATATGATATGTGATAAATTAAATAGCCTTCACGCGTTATAACAATAAATGAAAGATTACATCGTAACTTATGCAATTTAACCTAGACATTAAGTTAGTTGTATTGGCGTGTGTCTGTTAATTGTAACAAACTAGGGAGAAGGGGTGGTCAAGAATTAAATTCCATATGTAACATGTCGTATGACGAAATGCTAACTGTTTTTAATAACGTTGATATAAATACTGTCTATCGTTTACGCGAGTAGTATGCATTTAAATAAAACACTTTAACGGTTTAAAACGCGATATATTAGTTAGTTACGCGATATAAACGTCGGACCGAAGTTAAAAATCATTCTCAAACAAGTCAAACTAATATATATCGTTTTAAACCGGTAAAGTGTTTTATATAAACGTTGATATAATTAAAAACTTACCAAACCTTACTTAAGTTAAGTTATTGTCAAGTAACTGACCACTGAAAACAAAATACCAACATATTTTCTAAATTACAATTGCTGGCATGTACTGTGCTTTAATAATCCAATAAAAAAGTATTTTATGTCAAATATATAGTTTTTACAGGCACTCATGGCATAGACTTCTCCTAGTATCGGGACTAGAAACATTAATCTTAAAATGTATATTAAAACGTAAGAAAGAATTTTAAATATATCTACATATTATTACATCTAAAATCAATTACTTTCGTAAATACAAATAAATAGACATGAATATTGCTTAAAACTGAAACCGTGGACGTACTACGTCTTCAGTGTTGAAAAGAAATCGTTTGAACGAAGGTCACAAGCTCACTAAGTTACAAGGCATGCCGAATTAGTGAGTGATTAGTGCAGGTCAGGCAACCATTGTAAAGTTAAGATGTTACCTAACTAGCGCAAAATAATCCTTACCATGGAGATGACAAGATCAATGAGAGATCATTTATATGCTGTGCTGACATTGGTATGTTACAATACATTATACTGACATAGAACCTCGAACCACATTGTCACCTTTAGATAGAGAAGAACAGCGCGGGGTTCGCTTGATGGGACTTGGGAGGGGAATTACCCCAACCATTTATCAGCCTTTGCATTGTAGTGTGCTTGGAAAATATGACCTAAAAAGTAGCGTCCTATAAATAATCTGAAAATACTAAAAATAATTGTTTATAAAACACAGCCTTTAGAAGGGAACGCTGTTTAGTATTTTTGAGGCCTGTCCTTGTCAGAAACACATAGACAATAATTGCCTTTATTGTGTGTTAATTTAAAAAAAATAATACTTTTACTTTTTTTACTGGTTTTAATAAATGTATGCTAATGTGTTTTCACAAGAACCAAACTGATGGACTTGTTGCTGTAGTGTATTGGGTTCGATCCCCACCGATGTGCCTAATCGATTTATATTTTTTCTGAAACATGTTTAACTTCTTCTGGAAATCTGGATATTAGTGGTAGTATGAATATCGAAATTCTGTCCTGGTCCCGAAGCACCGTCCACAGATGATTACATTGGCTGGAGTGTTTTTGGCTTCCTCTCTCATAAAGTAGGAAAGCCAGTACATACATACAAACATAAAACTTTTACATTAAACATCATATACCTGATATTGATATTGAATTCTGGTCTTAACTATTTTTATTGCTTTATTATAGATAGATTTAAACATGTTAATGTTACAGTCGACATGTGTCGAATGTCCTAAGGGCACTCCTGCAACATATTATTAATAAGACACACCCGACGCAGCTCGCAAGCAACTCATATAACCTGTATAGGCTGTTTATTCCACGTGCTACTTACCCACATTTGGACCAATTGCGTAAAAGCTCTTAAAAAGTCACTGTAATGAATACCGAAAGCAATTTACTGTTGTATCTCTTTAATTTATGTTCGCGGGACTTTTGAAACCAAATAATTCCGGATTCCGACAAGTTCTTCTGTAACGTTACATAAGTTGAATAACCGAAGTGTAAGCAGGTCTGTAATTCTTCTGTTCGTTTGCCATTTCGGTTGTATCAGTAATTGACCACAGTCGCATCTTCGTTTCTTATATACCGTTTTGTAGTTGGTAATTTTTAAATAAAACACTTTAACGGTGTAAAACGCGACATATTTTTTAAACGTAACGTTAAACTTATTTGAAAATTATTGACTGAGTCTCCCCGTGACCATGGCTACTGGAAAGCATTTGAGTAGTTAAAATAATTTTCAAACAAGCTTAATTAATATATTGCGCGTTTTAAACCGTTAAAGTGTTTTATTTTAATTTTCGTAACTATAATACATCAAATCCTGTGGCCCCCAATCGTGGGGTGGATATGATAATTTCGTCGTATGACTTGATCAAATTCCAAGCCTAATCAATGCTTAGTGCGTTGAGAAACTATTAGTCACTACTCTGTAGCTCGGAGGCAATAAAAGCGGCGGATTGTTTTCCAGTGAACGAACTGTAGAGCGAACCGGGAGATGATTACATAATGAAAGTGAAATCATGATAATCTCACGTCAACACAACTCACTACAAGTTGCTACCGGATAAATATATACATGAAAAAAGGGTATTAAAATAACATCTATTCCTACTTCATAGCAATGTGTGCAGGACTTCTGAGATCTATACTAATATTTTAAAGCTTTGTTTGTTTGAACGCGCTAATCTCAGAAATTACTTGTTAGAAGTGAAAATACGTTTTGTGACTGCGACCAATAGGAGCGAAGAGACAAACGGAAATGTGAAAAAATAGGGAAAATTATTATAATTTGAGGAAATCCATTGCTTGCGCTGCAAAAATACTTCAGGTTACCGAAACAATATTTTTTTTCTATAATTATTATATAATCTGAAAACAATGTCCGCGACAGTATATCAGTAGGACTCACAAGAACCGTGTTTATTGTTATCAAATTCATACGGCCAAAGAACGATTGCAAAGTCAGCTAGTATGTTATATATATCTATAATATACAGGTTAAAATAATTATATAGAATATACCCTAAATGAATATTAAATATTTTTTAACTTACACCTAGCTATGTATTAAATTGGAACGTGTAATTCGCGAGATTAGATAAAATATGTAATTAGTTCCGTGCTTTGACTTCAAGTGCATTCTTTAGCGCTGTTATTATTTGTAATACACAATTTTGAATTTATATTTGACTTGTACAACGTTATATGTACAAAATATGGTATTTCTTTCTTCTATAAAGCCTCAGATGTATTCACTTTACCTTGCAGCAATTTCTCTGACTAAGAGATCATAATTAACTGATGACTTTGTAAGCCGGCTTATACCTTTCAAACAATTTCTAATTAATAAAAACTTCATAAAATCTTTATTGGACAGTAAATGCTATAAGAATTTCTATAGAAAGCAAAGTCTTGTGGTAAAAAATTCAATCATATTATTACAGAACATTTATGTAATTTTTACTTAACAACGTGAGTTAACTATTTGATCGCTTAATTGCATAATTTTAAAAAGTTTACCTATAAAAGGCTGAAGTCTGAGTGGACATAATAGACATCAATGCCGTTATACTCCACTAATTCCGTCTAATGTAATATTATCGCAATATTTTAAGAGCCGAAACCGTTAATATTAAGTTCTTAAATTACACACTTCTATTCTTTATTCTTTTATTTTTATGCACAAGGTATTTTAGTTAGCCACACATTACTTACATGCAGCATGAAGTCTTGAACTAAAATGAATACAAGGAAAATCCACGAGCAATAAAAAAAAGCAATATACAAATACCTACAGCTTTCAACGGTTCTAATTATAATCCTATTCCCAATATGGTTAAAAATATTGTCACGTCTGTATCCTCGTCTTGAAATATTATTTATAATCGAGAAAACCGAAATACACATCTTACTTTCACTTCCTTTAATGATATTTATAACTTTAAGTTATTACAACTTTCGTTACAACTGCGAGACAATTTATAAACGTCTTAAGATGTGTTACCGATTATTAAAATAAAGCACTACAATATGTACCATGTTTCATAACAAGTATTAGAAATTGCACTATTATATTGTGGTTAAGTTTAAATACTAGATTTTTTAATACCAGCTCAATCAAACGGTCCAATGCCTCTTGCCTTAAGACATTGACGAAAGTTTCAAATGTAGTTCTTCTCATTAAAATGTGCGCAAAGTTTTTCAGCAAGATTTAAAATTAGAAACGTAAATATTGAATTATGTTGTTTTACAGGTGGAACATTTTAATAGGAATATTGCTGATTGGCGTCGCGTGCGCATCGGAAGAGGATGACAGCGTGCCTGATGCCGGCGTTGATGATGAGGACGAAGAACTGCCTTTAGATCGTGAGGTGAGTGTTTATTTTAAGTTGAGTATCTTATTATCTTCATTAAAAGATAAATAACTGCCCGTTATTAAATATTACAATCAGTGGGTATTAGTTGTAGTTGGCGTATAGAATTGTCACAAATTAAAAATAAACCAAAAATAGAGCGAAACGATGCATAGCGAACGATAGAAATAAAGTGAAAGTTTTATAAATTTATTTTGTTTTGTATTTCTACTATCTCCTTTGCAAAGATAAAATGAAAGTAAGAACGTCTATTACGCTAATTAAAATTATAGCTTCATCTTAGATAACATAACTTGTACATTTGATACACAAAAATAGTAACTTTAGGTTTATAGAAAGCTGAAAGGCACGCCTAGGCCAATACCATTGCAGAGCAATATAACCATAATATATATACCTAGTAGATCGTATATCTGTTTTTATTTGAAGTATAGTATATATATATTATTAGTTAGACTTATTTGAAAATTATTTTAACTACGGTCCCAACGTTTCGAATGCTTTGCAACAGCCGTGGTCACGGGAAGACTAAAGATGGACGGTGTCTCTGCCGTCAAAGTAAAAATAATCGCGTTTCAAACCGTTAAAGTGTTTCTATTTAAATGTGTACTACTCGCGTAAAATACCACCATTATTCTACGCGAAAAATAATTCTCGCCAAGTTACTTTTACTTTAGCAGATTTTCTATGACGTGTGTAGGTTTATGAATCTGCTCAGATATAATAAATATTGTTTCATGATTTTATTCAATTGACTAATAGTGCGTGGGCGTGATGTAGACAAAAGAGTATTGTTAACTATTTACTTCTAGGACTAGTTTGTAATCACAGTTAAATTAAAATTTGATTCACCGATACAGCAATTGAGAAAGAGGTCAACAACACAATTGAAGGTCCCTATTGTGTTCATTTATTAAGTTATTGCTAAGCAATTGTTAATTTGAATGTTTGTTTCTTTAAGTTGTATTTATAAATAAACAAGCAGCGTTTTGCGTTAAGCGTTTAATTTATTTATGTAAGTATATGTTAATTCTACAGCTATGATATAAAAAATACATGTACTAAAGAAATAAAAATAGATATATAAGAAAATTTAATTTTCAATGTTTATAATTCTCTTTCAAGCTAACCTTTTAAAAAAATAATGTGCATACCTACTTAGCTCACTAGTATAGGCGATACGCTAATAAGTTAGGATTTATATGAATGCCCGAATTACACTTTACTAAAATTAAAAATTTTGTTAAAAAGGTACCGACTTTCTCAATAATTTGTTCTTTCGCAATATTCCAGGAGTCTCGTAACCTAAGGCCAAGGGCATACACCCCAGTAGCGTACCCTAATACACTGCCAAGTGGATTCCGGCCCACACCGTCTCTAGCTGAACTGGCTGGTTACCAGAGAGCCCAAGAACAGGAGTACATTGTCCCAACTAGACCACAACAAGTCTACATTGAGGAACAACGACAACAAATCAGGACACCACATAGAAAGGTGAGACTTCTATCTAGATAATTAGAAATTAGGGGTAAAATAGCAGCCAAAAAACAAAAGGGTATTTCACGGTTTAAAACGACAAAGGTATGTTTTACTCAACTCCCAACTAATTTAGCTAATATATTTCGCGTTTCAAGCCGTTAAGTTAAGTGTTTTACAATCCATTTTATCATTTTGTGTGGTTGAATTTATAATGTACCAAATGTATTGCATCTCTTTCACCGTAACATAACACGTAAATGTTTAAATTTCATCTGTGTACTTACTCTCTTACAGCCCCAAGATCAACGACCAGCAAAATTGCAGCAGTCATTAGAAGAAGAGGAAGAATCAGAAGAAAAAGAGGAACCAGACCGGCTTTCAGCATTGCTTCAGCAGTCTAAGTTTGATTGTAGCACTAGGAAGACCGGTTACTACGCCGATGAAGACTTGAACTGCGAGGTTTTCCATTACTGTCAAGACAATGTCAAGCATTCTTGGATTTGCCCCGATGGTTTCACCTTCCATCAAGTGAGTAGAGAGAACAAACCAGAAAATATTGTATTGCAACAAGCCTGTACTGTATTTAGATACAAGCCTTCTTTGTTTTAGAGTTAGCAAACTCATACATCATTTTTATGGTATCAAAATAATTGACTGATACCAATGTAAACATTGTCAAATACGTTTTTCTAACGATAAATCTTTTAGGTTCATCTGATTTGCATGCCGCCAACACACGACAATATTTGCCAAAAATCATCAAAGTACCACTTCGTAAATGAATACTTATACAAACCAATCAATGAGGAGGAAGTTCAAAGGAAACCAAATTCGCCACTTCGTTATTCCGAGAGATATTATCCGTCTGAGGTCTACAATGATGATAGATACGAAAGAGAAGATGAAGAAGAGGTGAGATAAAGTTATATTGCGAACACCTAATTATATAGTCATCAATTATAGATGTTTTGTTATCTTTACATAATAAATCAACTTATGAAATTCTTAGGAAGAAGATCCTAGAAGACAACAACAAGCTGCACAAATTCAAGAAAGGCCCTCTCAGAGACAGCAATACCAGCCCCAAGTATTCAGATCAGCTGAAGAAGTTAATATTCCATTAGTCCAAAGACGTCCTCAGCGACCTTTCGACTTTGAATCTTAGATTTTTTCTTCGAATCTTAGATCTTTAGAATTATTCTCAACATGATCAAAATTTAGCACTAGAAGCAATAACATTATGCGCTATACAAACGCGAATTGCAATCGTATTTAAGTCCAGTGTTTTTGGTGCTAAACGTTGAAATGTACTTAACTAATATGTAAGTTTAAGAAAAGCTTATTTATGACATTGTACAATAAAGTGTTTCATAGTAATAATAATTATTGTACCTTACAAATTAGACATAAGCTAGTCTGCTAGAGCTAAGGAACTAAAATATATACTTTAATAATATATTTTTTATTTATTTCTTCACATAATTATACACATTAGCTCAGATAAGAGATATACATTTTTTATTTATCATTATGTAAAACTCTAGGATGTATTTTTCATCTTAATAGACAGCCAAAATCAGTTTTCTTTAAAAGCGGATTATACGAGGCTCCACTACGATTTATAACCAAAAAATAATAGTCATATATATTATGTGATGAAACATTCGCAGCCTTTAATAATTTTTTATATATATATTTTTTAGCGGCATAATTATGTTACTATGGTCACAGTCCACAGAGTATAGTAATTACAATATGAAAATGAATGACAATTTGCCATCCGTCAAATCGTTTTAATAATTTTATTTTTTTCATTAATAAATCTTAATAAAACGATTAACCGTAGTCCACAGTGACTAGCAGTCATTATTGTTTAGATAACTCTTGGATAAAATGATTAAATAAAGAAAACCTATGCAGAATCCTCATAATACTTCAAATCTCTAAAATGAATGCCCTGGAGTATAAAATATTTCATGAGTCACACATGAAGGGAAACCATGGCTCAAATGCTGTACATACTTTTTTCTGCATTTTTTTCACAGTGCAGTGCACCATATTGTGTTCTATCCAAAGGACTAAATATCAATGGGGGCAATATTTATATGAGTATGCTATTATAGTGCTTCCCTTAATAATAGCCCACACATCACTGGCAGAGTACATTTATCAATTAAATGTTCTAGTGTTTGTAATATTGTTATACAATGTTGTAAAAATGGGAATCAATGGTAAATTTATATTTTATAATTCCCCAAAAAAGAGGCAATCAGTAACATGTCTGAGAGGTTTAACATATCTTATAACAAGTTTAGCTATATTAGGTGTTGATTTTAAGGACTTTCCTCGTTACCTAGCTAAAACTGAATCATATGGCTACAGTTTAATGGATACTGGTGTTGGTTTGTTTGTATTAATGAGTGGCCTGGTTCATAAGGATTTTCAAAAATATAATTTGAAGACAATTCTTTTAAGCAACATGAAAATAATTTTAATACTCTTGGTCCTTGGCATAAGTAGATATGTGTCTATTAAGCAATTAGATTATCATGAACATATTTCTGAATATGGTGTGCATTGGAATTTCTTCTTCACATTAGCTTTTTGTAAAATTATTTCTACTGTTATATTATTATTTTCAAATCAAACTCTTTTATTAAGTATTGTATCTATTGTGTTACATGAAACATTTTTATATATGGGTTTAGAAGAATGGGTTTTTAGTAACTCTCCTCGCTTGACAATTCTTGATGCTAATAGAGAAGGCATCTCTTCTAATCTTGGGTATGTATCTTTATATTTATTTGCTGTTCATTTAAAGAAAATGTTAGCAGAACAAACCAAAAATATTTTAAAAAAGCTTACATATTACTGTTTATTATTTCTTATAATTGCATACTGTGTTAATTTATTGAGACCAACATCAAGAACTTTAGCAAACGCAGGGTATTGTACATATCTGATATTTGTTTTATTATCAATTATAACAGTGCTAACCTTTATTGAAACATCAATATCAAAAAAAAATCAATTTGCTTTTCAATCACCCCTCACTTTGTTAGCCATTAACAAATATGGTTTATTTTATTTCCTTATATGTAATTTATCAACTGGCCTTATAAACATCATGTTTCAAACTTTATTACTTCCATCAACTATGACATTTCTATTACTTAATGTTCATATGATTTCCACACTTTTAATAACAATTTTATTTTATGAAAAACAGTGAAACGTAAAAATTTTGTTAAATTTTAATATATTCATTAACAGCATTATAGTGAGTATTACAAGATTGTACCAAACTCTTATAGTATACAATGTAAAAAATCCTTTTCACTATATAGTGTAACAAATTCATAAATAATTTACCCTTTAATTTATTGCCTATGTACAAAATAAAAGGGATAAACATTAATTTGGCCTCTCATTTAGAATGTGATCCATAATTGATTTTGACAAAAAGACATTATAGAATATAATCTGTAATAATTTCTAAAGAATATATGTAAATAAACTCAGTCTCCTGCGTCAAGTCAAAGTTAATAACTATGTGTTCAATAAATAGTGAGAAAGAGTATTAAGAAAAACAGTTTTTATTCGTCTTTATCTTCATACCTCAATTTTCTTAAGCTTACATTTGCTTAAAATAATTGTCAAGAAAAGAACCATGATAGAGGACAATAGAACCCTTTTTATATCAAAAGGTAATTCTCACCATTTAATGAACTACTAATAAAATACAATCTTTCTATGATTGTTGTAGTAAAAATTGCATATCTTCAGTCTTTATTCTGTGAGTTAATATTGACAATATTCTCAAGAAACAACATAGTAATGTGTAACCTATAACTACAATGAGCATAAATAAATAGAAAAATAAATAAGGGAATCTGCTGGGAGACCAAAACACAGTGTATTTTAAGTGCTGATTGTTTTCTGAAATATAAACAAAACATACATTATTGGGTTAGTATTTTTAATCTTAACTCGTCTGTTACGTAAGTAAAATAATGATATTACAAAATGAGTTTAGTTTTGACATGGTTAAATACATCAGTTGATGTTATCCTCAGTTTAGCTTATAATATCTTTTTGATCAAAAATTAAGTTGCCAATTGTTACAATATGTAACTATTAGTCAAATGAAGTTAAAAGAACTCATCTTAAGACTTATTTTAGGAAGGATATATTCATACCTATGATTGCTGCACCAAAGCCAATCTTGCTGGTCCCCATTCTGTATGAGCATGTAGGCACATAAACTTCATACAACCATTCATCGTCAATGCTAATTGTTAAAGGTGGATCTCCATACTGGAGTAAATGTATCTCCTTTGATTCGTAATCTCTTCTTTGTTTAACATATTTTGACTTATGTTCATGAGCACAGAAAAATATATCAGGATGTATGGAATTTATCACCTGGAATTAATATTTAAACTTGACACTTAAGTTAAGTGGAGTTTAAAACTTACTAAACTAACATAAGTTACCTGTTTAGCATAAACTGATCTTTCCAATACAGGATAATGTGAAATACCAATTTTAAAGTTTAAATCACCATCATCAAGTGGTTGTGGTACTGCATAAGTGATTGCATTTACTTTGTAAAAAGAAATATTTTGAAACACTATTACAGATGGCTGTGAAAATACAGTCTTAAATTCTTCAATTTTATCATGCCTTATAGGCTCATTTTCACCCCCTATATCATTATCTCCTGGTATCCAGACTTGCTGAAAATAATAAATTGTATGTATAAAAAAGTAAAGCAAGTATGTAAATCTTTCTGCCAATGCAAATTTAAATACTTATAAGACTATATGTAACGAAATGTACTACTACATATATGCAATACGCAATGCAGTATTAAAAATAATTGTCTGAGATCTAGATTATAAAACATCAGGGTAATAAATAACTTATTATTAATACTTAGATATAAAAAGTTAAAATTTATCTTTTACTCACCACAACAGGGTAATGTGGATCAAATATATTAGATAACCTTTTTACATAATTATGAAACTGAGCCCTAGTGGATATACTGCCTTCATCCATAAGATCTCCGAGATACACCAGTACATCTGGCTGGAAATGTTTTTCTACTACTGAATATGTAGACTTTAAATACCTGATGAAATACACTGTTATAGATTATAATAAAATGAAATAAAGCTGTTTTACGGCACTAAGCTGTTCTTATGTATTTCAAAGGGAATCCACATATACAGATTAATTTTGATGGATAATATATAGTAAAAGAAATGTTATAAATACAAACCTGTCGCTATCCCAGTTAAAAATGTAGTTAAATGGAGATGGAACTGCTAAATCACCCTGTATTTGTGGATCTGCGATAAATAATATTTTTGTACACGATTGATCTTCACATTTTAGCTTCGTCCAGAAAAGTGGTTGTATAATATAAACAAACCATTCACTAAAAAAAGCACCCCCCACAGATATTGCTAACAGGTATTTTATAAATGCGCTGAAATTTATAAGATGAATTAGAATAAGGATGTTTGATAGAAACGTTAAAATTAAGTATTGAAGGCGGTTCAAAAATCTATTTACCTTCGTCGTAAATACATGTGTGGTTATTCGGCAAGTCTTACTACTTTCGAAAATATTTTTGCGTTAATTGAGAGGAGTTTCGTTTAAGATTAAAATTAATCTGAATTCAAGTAAAATATTTATAAATAAAAAATGAACATAAGTCATAACTATGGTTTTTCAAAGGACAGTTACAGATATGGAGAATAGAAATTATTTCGTGAGGATTTTGAACCACAGAGTGTTTATGTAAAACTAAATAGTTATGCTAATCTTTGGTTCATATTATTATTGCAATATATCTGTTTACTGTGGATATCATTTGCGGCGCTTTGACAGGTCAGCTTTTTTAACTTTTCGAGTATCGTAATATGTAATAGTTTCATTTTGAATATATCTTTATTTACTATTTGAAAATAACATGTATTTCGTTGTAGAATTAGAGTATTTAGTCTTTTAGCTTACATCTTAGTGCACTTACAGAATTACATAAACAGTAGAGTGGTGATTAAGTCGGCGATACATGCCTATTTAACAACACTACGTCAGTGAATGGTTGGCTTTAAGATAATGGATGTGGATACTCCTAACATATTGAAAAGGTGTAGTAGTGCACCTTTAATAAATGAAGCTGCTTCCACGACTGTGACGTCGCCAACTACTAGTTCTGCACCCAGGTAATGAGTACAACGTACCTCCCACGTCTTGGGGTGCTGTCGCTAAGCTACCAGCCTATTTTTGACACCTGCTAAGCGTGGTAGTGGGTGACATGTACGTATTTATCCGTGTAATTAAATGCTGCATGCCTGGGGCACATAATTTTTTAATATTTTCTACAGATGGAGATGTGATAAAAATGAATTGTTTATAATATGCTGATAAGTAATCATACAGTTGTTTAGTTTAATTAGTACAAAAATATTGTTTAAAACATCAACTTGCTTGACTTTCTAAAACATTGTTTAAATAAAATTGATAAAATTTTAACAATAAAAATTATCACTGAGACTTCAGATTGTTTTAGTAATGTCAATAGTCACAAGAGCAATTGTAAAACAGAAAAGTAAGTTATATCTTATAATTTGTTTGCCATTTATAATGGGCTTCTTAATATATACTTTTTATTACAATTTTAGTTGTTAAGTATTAATATTATATTCAAATTAGGTAAGAACAAAGCAGGAGAAGTTATGGTTAAGTAAAACTGAAAATTTTTGACCTAAAATGCAATGCTATAATTAAAAGCTAATATATTTAATTAAAAAAATTACATTAGAAAAAAATGTATAAAATTGGAATTTGAAAACTTCTATATTTTTCACATGTTATGGCATGGATGGTATTATATAAATTGAAAATCTAAACGGCAAGGAATGCTGTGGCTGCTGGCGGAAGTCCTGCCCGTGACTTAATTTATTTTAATCCAAAATATTTGTAATTGGACTTATTATGATAACTTTATACCTACATATAAATGTTATTGTTAGTCAACTATGTTCATTATTTTAAAATATAAAAATAACAATATACAATGAAATTATTTTAACAGTTATTGTATTGTTTTCTATTCAGCTCTGTCTGCTGTTTTAATAATACTGTATTAGTATTTACTAACATTGCAACAAGTGGTATAACATTCATCTCAAATATTATACCACTCTTGGTTGTTTTCTAAATCATTACTTTATAGTGTTTAATAACACTACTACTATAACTATATAAAAAAAGTATTTTTCTTGTTTCAGGAGTACATCATTTTTCGGAATGTTTTCCAACAACAGCTTGCCGCGAACGCGCAGTAACAGCATCAGCTGTAGTCCATTGTCTGCAGCTATTAATATACCTGTAAGTTATCATTTAACATCTCTAATTTTGGGAGAAAAATTATGTTTTGAATCCAGGACCTCTCAGTGCTCCTAATACCTCGTTATTAAATTACGCTAATAAGATTAATCTGTTCAAGAAACTCTATAAATAAAATCAATTTGAGATCAATATAAATGGTTTACAGGTATTTCAAGCATGCAACCGCCGCTTGACTCCAAGAGTGAACCAACTTCGCGCTGAAGAGTGTGCCGATGTCAGTAACCAACGTGAGGTTGCGCATGAGCGGGAGGTGCACAGTGCGATGCAAATGGGCCAGTCATATGAAGATCTGACGCTGGTCGGCGGACCAGCCAACTCACCTACACGCGTGCCTAGGTAAATAAATAAATGTTAAAATAATATATATTGAGTTGTTGAGGGTTCCATAAACTACACAATAAACTCGAGACAATACTAAGTCTAATAAGAAAGTAGAAGCAGGCAGAAAGCAAACACGGGGTTCACTTAAAATAACATCTATTTAAAGACTACTGTCCACCAATTTTGGATATATTACAGATTGAGTTCTATTATGTTCTAGAAAATGATAAATGCGGTTGGAATCGAATCCAGGACTTGTTGCTGCTATTTAAACGAAGGAGTTCGTATTAGTAGTAGAGAATAGATTAATATTGTTATATTTCTAGGTTTTCAACTGTGGTATCGCCCTCACCGCCCCGCAAATACACGACTCGCAGAAGTCTATCACCAAACCCGATTCGAGCGTCTAGTTTCAGCCCAATTCGGCCTAACGCTTTGATGGGCAAGCGCCGTTGCGATGATACCGAACAGTCGCTTTCGAAGCGTCTGTGTACGGACCGATTAACGCCATCTACTCCAGGTTTGCACATAATAATTATTGTTACAGCTTATATAAATTGAATAAAGTATTTTTGTAAGATATAGACCACCCAGACTTGACCAGAGATTAATAGCATATGAGTGACAAATATTAATATTTATTTATTTCTTTTAATAAGATTACTGGGTCTACATAAAATTGTAGAACATGATTGGGCCATATTTAGACTCTTAACTTACTATCATTATATTATTATTAGTACTGGGTTTCTGCAGCTATGCAGGACCACAATATTGTGCAAGAATACAAAGATTTTGTCAGTTGTCTAATTTCGCTGTTTCATACAGACAAAATCGCAGAGATAGAAGAATTGAATTAAGATGTACACACAACTGTACCATAAAAAAGTAGAGTGATATATTTTTTTTTAACTGTTACCAAATATGTATTTAATTATGGTTGTTATATTCAAATAGAGTTAACCATTACTTATTAATGTTTATCTCATATGATAATGTTTCCTTTGGTTTTAGGTACTCCCGATTCTGACTCATTAGATTGTACGTTCAGACCGGTTTCACCTCGTGGTCAACCAATGAGTGATTCAGAACAAACACAAAATCACAAGGCAGACCCTAGCTAATACTAATAAGAATGGTTACTGATTCTAATGGAGAGGTCTCGTTAAGTCTGAATAATGAAATGTTGGATTAACAACTATAACAAGAAGGAATGAATTTTATACCTGTTACAGAGTTTTCTGAAATTGTTTATGCAATTGTAAAGTACCCTCTATTTGCATTAAGATTAGCTCAAGTGAAAGGTGTCAACATTTGTGAGATTAGTGACAAGGGTATAAAATAACATTTAAGAAGATCAAAGCTGGATGTTGGAGTTAGTGAAGAGACTTATAATTAATTTGTGCGCGTATAGTAGGTACGGGGGCATTCAGTGTGGGTAGTACGTACTTCAATAGCAAAGGTAAAGGTGTTAGCCTAACTGAATGTACCTAGACGTGTGGCGCTCAGTTCCTAATAAGTATGTAGTTTAGGAATGCAAGCAATGCCCATTTATAGCCAAAGCATTAAAAACTTTATTGTAAATACAATTATTTAGCCTGTATATAGCTGTAGTTGTAAGTATATAGCTAATACTTTTAATGTGTGAGCTAGTGCTCATATCATCCCGCCTGTTCATTTCTATAGATTTTTTGGCGCTTATTTTCAAGTCAAATTTTAATGAATTAATTGAGTAGTGTTTACAGCTGATCGTACATTTGTCAGCAATTTGGTGTATCCAACAATGTGCATGCACGAGGTTATCAAGAAATATACTGCATTCGGGGCTTGGTGTGTGTACGATAATGACGAATGTACGATTACCTTTAATTATACATTTTATCGTAACCTACCATATCTTGTTTATCAAGTAATCGGATTGACAATAAATTCTTAAAGTAATGTATTACGTAAAATATAATCAACACTTTTATAACCGACCATCCAACCACTAACGGTGTTCTTCGCGTTAAATTTCAATAACATTGTTGAATAACATCAGAACTCGAAGCGCCGAAACGAAAGTTGTATATTTTGTAATTTAATACTGTTGGTATGTTATTGTTAATATTTGTTTCGTTGATTTCATTATTCACCTGAATAATTATAATTTTTCGATTGTACCACATTGGTAGTTCTGTTGAGTATTGTTGCACTTTGATTTGTCGGTTTTGAACTACAGTTGCACTACACACAAAACATAACATAAAATAAGTACACATGCGAATAAGACTAACATACTCTACTACAGTCGTGACTGAATGTATTAGTTTGTTAAATAAAACTACAAGTTTCAAAATAATGTATTTTAACTATGACCCCACGTATTTGGCGCGGCATTGGTCATGTGACATAAACACTAAAACTTAACTATAATTCTTATTTAAAGTAGTTTTATTTAATATTCAATGTTATTCCTCCTTTAAAATAATTCAACATACAAGCCAATACCAAAATGTATGTAAAGGGCTGCTAAGTCCAAAGCACAAAACAATACTGTATCGTAGCAATATTCAATAGATTATGTTTAGTATTATTGTGATATAGTATATATGTAAAATATCCCCGGGGCGGTGTTAAGAGAATACCTCAACATGAAGTAGGAGTTGTTGAAATGCATTTTGAATCCGTTTAATTTAAGAAAAACGAATAATGATAAACTCAAGCTTTACGAGCATTTCGTTTACGCATATCGATTACCTTTGCTGTTGTCTCAAGATCTTAGACTAAAGCGGAGTTGTAAGCTTAATATCAAAAAGTATCCCACTAAGTACCTATATTTTTAGGTATATTTTGTAATTTTTGTATTTACGGTCTTAGCGACTTTAATGTAACATCATCTCATTATAAAATGTGATTTAATCACAAAAATATAATTGGTTGAAGTTTTATTTTACTACTGTATATTTGAACTAATAAACTAACGATGAATGAGCGAGTTGTTGAGAAAACATTTTTGAAATTGTATTTTCCATGTCAATGAATTAAACAGACAGTCAAACCAAAATCATATTTATTTACACCTCACAGTTTACATCGTATTTAACTTGTATATTTTAATGACAAATGATAATTAGAAAAACAGTGTTTAAACAAACTATTCTAAAACTTACCGTTAATGAACAATCTTCATTATTAATAACATTCCAATACTTTGTACTCTTTAAAATGTGATAAATTACAAAACACGCTAACACCGTTTCAAGTAATCTCACAACGTTTACAATGTAAATTATATTAATTAAAATATTACAAAATCCATTAATAATAGTATAAGCATCCCTCATACAAAACAACCTTTTATAAAAAGTATTGCTGTCGGAAGCAAGTTGACTTTGTTACAAAAAGAAAATCGAAAAGTATTTGACTTCGAAAACCTCTCTGTACAAAAAATTGTTTATAAAACGTAATTATTGTACAAATTTCTTCTAGCCTTAAATTCATTCAATGTTAAAACGTGGAAAATACGAATGTTAAATCATGCTTCTAAAATTCTACGTTCCGAAAAACAATTATACATTACTAGGGTAAATATATTTTTACCAATATTTACTCAAGAATAGTGTTAACAACACTAAATAAAATAGTAAACAGGCAATTTAATTTCATACATAGTTACATATTCCCATAGGAAGACAGGGATACTTTAATTTTTTGTGATTTTGGTTTTCCTTATTTTTCAAACAAAAACGTTATCCAAGGAAACTTAGTTTCTTTTAGTGACCTTGTAGCTAATGCGGTGGTGATAAAACGCCATATCATAATATGGCACACATTTTAACAAAGATTTTCATTCAATGTGTAAAAATAACGATATTAGTACAACGACGAACATGGCAATACTGTCTGAAGTCTAAAATATGTTACGTGGCGCTACACAATGTCGCGCTCAGTCTTAAAAATATTTAAATGCAACTGGCACACATCCCTTCTTACATATCTATAGTACAGACAAAAAATATAACTAGCTATTAACTATTGGAATATAATTTAGACTAAGTTTACAAAGATAAGAGGATAAAACATTTCTTAATATTCCGACATATTAACTAAGAATTCTCCACATACAATTACTAACGATATTGACAGGTATTTAAATTACACTAAACATAAAATTACTCTGATTTACCGAGTCTCAGAATGTAATAAGTACACTACAGTAATTGAAATTATTTTACCCTCGTAAAATTTTGCACATTTATAATCTGATATTTAAAGTTTAATATTTTTTTTTATATTTTTAGAGTTAAAAGTTAAATAATCCAAATGTACCTTTTGGTTACTGATGAATCACTTTTAAATTCTTTACTTTGTCTAAAATACTTTCTACTGTAGTTTCAAGTTCTTTTTGTATGGTTGAACGCGATATCAGAAACCTAGGACATGTATTGTAGTTTTTTATTGATAGGACATTTAGGGGAGGAAGAAACAGGAGAAAAATATTCAATTTAATACTCTTTGTTGTGTTAATTGGTCGTATTAAAATCATGTACAAAATTTCGAGTTATGCGATATACATCTCTTTTTCATAAAACACTGAGTGAGTACTTAAAAGTGAAATAAATAATCAAATCCTATCACTAGAACCCGATATTCACGCGAACAACCAAGCTGACAAGTTTTATTTGAAATATCAGCACATTTACTGAATTGCTATGTAACAATAGATTCACCTGCAAAGTCAAATTAGGAGAGCTAATATTCAATTTAAACAGTCAGTGCAGGTAAGTGGTTGTAAACTGCTTTTTAACGTCTTAACAAATGACGGTTTCGATAATGATTCGTAATTTCATTCCAAACGCTTTTTACACCTACCTGAAAACACTGCAAGGAACCAGCGGTTGTCTTTCAGCTGGTCAAAACGGAATCATCGACCAGGGGCACTTTGGCTACTTCAAAGAATATTGTATGAGAATATTTATTCCGGACAGTACTGATTGCGGACTTGGGTTTTTTGTGAAGTACAGCATTTTGAAGTAGTGCAATGGGGAGGATTTCTTTTAGTGTATATCCTGGAATTATCAATTGCGTTAATTAACAAAGTTTAAAGATAAGCCATATAATTTCTGAATAGACTGTTGACTAAAAACGTGACCAATTTCCAAGGTGATAAAAAATAACTACCGGTATAGTGCTCCAATGTATTGGTCCAGTGTGAGATGTTCTTCATTCTAAGAGCAAGGTAAAGAGCAGCAGCAGCCATCTTACTATCAGATAAAGGAGCGAGGTTGTACTCCAACAAACACTGTTCTAGGACGAACCGCGCCAGAGTCAAGGTCGGCATGGACACCCGAGCACACTAGAAATATATTTTATGAAATATAACTATGATGATTTTGTATATTACGCCTTTAGTTTAAGTGTGAATTTATTTTTTCTGGTTTAGGTATATTAGACAATATATCTGTAGTGCCAGAATATTTTTTAGTTTGATCAATGTGCTCTACTAAAACTATAAGAGAGAGATATCCACTGGGATTCAAACTCAAGATTTCTAAACATTCACAGAGGCAGTCATACGTAAAGTAGACTGTGGCTATGTTATAAACCCAACTCAAGAGTAAAAAACTTTTAATTGTCATCAAATAATAATAATAAATCAAGTTCAACTCACCCTGGCGTATCTCCGTAAGAATCTGTACGACAGTGGGACGCCAAGGTCGTAGTTTATAGTCTTCAAGATTTTCATTTCCATCTTAAGTAGCTGGTTGAGGGTGTAAGCTCCATCACAGATGTATAGGAAGTCATCTACTAGTGGTGGAATTCTTTCCTATGTAGAAAACAGAATAGAATGATTATCAATATTTCATTAGTATTATTAACTATTATGTTTCTGATATAAATTAAGAAACAAGAAACTTTATGAATGCTATTAAAATAAAAGAAAAAATACCAACATCAAATTTAGAAGCAATAAAGAGGGCAGATGCTCCTAGTAACTGTAGCTCTTCCTTAGTAAGATGCTCTCTCTCTGGTTGCATTTTGCTTGAGCGCGTCAGAAATAGATCTACCAGCTTTACAGCGAGGTATAGAGTTTCATGGTTAAGTTCAAAACTCTCCTGAACCTCAACCATCCAATCCACAAGGAGAGCCCTCATCCAAGATGTGATTCCTCTCATTCGTACCAAGTAGTCGTCAATTGGAAAAAGGGGCTATTTGGAACAGATAATTAAATAAGTGACATTATGTACATGACAGTAATTATTTGAAGGTTTTTTGTTAATTTTTATATGAAATATGTCACTCTTGGTAATTATTAATGAACATAAATAAGCAGAAGATAACTCACTTCTCTAGTCTTTAAATAGTTGAATATGTCCATAGCATAGCAAGACACTTGGAAATGATCATTCCAGTTCTCCAAGTCAAAGTCAACTACACCCTCAGGCACTTGGTGGGGCGTTTCGGTTTCTTCATCCAGGGACCTACAGGAGTCATCCAAGTTCACTTTGTCCAATTTTTCACTAATAGTTTTGTATTCCTCTTTTGTTTCATTTGGGCTACTGATGATAGGTATTTTACGCAGGTGAGCAAAGCAATGATAAAATAAATGTAAGTTTATTCAATAGTTACTACTTGAATGTTCAAGTCCCTTTATTGATTGAATATTACTTCAGCTTTTTATAATAATGTAAAGCACAAAGGTACCATACCACCTTAGAATCCCAAAACAATTAATAAAGTTAAGAAAGAGTAAAGTCAGCTTGAAGATATTACTTACTTGTTTTCTAAAGCTGTTGTATACAAGGATGCCTCTGAAACATCACTGCGGGTAGATTTTGCAGAGCAATGACTTTGATTTTGATTCTCCTTATCAAGTGATTTTCTGATAATATTTTTGAGGATGCCATTCTGTGCTCGTGTTGTAATAGGCTTTGATGGAAATTCTTTGACAAAATGCCTTTGAACACTTTCAATGGCATTTGTGGCTACCTTTTGTAGTTGCTTAGCTTTTGATGTTTTGCCATTTACTGTTGTCTGAGGTTTGATGCTCTAGAATTAAATTTGAATATGCAGAAAGGGAAAAATCTTTGAATTAAAAGGGTCCTAGGCTACTAACTATAGAGGCTATGATTCTACTATTGATTGTTTATTAGGTAACATTGCAATATATTATGTCAATAGCCCTGTATTCTTAATTTTGGAGGGAAAATAAGTGGTTAAAGTAATAAATGGTGGGTTGTTTCTTTATTACAGGTTTAGGAAGCTATGAAATAAAATCAAATACCCACATTTAAATATCAATAAAAATAAGTAAGATTAACCTTTACAACTGGGAGCATTTTGCTCTCCACTGTTACTTTTTTCATAGCCATGCTTTTATCCTTTTCATTTGCTACGGATTTGTTGAAAGCGTTGGTGATATCTCCAAAAGCAGCTCTTTTGGCGGTCATGTCTTTTAAGGGGCTATCAGCTTTTCTCTTGTTTGGCGCCTTAAGGCTGTCTTTGTAGGTCTTCAAAGAAGCTAATTGCTTACTTCTTGTCGTAATGCCATGGCTCACAATGCCATTCATGTTCTCATTAATGCCGATCGACTTCGATGCCAACCTTGTTGGCGCCATTACTAACTAAAAATAATGTTATCTTGTCACGTGCAATTTACGTTATAAATTTGTCACATACTCGTGACTATGTTACCACAATTAGCTAATGGAAGTAAAATAAGGCAAAAAATAAAAATTTCTAATAATTTCTAACGGTCAAAAATGGAGGTAAAACAAATGAAGAGACTAACGCTTTACCAGCCTTTGAGGAAAAATCGTACTTACGAGTTACGAAACGGCAGTAGCCGTTTTAAACGTTTTGATTTATTATTGGCAGAGCTTCGAAAAGAATTCACCACAATATTCCGATCATAAATATTAAAAATTAATTTTACGTTAGTTCAACTCGCAACCGAATAGAGCAATTTCACAAAAACCGTTGAATCGAATTTCAATTGGCTTTTGACAGACCAATGAAAATGAAAGTAAAATCGCATTCCTTTTTACATGTTTCGGTTGATACAGTTGAAATTTAACTATATATAAGTATCGTCTATGGAAAATTTCTGAATATATAAAAAAGCAACTTTCAGATGAATTCTATATTTAATAGTTTTGAGAAGTAAGTTATACAAAGTAACCTCTAATTAATATTACTTATGTTATAAATAAGTTGACTTTTGAATACTATCTAAATAAAATAAATAAATATTTTTTTACCTAAACATTCAAGAATATATTTGCCATCGAAAGGATAATATAATGTAAGATGACCGTTAAAAAAAGATAACGTAGATCGGAATGGCATAATTATTATTGCAGGTCAATGCCGTTTACAATATCAAATATCATGACAATTGTCATTATCAGCTGTCTTGTTGTTTATAAAGTGTAATGTTTCTACTAGTTAATGTTGGTTTATTTATATATTATTTATAATAAAGTGGCTTTGCTATGACTCCTATAACGTGCTAGCTTGTGAATACGCGGTAGTTTAAGATGCTAGGCGGAGTGAGATTAAAACTCTCCTTTACTCATGAAAGAACTTGTTTTGCATATATAAGTCCAAAATACAGCACACATAATGATCAAGTAAGTATAGGCAATTGTTTTCAGATCTTTTTTAAGAAAAAGTATATTACAGTTTTATTATATAGAAATAATAAACAATCACCTTCTATATTTTTAGGTTAGAATTCAAAATATTACAATATTATCAAAGTTCAAGGTTGCCTTTATCAGTCGTTTCAACTATCAATTAGTACAAAATATTTTTAAACATTTTTTTTCTTTCAGTCACAATGCATACAAGTTTTGTTTAAAGACAAACAAATACTATTATGGGCTATGTTTAGTAGCAGTGTTTCTGAGGGATATATTTCCTGTAATCCATTGCAAAGTAAACTTTTAGGACTTGAGGAAGGTGCTGAGGTTTTTGTATCTCCATATGGGGATGTCAGGGTGCTAGATGAACTATATATTGATACAGATAGTCCAGATGACCAGGAAATATTGGTATTATTTTATTATCAATATAAGTATACTATATAATACGTTCACTTAATAATTTAAATATACATATCTGTTTTTAAGGAACACAATGCTGATGTCCTCCAATTACGAGTTCTAGATCAACTGCGACTAGTTGTTGCTAATCAAAAAACAGCAGTGTGGATTTCTACATCATTACCGATTGTATTTACACCCAAACAAACTGGTTTACTAGTTAATCATAGTAGAATTATTGTAAGAGTAGATGCTTTTAATGATTTTCACACCCGAAGAAATACTTTAGAGCCAGTAGAAGCAAAAGGTCATGCTTTTAATAATATAGGTACTATTAATCAAGCTGTGCTTCGGCCTTTCCTTAATGTTCCAAAAAGGCTAGTGTTGAGAGCACTAACAATTGACAGTGATGGGAAAAAGGGTAAAAATTTGATTCATCCCTACACAGTGTTTATTCATGAAGATTTAATTATTGAAATGAAAGAGTGGATGGTTATTCTTGCCACAATGCAAAGTATACCATCCATAGTACATCAAAGTGATAATGATGAAGAAATTTCAAGTACCATTGATGGTTTGTGTGTTGAAATTGTGCCTATAGATAATGTGATATTTAGAAGTTTGTCCCACGAAGTATACAACAAAAACATACCCACAGTTCTGGTTCCAAAGTCATTAAACTCTATAATCAGTGTAGAAAATGGTATGAAAATTATATTCACTGTTGTTGGTGATTCAGCAGAACAACCTGAGCATATAGATATTATAACTTATTCTGATAAAATACAAACAGAAATAAATGTAGTTGAGAAGTTTAAAAAATGTGTAGTTGATAATACACATTCTGGAAAGAAATTTTTAATCAATGACAATATTGTGAAACAGAATACAGAAATATCGAGTGGATTTTTAAGATTTAAGTTGAAGCCGGAAAAATTAAAATATACATTGTTAAGTTCAGAATCATTTAGGCATTGCTCTGTGTCAGCTAAATGCCTTAGCGACACTGACTTGGAATTGCCAAAACCTACATTTTCAAAGCTGGAATATGATTACAAAAATTATTGTAGATCCATGAAGTTTACACAGAATTTAGTCCAAAAGGTTGTTGCACATATATATTTTGAAATTCACAGAGAAGCCTCATTTAACGGTGCATCAGATATTAAGAGCAATGTTTTGATTAATGGTAAGTAATATTTATATACTTAATTAATTAATCTCATAATTTAATAATTACTTTTTTTAAAGATTACTTTGCTTTGATGCATGACTATTATTATATATCAAGTAGTGAAGTTTGTAATGTTTAGTATTGTTGTAGAATTCAGTATCTGCATATCACCAAGTGAAGACAATAAATAAATATAGGCTTTACATGGAGATTTGATTAATTATTTTAATATTACAGGGCTCAGTGGCAGTGGTAAAACATCTCTTTGTCATATAATCCAAAAAGATCTGACCTTATGGTCTCATGTAGTCCATTGTCGAAGTCTCAAAGGCCGCAAAGACGTAACTGAGGTTCTGAGTAAAGCTATCCTGACTTGTCAGGAACATAGTCCATCAGTACTGATATGTGATGATATTGATGCTCTTGTACCACCTAATATGGAAGGTGCTTCCCCTCAAGACATTGCTTTTTATGAAAGGTAAATTTGAATTAACTTGTTATATTACAAAGATTCAAAAACTTTGATTAAAATGTATTATGTATTCAATTATTTAAAAGTATATTTCTTATATGAAATAATAGTTTTTTTTTTATAAATTGCAAACTTTAACCTATTATAATTTACTCATCAAATCCAGACTAGCTATATCAATCAAACGCATGTTACAACAATGTACTGGAGTGTGTGTATTGATGACGTCACTACGCATGAAGTCCCTACACCCGGTGTTAAGAGAATTTGGCGGGAAGCCACTGTTTACAAGTTACTTCGATATTCCTGAATTGGACCAAGTAAGATTATTACAGTAAAACATAAGTTACCTGTATCAATAAACTTGTATATTTTAGGGACCCGTAATGATTCAGTAAAATGGTACCCTATAACTTTTATTTTAACAATAATTACTAAATAGTATTTAAGGGCGTTAAGCACAAGAGGTCCTGGGTTAAAATCCCGAAAAAACAATAAATTGTCTGTCAGGCAGGGCAAAGAAGTCTGATCACCTGCTTGACTGTAAATAAAACCGATCTGTGAAACGGGCATAGAAATGTGTCCGGCCCATGCCCCACGAGGGGAAAGGGGAATTCTCTACTATTTTTGCTATTATTATAATCTATAAATTGATTTATTAGCCCTTTGTGCATGAGTCCGACTCTACTTGGCTACAATTAATTTTATCTATCAGCTATAAGTATATAATAATGTATGATGATGCTGTGTACATTATCTTTATATTAAATGTATCGTTTCAGGCAGACAGAGGAGAGATTTTGAAGCATTTATTAAACAATAAAGTGCGCGAATCCTTCTTGATTGACGACGATGATGTAACCAAGATGGCGATGGACACGGCTGGCTTCAATGTGAGGGATATTGTTGATTACATGAACAGAGCAATTTTCACAGCTGTTAAAAACAAGAGTGAGTATTTTCATACTTGGCATACAACTGATATATAAACATAATACTTTTAGCCAGCCACAAAGTACATTTAAAATTTGTGGCTGGGTGTCCACTGTGGATCAGACATATTAGTGTTCTTGTTGAACACACCGAGTAAAGGGCATGACTGTACTGTACCCTACTGATCGAAACAAGTTTTCTATTCAAATTCAAAATGTAAGATAGATAGAAAATTTTTAATTTAATTTCAAATTGAAATAAGTTAATCCACACAAGAATATACATACAGAAATTATACAATGGTATAAGATAATACATCAATGGCTCGCAATTATCACATACACTAAATTTGCTGTTAAGGACATCACTCAGCTGTTGCTTCAACAGATTTGTTTTAGCGCTGATTTTCAGTGATGCCCCATGGATGATACTTAGAGTGACAGCCCGAAATAGGCGGAACTACTAGTAAAAATCAATTGTAGAGAATAAAATTAACATTAAGCTTAAGAAAAACACAACTTAATATACATGTCATATGTGATGTTTACTTACACGCCACTCAGTGTGACTATTTAATTTATAATTGTATTTTTAACGTTACTTAGTTTATGTATACTATGTGTTGCAATAAAATACTAAATAAATATATTGATTATTTCAGAATCAAATGCACTCGATTCGAAGCCTCGACTCATAGATGATGTAAGCAAACAGAGCGAAAAAACAAAAGAATTCGACATTTGGGGACCTGTAGGTGGCATGCATGATGTGAAGCAGCAACTTACTGAATGCATTTTTTGGCCTATTATGTACCCGGTTTTATTCCCCACACGACGATGTGGTGTGATGCTGTACGGTCCTCCGGGGACAGGGAAGTCCCATTTGGGCTCTTGTTTGGCACGACTGGGAAATATGCGTCTTCTTACAGTAAAAGGGCCCGAACTTCTGTCGAAATATATTGGGCAGAGCGAAAAGGCTGTACGAGATATATTTGACAAGTAAGTGTGTTTGTGATAATGTTTTGACTAAATAATCAGTGTGTCGTGGGTTCGATCCCCGCCAGGATTAACATGCATATTTCTTATTAAATTTATATTTTTTGTGAAACATGTTGGACCTCGTCTGTGAATCTGGATATTAAATGGGTGGAAGGAATATCGAAATTTCGTCTGGGTACCAAACCACCGTACACAGATCAAAGAACCTTGAAGTGAAATTCAGTTTTGGTTTCCGTCCATAGCGCATGTTCTTGACATGTGACTGGGCGGTTCGTCTTCCATAAAGTGAACGCTTGCCTGTCCTCTGCTATTACAAAAAAAAATGATTACTCAATTTATTTCAGCTCTTAGTGTGAACACTAACAAGAGATCTTATGTAAAAAAAAATGCTTTGGATTGAAAGTTAAAACAGTTACAGTTTTTTTTACAATTTACAATTTATTACCTAATGTGTATGGTTTCATGCAACTTAATTGAATAATCTTTTTTCAGAGCAGATTTGCAGCGGCCGTGTATTCTGTTCTTTGACGAGTTTGACAGTCTTGCGCCCAAGTAAGTTTTATTGTAAGTACATAGACAGATATTTTTATCGTTCTTCTATCACCTCACAGTGAGAAATAAAGAATCAGGTAGGATCTCAATAATTGTATTTTTTTAGAAAGTTATATTTCACATGTTTATGTACCTTACACGTATATTTTAATTCGAGTTAGATACAGACTGCATCATTGTGCATTATTTAGGAAACAAACGGTTTCAGTGAGACCTAAAAATATTAAATTTAGAAAGAAAAAGTCGATGATTCAATATATCGAAGAAGTATCGTTCCATTGCTCTTTTGACTGAACCATCGTCTGGTCTTTGGTTGTTCCTTTCTGAACTTCTTAAGGCAGAGACTGCTTCACTTCATAAAACATGGTGCCAGTCTATTTGACATTAATTTTAATTCATTAAACACTTGACATATAATTTTAGACGGACGCAGCGACGTATTTTTAACAATTTACAAATTTAATTTAGACGTGGCCACGACTCTACAGGCGTGACAGACCGGGTAGTAAATCAGCTACTTGCGAGGCTTGACGGCGCTGAAGGGGGTGCCAAAGGTCCCGTTATAGTAGCCACTTCGCGACCAGATCTCATAGACCCTGCATTGCTTAGAGCTGGTCGTATCGAAAGACATATATACTGTTCTCTTCCAGACTTGGTTAGTATTCAAACTACCATTTATTTTGCTAGTCGACAAAACTTTTATGCCATAACTAGATATGTTTGCGACTTCGTCCTGTGGATAGTTTTTTGGGCATCATTTTAATAATTATTATAAACAAGCTCCTCGGCTTTATAAATTATAGCTGGGTATCGTGGGTAACACGACGTGATCCCGTCTTTCTGGCAAGTTAATGTTAAAAGGTAGATATTGTAACGGACACTTTTTTAGATCAATTAAACGAGGAATTATTTTTTCGTACATATATTTTGTTCATCTCAACCCGTTTTCGTAACACACGCAACGGATTCTTACTAAGAAGAATAATTTCGACTTTACCCTCTGTTTCTTCGCTGCTATTGGCCGCACCCTTTCCTTTTCTCGATAAATGCTTTAGCCAACACAAACATATTTTTATCAATTTGAAATGGTACTTTCTGAGATTAGCGCGTTCAAACAAAGGAACTTTCTACTACTTTTTAAATTAACCGCGTTGTAAAGAGGATCTGGTAAAAAACCGTCACTAGTTAACGATATATATTTTGCGAAAGTCTTGAACGAGTTGTCGCCGTTGATCCAAACTCCATCTAGCTAATGAAAACAGTGTTTCGCGATGAAGTGATGGTAAATCATTTTGACATCTACGACCGATGACTTAGAAATCAAATTGGAAAATTGTATCTATGTTAGGTTAACAGTTATACTAGTTGTATTACTGTTGCCCAAATTTCTAAAGCAATTTGTAAAAGTTTCTTATCTAAAGCTTAAATTTTAAAAAAATACATTTCAAGTATATATTTCTTGTTTTAGGATGGTAGGTACGAAGTCCTCAAGACTTTATCGCAAAGTGTGACTATAGATAAGGCCGTAGATTTGCAAATGATCGCCGAAAAAACTGAAGGTTTCTCGCCTGCCGACCTAAAATCGTTGCTGATCACTGCACAACTTGGGAGATTGGAGACTCAACTGGTAAGAAAGAATAGTAAATTTATATGATATATATTTGAATAAAACTTTTAAGAGTTCCAAATGCGAAATTTATCAGTTAACTTATTTTTAATTTATTTAACTACGCCGCGTGGCCACTGTTGCTGCATCAAAAACGTATTTAGAACTAAGTTAACTAATATATTGTGCGTTTTTAAATGTTAAAAGCCTGTTAATATTAATTTGCTATGAGATGTTGAAAGTGTAAAATCCTTTCAGGTGAGTGGTGAAAGTCGACGGATGGAGAGTGTGGTAGTTACCAAAGAGGATCTAGGAAACGCCCTCTTGGAAACCAAACCGTCACTGTCACTAGAGCAAAGGAATTTTTATGATATAGTGTAAGGATTTGCTATTTTAGACACCTAACCTTCTTAGGTTTAACTAGGAAAATAAGTTAAATAGCAAACAGTCCATTTTGTATGAATAATATAGAGGACTACAGCTGTAATAGTAGCTGAAATAGCTCAGCCATATAAACAAGATGCGCTATCAACCCTTTGTGGCATTGAATTGAAACAAGTGTTAACAAATTTATTGATTTTTAATGGCACATAGACAAAACTAAACATTTTATTTACTTACACAATAAAACACTTTGAACTGTATTAGTTAACTTATTACGATTCGATGTTTCGGAGGCTTTGCAGTAGCTATGGAAGATGGAGGAGGTCCCTTATGTCAAAGTCAAATTTAACAACTTGACTTTGACATTAGAAACTAGCGCCATCTGTCCAATGCACCAAAATAAAAAAAGAGAAGAATTAAAAGTAAAACAATATTATGTTACATCTTAATAATTTATATTTCAGATACAAAAGATTTAGAGGAGAGCCACTTTCATCAGAACAAACGCTTGCTTCGCGACAAATGCTCAAGCAAAGGGTCACTCTTGCTTAAAAATAGTGTCATAATGATGAATTAATTTTATATTCGGAATTAAATTTGTAATAATTAACTTATCCTGAGGAGTTACAAAATATCTCTTCTTATCTTCCTTTCAGTTCTGTGATCGTTTCACGCGATTTTTTGTCAGTTATGCAGTTGAAAAGTGTATACTTAGTATTTAGATGTTAACATGGAAATTATATATATAAGGGGCTTGTTGATATACAAATGTATATTTTGTTGCTATTTTATGATGGGATATTTTATTATAATCGTTGTTGAATAAATTTTGTTTCACGATGTGTAATTTTCTTTTAACTATACCTTGTCTAAAGCGATTATATTTTGATGCATGATGTGGCGTATTACGTAATTACACGTGATCAAGAGTTTGAATCCCGGGAAGTATCAATCGGTCAATGATCCGTGTACAGATGTGTGTCTGCTTTAAGCCCCACGTATGAAAAATGAGATTTCGCACATTACCCGGCGTACTTTGAATGGCATGTCCTAATGATATCCCAGATTTTCCTTGGTCAAAATGGCTTTAGTCCATTTTTGTCGGTCGTTTGTACATATACATTATGTTTTGATGTATATTCTTGATTCAAAACCAAAATTCAAATTACCCAAGTGAACCTAACCGAAACGTCAATCGTCTAACAAGAGGACATCACAAACATTTTATAACCAATCAACCTTCAACCTTATTTGTGTCATAGTTTACCAAATTCAAATGCAATACTTCATACGTATACATATAATTAAACTTATCATCCTACACCAGATAAAGTATAGCCATAAATACATAAGTTTATTTAATCTGTGCCTCGTACAAGCAGAAAGTTACAACGTAATTAAACTCAGTATATCCAGATCTAATTAATTAAACAACTCATTACAAACGCGTCTTAAGATATTAAGCTCTTCAAATAACAAGATGTTTACACGGATGTAAGATAAGCTAAGTGAGTGTTACTGGATCGTGTCTTTAGTGCATTTTACTTATCGCCTATTATCATGAATACAGTTGGTAGTTTTCGCAGAAGTACCTAATAATATGATTCTAGTAATAGTCTGAAAGTCTAGGTTCAAATATGTATCTACATAATATCTAATAAAATAAATTTATTTGTTCTTAATAATATTTGTTTTATAACTACATATTTTTTCTACATAAAACTACCGTTATACCTAATTTGCGTACATATAATTGTGATATAACAAACTAATAAACTTGGCCGCATCTAGTATAATTATCTCTGTTACCAAGCCTCGCGTGCATATTGAAATCTTTACATCTGAATTATTGTGCAAGTTGAGAACTAATCTTAATCAAAACGCAAAGTTTTTCAATAAAACATCATTATCGCGTTGAAATAATTACGTTCTGCAAGTTGGAGCGTTTATAAATTGTGTTTATACATTTGATAAACTAAATATGATAAAGTGTTTTGGCAGAAAAAGTAATGCATTGAGTTAAAATGTAATAATGTAGTAATGCTTCAATTGTGAGAATTTCTATTTTTGTTACTCATACGTTGCATTATTTTTTCCGCAAAACACATATATTAAAAGCATAATTATTATAAACACGCGGTTTCTCAGTTTCTCTTAAAATTAAAAGGCGCAAAGGCGATAACAGTATTATACGAGTGGTATTAATTAAATTAGGCAAACGCAGTGTAGGACGATCTACAGCACGGTGGACAGCTGATGACCTGAAGAAAGTAGCAGTTGGCAGCAAATGGATAAATAGAGCTCAAGAGAGGGCCGAGTGCAGGCAGTGGACCCTAACGGGCTGAAGCTAGGCATTATTTTGTAAATAATCTTTTAAATTACTTTTTACTCACTCATGAGTAATTTCACATCATTCTTTAGTTGTTAATAATATGATCGATGAGTATCATAGTACATAATATGTAGGTATTTATTTAATATGTCATTAAAGCTTCTCAACTATTATCGCTTACCATTGATGGTACAAGTTCGCTATATTAATTATAGTATAGATTACTATCGACAAACTTGGGGTTAACAGGAGATTGACTTGTGATCCTATCTTGTTAATCGATGCCTTACTTTTATGTATGGCTTATACATGATTAGTTAGCCGTATTTTCCGTATAGAAATAGGTATATAGAATCCTAAAAATACGTCGCAGTTAAACAATGACACTAAGAGTAAGTTCAGGATTCTAAAGGAAGGAAATCTATTTTTCCGGTACAAGAGCATAATAAACTTTAGGTACAAATATGTATTTACTTCATCAAAAATTTTACTTCAAAGGAATAAAACGCATATATTAAAAGGAATAAAGCATATTCAGAGATTATAAAGAATTATAATGGGAATGCCATTTTAAGGAACGTTACGTTACGTGTTTAAACTAATTTCGACGAATATAATAATGATTTTTATCTATATCTAGACATTAGATGAAAAGCTAACATTTACCACTGAAATCGAGCAAAAACTAAAAACTTAGCTACGAAGCAGAAGGTAATGAGCGACATTGAAGTGGCTATTTGAATTTTTATCTTTTCCAGTCCTTTGAATGGAAGTTTTCGTGAACTTCGCTTCGTACTTTGTTTAATATAGGATTATAATTTTTAAACATTATAATTTTCAGATATTTGCACACGAGAGTATTTAAATAAATTTTGTTATCTAAAGAAGTCAAATTTACGTTATGTTTATTTACCAATACTAAATTTGTTTGTTGTGGCTGCATTGATTTTGCGCATATCTTTGCGATTAACAATGCAAATTATTTAAACAAAACACTTTAACGGTTTAAAACGCGATATATATTTGTTAAACTTATTTGAAAATTATTTTAACTGTTAGTGTTTTTTTTTATATGTAGGCACTACTGCGTAAACTACAGACAGTGTTAATGCTGAATATTACTGAATACATACGATATCACATTTTATCTTGTCAAAGTTACTATAGTTCGCCTAATTTAGCAAAGTACTTAATAAATATCGTCTCTGCACTCATAATAGTAACACGTGGAAATTAATAGACTAATTGTGTGAATCGACCATTCGATGTTGTTGTCTTGTTCAATACAATAACTTATATTAAACAACATATTATCATCTGTCGTTTAAAAAATGCACTTGTCTAACTTCCTTTAAATAAATTGGTTAGCATAATGGATGTTTGAAAGAGGGAGTATTCAGTGCGAAGGTGAAATTAGTCGCCTTGTGTCCAAAGAAAGCAGTTTTTATTCGACTTAAAGTAATTATTGTATTTTTGTGAAAGAGTTTGTTAGCGGACCATTCACGATTGAGGACACGGACGCTAACAGGGGCGGACTATGAAATATTTTTTTCAATAATAATAACTTATATTAAGTGCCTCGTAGTGTTGGAACTGCCATAGTAACTCAATGCCTGTATTATTACTCCATAGCCAGGACTTGAAGATATTGGGATCGTATCCTACAGAAACAATAGTTTAAGGACCTACTACTACCTTTCTTGTTTACGCAAGTAGTACCTACCTACAAATTTAAATAAAATACCTGTAACCGCTTAAAACGCAATATGTAGAAGTTATTATATTTATAATTATTTAAATCTGGCCAAAATTTTAGATGCTTTCAGCAGCCGTAACAGCATGAACTGGAAATGGAGTAGTCTGTCAGGAAAGCATCCGAAGCGTCGGGCTATGGTAAAAAATACATTAACTACCTACTAACTAATACATTTCGCGTTTTAAACCGTTAAAAGTGTTTTATTTAAACAGGAGTTTAGGTCGGGTCAAAAGGGTCAATAACTTGTAAAACAATTGATCACTTCAACTTACACAAAATCTTACGTCCCCTATGTAAAACAGGGACGCAGTATTTCTAAGGCATTTCTAAGGCATGTACATACCTATGGAAAAAATAGATTAAGATTATAAAAATAGTCTTTGATAGAAAAAAGCCTTGATAAAAAGTCACTGTTTGGTCCAACTTTGAAAGCGAAACTAAATTCATAACGACGTTAATTTAGGTTTTGAAGTTAATGGTAGGTACAAGAATGTTTGAGAGAAAAATATGTATTTAAAAAATTTATAAATTTTTCTCCTTTTAATTCAGCCATATATTTTTTATCCCTGAATACATACCTGAGTCGCTGAGTATTCTTGTTTTCTTAGAGTTTCTCATCTTTTCTTCCCGTTTTCTTTCGTTTGGCGCCCTAATTAGCTCATTCATCGGCGCCCGCCCTCACTTCATGCAATAAATACGTTGCTTTTCTCTGTATTTTTTGTTTTATTCGAAATTATACTGTGGTTACGCTATTATTTTTGGAATGTTCGAAAATGTGTCATGCATAGATCTATGACCGATCCATATTAAGTAATTTATTACAGTCTAAAAAAAAAAAAAAATAGGTTATAATTTTTGGTATTCATGCCTAATTACTGACATAGTTCGTATTCACCATTGCACGTTACATAAACTTTGACACACACAATTACAGCGAATATACAAAATATACCTATACTTACAATCTTAAAGTAATTTTGCTTTTAAGTTAGCGAACTCACTTAATTTTTTATGTTATCCGGATGTGTTAATAAATATTATTTATTATCTAAATGCAGATTGACATAACTTACAAACAATTACAATATTTATATAATCTATGGCCTTTGGTCAATTGTATCTTAATATTAACTAAGTATTTTTAATTTAACTTGACACTGGCAAATAGTTAATTCTTCTTGCCATAAATGGAAAAAAAGTATTTTTAGCGATTTCTTTGCAAGCATATCAAATTAAAAAGTATTATCATATCGATGATATATAATGATACCGAGGCCTTTTCCGCCTTTATTTAATATAATTGATATTTAGTTCAGCCTATACATCGGAATTCTAAATATTCAAAAAGTTTAAATTCTCGACATTTAAATATTGTATAGTGCAGTTCAGCTGAAGTTAAGTTAAAACAAACGTGTCCCAAGTTACCTATCTTAAAGTCATTCGCCCAGACGTGACCGTAAAAGA